GCATTTGGGGAATAGAGTATCAAAAGGCGCAGTGTTGGAGCCCACCGATGATCGCAGTAAGTCTATATTTTGTTGTATGTGGTCGCCTTTGACATTAGTTTTATCGATTTTTAGGTGTGCTTACTATTGTGTGTTTTATTTTTACTCCATTCAGCGCAATATTCCCACATTACATGAAGCTGTGGTATTTCGCATACTTCCCGGTTTGTATGAATTTCTTTTGGTCGATTTGTCCGATTTGTGAATGGTTTTTGCGAAAATGCGCCTAACGCATTTAACCGTTACATCACCATGTTAACGAGTGTCATAAGGGTATAGGGAACATAAACTACGGAATAACGTTGAAGGTGTTGCAGTGATTGCGTCAGCGTCTCATTTTGTGGCAGTTTTGTTAAGCACCGTAAACGTCTTTTGCACCCTGACATTTTCCTCTCCCCTCAACCTTCTGCCTATTTGGAATACGAGCAGATGTTGTGTTAGGACAAATTTTATCTCCAACCGTCTTTGCGTAAGTCATTAGTTCTGGTGAATTCGAGTGGTCGTATTTATCTGATTTTTTTCTTGGGGGAGTGAGTCTGGTTGCGATAACAGGAAGCAAATTTTGTCCGGTACCTTCGCAAAATGGCTCAAAATCTGACTACACAACGGCTGGTCAATGCGACCAATATTCTTTTTCATCTTATGGATCTCCAGCCTTATGCGCTGGTGCTACCAATGGACTGCAAGACTGCGTCGCGCAACAAGCGTAAAATAATGCAGAAAATCATTGCTAACAACCGCGAAACGCCGACGACTATTGACAACAAAGATGCTAATGATGTTAAAGAAAAGACCGAGGTGAATGGCAACGCGCCAGCGGAGTCAGCTATTGATATTGCCAGCACAGACGGCTCTCGTAACAGCAGCACAAATCATAACTCTGTAGCGTCTAAAAACGAGCCTGCAGATGCATCGAGAACCTCATCGCCATCATCTGTGAGGAATGGCAACACAGTTGACACACGTATGAAAACGCTATCCGAACAAGCTTCTAGCGAAAGTGCGGCCGGTAGTGAGGCACCTGTTCTGGACTCTGATATACCTATTAACGATGACAATTCACTGTTTGCTTCGGTTAATCGCATTGTTGAGCGTTTGGACTCCGAAGACATGAAAGGATGCATCATTATGTTGGCTGCCAAGACTGAGTCTTCCAGTGGAGTGATGCCGTTGGCTGGTGGCATCATCGAAATTTACGACGAACATGAACGCAGTATCCAAGCGATTTGGTTGAACCGATCATTGGAACAACGTGCAGATATCCAGATTTTGCTAAAAACACTAGTACTGCGCATCTTTGCGCATGCCTACCAAATCAATCTCCCCGACCGCCGGTATTCCAAAAGCAATAAATTAGTCTCTATTTATCAGAGCATGTTGGTAACTTTCCCGCGCGAATGTGTATCGTTTATCGAGAAGGATATGTTGCTGTCGAAGCACTACGAGACGTTTGGATTTAACGAGGCGCACAATGACAACCCGAAGGTACCTTGTAGGTGCCACAAAGTGGCGGCCCAAGCGAGTGAGATGTTTTACGGTATATCTGAGTCTAGGTTTAACAATTTGTACACATCGCTGTACGAAAACATGTTATTTGATTCAATCGGCCAAATGACACCAATAATGAAGATGTACCCAGCCAGCTCATTCAACAACGCCGAAAAAATTGACCACATTACTAAGGCTGTTCGGGAGATTGAGCGGTCTTTAAGGGAACAGAGTGGAAGCAAGAAGCCGCGCAAGGCGTGAAATAGCACTCAGTGACGCAGATCATCTTTAGGCCTAGGTAAGGTGTCTTCCTATCTGGAAAATATCGATTGCATTCAAGCCACTTAAATACAATATTCTGTCATTAAGTGGTCTTTTACGTTGTGGTCGTTCGGGAATTCTCTTGGCGGGGTCTGACATTCTGCCGATTTGTGATACACGTCATCGCCTTACGTGGTTATTGACTAAAAGACACTAACTTCTGCAACTATTCTAATGTTATGCGCTCATTTTATACGTAATTCGGTGTTGGAAAATGTTTGAGAAAATTGCATTACATGAACTGACCGGGCGTTGAAATGTATGATAACATCATGGCGAAGACCGTCAGGGATAAATCTTGCTGAATCTTAAATAACTGTGTAAATCTTTGCTAAGCGTGCCAACTTTACTAATGGAATCCTCTGTACAGAGCGTTTGAACTTTGATTGAGTTTCATTCGCTGGGTTTGAAAATATGTACAAGACAGTATACACACATTTGCTAAATAATGACTAACAACTGTTAGTCTTCCTATGAGTGTATTTTTGAGTTCTGTGGCATGGTCAGTCTCGCGAGCCTTTTGCCGATCTCCACATGGTAGGGGTATACCTGTTTGCACTTTCCACACACTTCAACACTGTAATGAAAACATTACAATTAAACAAGGGCGCGTATGCAGATTTTGTTAGGATGAGGTTTTGAACAACTGTAAAGTATCACCGCTTTAGTCTCATGAGCAATCTTAACGCCAAAACAAAAAAGGAGCATCCATGATTCCGTTTCAAGCCTTGGTGCCACGCATAGGTGGCAGTCTACTGCCCCTTACTCCGTACGGAAGGTTTTTGAAACTCGAAGTAAGTCACCATTTTTTCGCGTTCAAATGTCTTAGTATGTGCATCTCTCTAGACGCAGAGTTACGCGATTAAAAGGACAAGCATCAACATCAGCTACATCTTATGAGTGTCAAAATGACTTATCTGATACTACAGAGGTTAGGAGTGCCGATTGTTTTACACATGATACTCAGATACGGGCCGGAGGCTGGCGCCGTAGTTTCCACACTGGGAGCAGTCAGCATAACATGGCGCGTATCCGTAATATTGGCATTAGTGCGCACATAGATTCCGGGAAGACGACACTAAGCGAGCGTATTTTGTTCTACTCTGGTCGTATCGCTTCGATTCACGAAGTTCGAGGCAGTGATGGTGTAGGCGCCAAAATGGACTCCATGGACCTAGAACGCGAACGCGGCATCACTATACAATCTGCTGTAACTAACTTCAAGTGGTATTTGAACAATTCGTCTGATGGTGCTTCCAATGAATATGCCATCAACATCATTGATACTCCTGGGCACGTCGACTTCACGATAGAAGTTGAGCGTGCGTTACGCGTACTTGACGGCGCTATATTGTTATGCTGCTCTGTTGCAGGCGTACAATCGCAAACTCTGACAGTCAATATGCAGATGGATCGCTACAATATCCCACGTATTGTTTTCTTGAACAAGATGGATCGCGACGGTGCCGACCCTGATAGGGTAATAGAAATGATTCGTCAAAAGTTGAATATCGATCTTTTGCAACTTCAGGTCCCTATAGGAGTTTCTAATCGATTTGAGGGCCTTGTGGACGTTCTAGAGGAATGTGCGTACTATTTTGACGGCCCCAATGGGCACCGGGTAGTTAAAAAAGAGGTCCCCGAGGAATATTTAGATTTGTTACGCTCTAAGAAGGTAGCTCTGACGGAGAAGTTGGCTGATTTGGATGATGAATTTGCCGAAGAGTACCTCGAAAATAGATATACGATTGATTCCCTCCGTGCGGCCATAAGACGATGCTGTTTGTTGCGCAAGGCATACCCTCTGCTCATGGGTTCTGCAAAAGGGAACAAGGGTGTCCAACTAGCTATTGATGCAGTGTGCCATTACTTACCGTCGCCATCTGATGTGGTACAGCATGGTTACATCACCGACGATGAGACTACAGAACTTGAAGGTGGTACCAAACAACCTTTGGTGGCCTATGCGTTCAAGATTCAGGACAGTCCTATGGGACAACTCACATTTTTGCGTATATACCAGGGTATACTTCGCAAGGGACAGCAACTTTACTTAGTGGAGGAAAACAAGAAACACTCCACCAAAAAATTGTTCAAGATGCACGCTAGCGACACAGAGGATGTTTCTGAAGCTTGCAGTGGAGACATAGTGGCAATCTCAGGTTTAAAGTGCAACTCTGGTGTAACATTTACTGATGGTCGTTTACAACTAACAATGGCCCCTATATTCGTCCCGGAACCTGTAGTCTCACTTGCCCTGAAAAAGGTGGACACGAGCGACATGGCGCGTTTGTCTAAGGCACTGCACCGGTTTAAGCGAGAGGACCCTACTTTCCGTATTTCAGTAGATGAGGAGAGCAAAGAAACTGTCATGAGCGGTATGGGTGAGCTGCACCTTGGCATTTACGTGGAGCGCATGAAACGAGAGTACAACCTGACGGTCGAGACTGGGCCCCCTATAGTGAACTATCGTGAATCCGTGACGAGACGGGTCGACTTTTCTTATACTCACAAACGGCAATCTGGTGGAGCGGGCCAATACGGCAAGATTGTAGGGTATATAGAACCGATTGGTGAGGATGCAAACCAGCACTTGCACGTCGAGTTCGTGAATAACCTAGTGGGAAACGACATACCCCCGAATTACGTACCGCACATCGAGAGCGGTTTTCGTGAATGTTGTAAAAAGGGGCTTGTATGCGGTCGTCAGGTGGTGAACACAAGAATAGTTGTGAACGATGGCCAGTCTCATGAGGTGGATTCGTCTGACATCGCATTCAAGCTCGCTGCCAAGGGCGCTTTCGACGAATGTTACATGGACACCAATCCTATTGTTTTGGAACCGGTTATGCAGGTAGAGGTCGTTACTCCTCACGAATTTCAAGCATCAGTGTTATCTACCATCACGAAACGCAAGGGTCTGGTGACTGACACATCTTCATACGGCACTAACGTCATTTTGCAAGCTCAAGTTGCACTTCGTAACATGTTCGGGTACATTACGGACCTACGTGCAGCTACCAAAGGGCAAGGAGAGTTCACTATGGAATTCAAGCTCTATCAGCCCATGAACGCCTCGGACCAGGAAGCGTGTTCAAAGGAGTACCGGGAGAGCCTTAAAAAATGATATAAATGTACAATAATCTTTATAAATGGTGTTACAATGAAATTTATGTATCATAATAGTTATGTTAATGATTGTCACGCCTGCCTCCCGTGTGTAGAGCGGCTACCCAAGATATAACGAAACCCGCTTATTGCGGTACTATCGGGGCTCCAAGGAGATCTCCACTCTCAAATAGAACAATGTGTAGCATTAAATGATATCCAGCTGGCAGCAGTGACCGTGTAAGCGGATACCGCTCTGCGTCCCACCGCCATGGAGGACCTGCTCCAGGTCTTCAGCAGCCTGGTATCAGACCGAGTACGGCACTTCGAGCTTGTGAAGGTTACTAGCAACGCTTCTCATGCGAAGGCTTACGTGTTGGTCGCCGATGGAGGGTTACACCTGGTCACTGGTTCACTTAGCAGCACTCTGAAGAGCGGCAGCTTCAAATATGAAGCCATCACGAGTGTCGAACAGAATGGCAACGTGATAACGCTTCAAATCTCGCCAGATGCTGGATCTTCGCTGCAAGCGCTTGAGATGGGAACCCCCCGCCGTACTCAGCTATACACCAAAATCAAAATAGCGCTTCGTGCCCGTTACATGCTATCCGAATATAAGGTAGTTCCTCTAGATTTGTTTAAATTTTGTTAGGAAGAAGAAAACTCTTCCGATGAAGAGAATGATGAAAATGATGGCCAAGAGCGTACACTGTTGCCTTTCAAAGGTTACAAAAAGGTGACGTTGACTGGCTACTTTTTCTTCGTTCGGGACACATTTGAGCACACTTCCTTTACAAGTGGGAGTTTGATACGGTTACAAGACATCGGCAGGTGTATTTCCATAAATGTCAATGTACGGGATACAATGCCTCTGAACTCACCTGAGATGGTAGGGGAATACGTAGCGTTTAAAAAATCCTCACAGCCAAAACATCAAGACCTATACCAGTATTCTCGCAGTATCTTGCACGAGCTAGGTACAGCAGAGGTGCTTGTTGATGGTGTGTATAACAAACGCATGAACCTTAACAACGACCTTGCATCGTGGTCATGCTACCACTTGTTAGTCCGTACCGACACATCTCTCGTGGCATTCTTCATATTTCGCCGGATGTACATACCTCCAATGTTTGACAAATGCCAGGATATTTCGATTCGTTTTTCGGCCTCTTTGCGCAGTATGTTTTTTGAGCTATGCCATGCTGCATTCAACTACAGGTCCGGCAATGTCGCACGTCTCAGCGTTGTACAACGAGATCAGCACGACCGCCAATTCTCTCACAGCTGTCGACGAGTACAACATGTGGTATGATGCGCTGATTTTGCGGACACTTTTACGCAGGTACAAGGACCTCATTCAGGTCCGTTTGGACAACCTGCGCTTTGACCATCCGATGTATGCATTTTTGAAGCGACAGGGTGGTGTAGTACCTAGCTACCACAAGCTAATAAAAGGTTTCACGCTATCAGTGTTGCGTTTGCTTCCTCCAGATTTTGTGGATCCGTATGTGATTCAGCAGCTGAATGACCCAATGGTCCTCGCCAGCGATGATCCCATGGACTACATCTATAACGTTAAGGCCTTAATGTTTGGAATTGGAAGCTCCGAGGAGATTCCTGACCGCAAAGAGCTAATGAATCGATTCGACATGCGCCTCGCAGATTACATCGCACTCTGCATAGATGACCTACTTATGGGTCATCATCTTTCACTAGCTATTTTGACACGGTACCTGAACTGTATGGAAGACAGCGCCTACAAAAAGGTGAACACCAAATTAACCATAGCTCATTATCTGCAGAAGTTGCGCAGCGTAACGGCTTACCTCATACACTTTCGGCCGATCGACTTTACCAAGGCGTACTCACCTTTACTCTTGGATAGAATAATAGAGTCCTATTGTGTCGATAGTGGTGGCTTCAACTGGTCAGGAGTGGTGTTCAATCATTATGCCGCGTCGGTATGTAATGTATCATCTTCCACATGAATTATGCAGCGCATGATCGAGGAGGGGTTCTTCATACACCAATACGCCAAAGATATGCGGAATGCTCACAGTGAGTGGAACCCTTATGTTAGCTTGGTTAGCGACCTCCTCGATAAGTACAACGACGACCTCATAATGGAACGTGTCTTGAAGAAGTTCCTGGACATTCCTCAGCCGATTGACCCGTCATATCTGCCTCTTTTGAAGTGTATGATTCGTATGCTGCGGAGATACTCGATGAACTACAAGATTGTTGTGATCATTACTTCAATTTTGACAAATTTTAGCTTCAACTCAAAAATTTTCAAGGATCATATGATCAAGAATGGCGTTGCCACACTCTTAATAGAAAACATGTTATCGGGTGAGGACCAAATCGTACTGTCTACACTAAAGCTCATGATCAATATAACCAAGACCCCTGATCATCAGAATGCGTTTATCAGTCATGGTGTCATGAGCAACTTCATTGTGATACTTGAGAAATATTATGCGAAGAATATCGAAATAATCGCATTGTCTGCGGCTGTTTTGGGTCAGCTCTTCAACTCTGGTATTATGCGAATGACTTCCAAACAGCTTGAGTACATCATAGATGTGATGTTATTTTCTTACCATATAGGAGCGCAGGACGTTGGCCAAATAGGCATGTTGTTGTTTTGCCTGAAGAAGGCGCCCAAAACGGGTGCTATGCATATCAAGGTAGGACAGCACATGCTTCGTTCCATCGTGGTGGACCTTAAGGTGTATCGTGACGAGGCGTTTGTGGTCAACGCATTGGAGCTACTGCTAGAATTAACCGCGCGGGTGCAAAATTGCATCGCTATGCGCCAGCTAGGTGTATTAGAAGCGGTTGCACAGGTGCCACTAAATGACACATCCGTGCAACTTGCAAACAAGTTAAAGGAGCGCATTGTACGAAGGACTCGTTGTCTGGAGTCTACAGTGTAACAATCGCTCGAAAACAACATTAAAACTTGAATTGTACTATTATTCGTGAATTGGTGGCGCCAGTTACTGACACCTGTCGCCATGCCGTGAGGCTAGGATGGGCGTCAACATGTTCTTAGCTGTCGTATTCCTGCTGTCTAGATCCAACGGCGCTCCTTTTGAGATCTCTTTTCTCAGTCCCCAATGTGTATGTTGTGTATTTCCACCGCAAGGTCCTCAGAATGTCGTCTAGCTGAGCGGAATTGATTTTGGTCACGCAAGATGCTTACGCTACTGACGTTGCAGTAATACTTGAGGCCGTTCCACACAAGAGCAATGTACAAGACGATGAGGAAGAGTGGCTGAAAGAATAACGTCGCAATTTCTCTCCTGGAATAATAGTCGCGCGCTCTGGGTCTATTGGCGGTAGAGCCAGTCTGTACATGTGTTGACTCCCCGTTGAAGCGCCTTGCCGGAGCCACACGTATTCGATGCGGGGAAATAATCCTAGAAAACAGGCGGTATATATGACCACGTAACCCAGTCATTTACTTGTAACTGACCAATGCCCGCAACGGCGCCACAGGCAAGTAAGCCACGGGCCAAGCTGATACGCTATTCTTCAAGAAAGTTGCAAAACCATGCTTGTGCGTGGTATTGAATGCTGTGCTAGGGGTTGGTCGATTGCGTTGTCAGTTCCGTGGCAGCTGCAGTGTGTCAGACACCGCGTGTCGATCTCTTCTTTCAAGCAGTGGAAAAATTTATTGATATTCAAAAGGTATGTAACATGGACTCTGCGTTGTCTTCTACGCAAATGTGTATGCCATGTGTGATTGTGCCAATTCATATGTTGATCGGTTCCGTTGCCTTTTGCCATAAGCGGCGTGTGAAATATCTCCACCCATTCTACGCAATTGGGTTCGCTCAATATGCACGTGAAAACTTAATCTCAGTTGTATTACGTCTTTGAGCCACCTAGGCACTTTTCACACCCCTATTGCGCATTAGTAAGGAATGGTTTGGCGATTCGTAGTCTTTCTGATTTCTCAGCAATTTTGTGCATTTATGGTATTTTACGTTATTCCAAGTCTATCAAATGCGTATTTTTAAACATTTTCGCATTTCGTTGTGGATTCAGCACCGATACAGGTACGATGGCCATCACGTATGGAGCTTGCCACATCTGAAACCACACGAATATGGATTTAGGCGCATAGCCCGCAAACCGCCCTTCTTCAAACTGCGCAAGGTCGGGTTCCCTCAAATTACTAGGCGGTATTCCCCTATAAACGATTTTAATCGCACGATTCAAATCGAGTATAACTGGCAGAAATACGGAACGCTATACCACGAACTGCACGACGCATTAAAGGAAAGCCTTCCGGGAGTGTGTATAAACAGCGTAGCAAAGAGCGGAGACGCGACACTCAAGATATTGACCGAAGACGGCCGTGTTGTCTTTGACGCTGCCAAGGATAGTTACGAAGACGCTCGTTGCGTGGTGCAACGTTGCTATAAGAACATGTTACTTCATTAAAAACGATCAATTGTGACATATTTCATGTGTATTGAGCAAGTTTGTCCAATAATGAGTGTTTAACTTGCATCCGTTCGATGGTGTTTCGCATAGCGTTTGCGTCACCCCTTGCTCTGTTCTTGCACTTTCCGATAAACGGCAATGAAGCCTCCACAGCATCCAAGAAGCGTGTATTCACAACATAACCGGTGTTAACAAGACTTGAAAGAACGCAGACGACATCCCACATAGACGCACGCCTGAGATCCTCTTCCAAACGCTCCAGTAGCATCGTGTATAGCCCGTGGTCAACTATGCCGCAATCAGAGAAGACTGTCATCGTTAGTCTGACGTCCAGAGGCCTGAAAGTGTGGATCACATTAGGATACAAAACCAGAAAACTTTTAATGGCGTTTATCGCTGACATCCACGTGCAGCTATCATCACAATCTCCGGCTTCAATGTCGCATTTACGGAGTCTATTTAGCGATGCGATACAACAGGTCAATTCTTGTGCCTTCATTCCAGCTAGGTAGTCTTGCAGGTTCTCGCATAGGTACGCTACTATGTTGTGCATTACCTTGGCCCGTGCAAACGCATTGAGAATGATGGCCACGTCTATGGATTTCAATTGCCCTTTCATACCTAACATGTTATCTCCCAGGAGCATGTAGATCTCCTTATCGTGCAGTCCGATTTTTGAAAATCCGTTGAGAATGTTAGCCTGGTTTTGCATAGTGAACCTCCTTAACGATTTCATCATGCAAACCCTGTGGTAAAGCGCCTTAAGCAGCGGTAATAGATCCTTATGTCGCATCTTATCGCTGAAGTGGGCAACAGCTGCGACCGTATTAGCAACGCATTGCGGTGTCATATCGGCGTTACACGAAGTCAGGTCGGCGACCAAATCCTCGAAAAGCTTGGAATCGAAAAAGTTCAACTTATGAAACGCATTGAGTATTGTAACTTTGCATCTTGTGCTAAAGTTATTTTTGTCACACCGTATTCTCTGTGCTATTGCGGTCATCAGCTCTGGATTTAAAAGGTCGAGTCTTGCTACACCGTTGGCTATTTGTGAGACTGACATTGGATCAAAGGATCCGTCTCTAAATCGTTTGATGATCAAAGGTACGAGCAGCAGCAAAATACCCCTTTCGTCCTTTCCGAATTTTGCAAGGGAATTCACGAGTATTGCAATCGACTTGTCGCTCATGCTTTCACACTTGCTATCTATTACACCAACTAGTTTGTCAAAAGCAAAAGATTTTTTCAGTTTGCTTTCGTTCAAAATCAGTGCTGTAAGAATCATTGAGTAGTCGTGTTCGTTCAAAGAACGGTCATCAACAGTCTTGCAACCGTCCAGCACCGCTTTGAGATCGTCAATCATACCGTGTTTTCCCAATGTATGTATCAAGGTCGATATCTCGTGAGATCCGATTGCGTTGAGTTGTTTCACTACAATTTCAACTACCGCAACCATCAACTCAGGTGGAACTACGCCCACTTTGGAGAATGCATTCAGTATTATGATGACGTCCTTTATGTCGTAAGTGCACAACGCACTAGACAGGCGGTTTTTATCATCACTACGGTGACTTTCCTTGTTTTCGGCATAATTATAACTACATGAAACCTTGTTCAAATTTAATGTCACAACGGTGTCATCGGCTGGCGCAAACTGATGATGTAACTGGTCGGTATCATGGCCATGGGCAGACCACTCACGGCAGTTATTCTCCGGAGCTTTTCTTTGCACAGGTCTGGCCAACAATGCCCGTGAAATACGAGTCCACGACGTCTTACTGTGCTCCACATCCTTCTTCGAAAGAAGATTGAGGATGTTGGACACCTGCGGTCCGTCTAATCTCGAAATCACCCGTTCAAGTTTTGAGAGTAAGCCCTCAACGTCACTTGTAGAACATGCTCTGGATGCCGTATTCAGAAGAAACGGCAGTTTCATCCGTCAATCAGGGGGGAACGCAGCAAAGCATGGTCACAGGTGTGCGTCGTTCTTCTGGTGAGGATACAGAAGTGTTGCGGTTGTCACATACGTTTTTTCGCCTATGATAATTTACGTGAAAGGCGTTGTTTGTGTTATGCCTTAGTAATTGGTGGTTTGTGTCTTAAGGTTTATATGTGTCACGCGGATTACTACATTTACAACACGGGTGAGGCACAAATTTTACTGACACACGACCATTATTTGCATCAACTGCAAACATATAGCATCCGAGAACTTGAATGTGGTCAGATTACTCACTCAGTGAGTACTCTGTCGCTTCAGTTGTCTCGCTGTGGAAGGGACAACCAGCTTTGTTACTTGTCAAAAACAACTAGCGTATAGAAAAGACCATTAGTACTCGTGTACAACGCAATCGACGATTGCTTTGTTCAATATTTTCTCTTCTGGTCAACTTTTTGGACCGTCATGCCGGGCTCCCTACCGTGCCCAGAATGTCACATTTGGCACTTAGCGAATCATAGCGATGTTCTTGAGATGGTATCAATAATAGCACATAGTGTGACATCGGGGTAGAAATGGTCGTAAGTTGGCTCTGGTATATGTTGATGTCTTCAATGACATCGATCATTGCGAGTGGCCACCCACAGCTACACCATTTAAAAAAACACAAGACACCACCGCTCCAAGTTGACCACTTTAAAAGTATGTATATAGTTAGAATGCGATATTTCTCAGACTATATTGGCTTGGGATACGATGCGATATTCGGCAACCCGTTTGGCAGCTTCGGTCAGAACAACGATGCGGGTTACCGTAATCCTATCGTTGAAACCTCCGTCTCCATTGGAGATAAACAGCCTCATGATCAGTCTCCAAACAATCAATCGTGGACGCGCGAAATAGCAACATGCTGGCTCAGCGACACCCGCGAAGACGTTGGCGACGAGGACCTGCTGCACGACCTACAGAACGAATTCCAAGTAGAAGGGCCAGAGAGTAACGAGATTTTGGAGGCCAACATCCGCAGCGAATCTAACGGAGATTCCAATAGCATATACACGAAGAAGTACCGTATCGCCAAGTCCTTCTGCGCTATCAAAGAGAGCGGGATAGTGTTGCCTTATAAGGGGTAAGCCATGAGTAGCACTGTGTTGAACCGTTGATGCATAAACATACTGTCATTTCTCACACATTTGAATCATATATCGTGCTAATATCCGTCAGAACAATATCATCCGTTTTTTTAAAGGACGTTGAGAACCTGCCAAAGGAAATCGCTAATTTGGGCACATGTACTCCAGATGTATACATCGCAGAGCCCACACATGAGGACTGTGCCGATATCCATATGTGGATGAAGTTCTTTAAACGATATGGGACGCATATAACGACACGTCTGGTTATAGGTGAGGGTCCATACATACACCTTCAGTCTTATTTAACCTCGTGACGTTTATACAGGTGGGCAAATCATCTACATAGATCGTGTCGTAACAGCTGAGAAGTCTACAAACACGCAGCACAAAAAGGTTGAGGGTGACAAAAATGTCTCTGTCGTCGATGATTTTAGGGCCATGATGAACGGTACTCGGGAATCCCACCAGATGTGGGTAATAGGGGGATTCTATTTTACAGGATTAGAGCACAACGACTCACGAGCATTTAATAAATGGTTACAAAGTGTATGGAAGCGACCAATGCCCATCAGGGCTAATTTCTCGTCGTTAGATCATTTTCTTGGTGAAAAGGGGGATAGTTATCATCACGCTCTGAGCTTCTATCGAAACTTTCAGAACGTTGCGAATGGTCACTCCTTGAACTACCGAACATTTTCTCAGATGCTCAAAGAAATGGTGATGGTAGTAGCTGACAACGGATTCGCTCGTTGCCCGTCAGACATGGTTGTGGTGGCTGGTTTTGTGATTACCAAGAGCATTCCAATTTCAATTGACACTTGCATTCCATCGAGGTAAGAGTCCAGCACCACCCGAGTTCTATACTCTTTTCAGGGCATTCTGCTCAAGCGACGTGATCCGGGATGATGCCATAGCTGTGGCACTTTGCGCTAAGGGCACAGGGTTCACCCTGACTGCCATTGAATCAAAGAACAGCCGTTCCTGTCCAGGCGACCTGGTTGTTGCGTTCGGATTTCAGTTGTTCGTCGACCAATCATCCGCGCTGCAACTGACAGCATGTCCTTCGGGTTAGTAGGTTACGATATCTTTCTATACTGTTCCAGGCCGTCGGGACTGTGGTTCGATGCCATCACGGGATGGAGTTGAGTGGAAGGCTTGTATACAGCGCAGCCTCTTGGATTCTTCCTTCAGTCCTAGGTCCGGTGCTATTTTACACCGTCAATACAAGACACTAGGGTGCCCAGATTCGCAAAAGGTTGTATCAGGTAGGATTTAAAGTCCATATTTCGATAAATTTAGGTTTCTCACTACGTCGCATAGAGAATAAGCTAGTTGTGGATAAGTGCTTACCGGGAATCAAGACCTGTAGTATCCGATGCGGCAGTGAGAAATGCCGTGACGGCGCAGCCTATATGCTATGCTTGTAAATGTTTGGAATGCGGTAAGACTAGCGCTAACTACAGTGCGCAACTCTATGGTCAATGTTATGAAAACTAAGCGTAACCCATGTTCATGCGTCTTTTGGACCTAAACCAAAGGTACGGTTTTCTGGTTACACCGGTTATCTACACTGCCGAATCGATGTTGCCACATTGTGCATTGACCTATGTCGCTGTGATGCAAGCAATATCATCGTGACTGACTGGGACGTGGAGAACAGCTGTCTTGCGGATACACGCAAGTTTCGCCCTCATCATCAGAGAGATATGGTCGTTGAGTATGACCAGATGCTATACGAAGTATTTCTTAGACAACAGAAATTACGATTCTAACTAGATTTAGAGCTCGGGTTCACCTAATATCATCAACCTAACACGTGTTGTAGAATCCTAATCTGAAGTTGTAAAACATCGGTGTTTTAATTCGCTCCATTCGACCCACACACTGACCATCAAGGCGTTTACACTTTAATTCCCGATCTTAAAAACGGACACTTAAAACTAGGTTTGCTGCCGGACGCTTTCAGATGTGCGCCGGTCCCAGTACCCTTCTACGGCCACCATAAATCGCCACTGGTAATTTATTTTGCAATGTCGGACGACGGGGAATATAATTTCTCTTTGACAACGTTCAGCCCTAGCGGGAAGCTGGTACAGATCGAGAATGCTCTGGCAGCTGTTTCCAAGGGCGCGCCAACTCTAGGTGGGTTATCTTTTTTTGCGCAGTGTTTACGACTCTCCACTGTGTTTTAGACACCCAATACTAATATTAAATAGGCATAAAGGCCAAGAATGGTGTAGTCATCGCCTCGGAACGGGCGACGCTCTCGCCCCTTGTGGAGACGGACTCAATTTACAAGATCGATTATTTCACGCGCAACATTGGTGTAGTGGCAGCCGGTATGCCGGCTGATTTCAGAATCGTGTTAAAAAAGGGACGGAAGGAGGTGAGTGTGGCTTACGGTGTTTGGTTTGGACGAATGGATAGCGCCTGCGTGTTATATATCAACGGCAAACCTACACATGCCCTTATATTGTTACTCGATTCATCATTTCTAAGGCGATCAAATACAAGATGGTATATGGTGATGATATACCCGGGGCAGAACTAGTCAAGGAGGTCGCCAGCATTATGCAGGAGTACACGCATTCCGGTGGCGTGCGTCCCTTCGGTATATCTCTCCTGCTCGCATCGTAAGTGTCTGCGTAGCTGTCCATACTTTATGTCTATCTTTAAGTGTTTGATAAGGTGTTTTTTAAATAACCTGTTTTGCCTGTGACGTTGTGGCGAATATATGTTGTTATTTTTCTAATGTCAACGAAAGATGGGACATAACGTGTCGCAGTTACGATTCAGAGGGTCCGCAACTATACCAAATCGACCCATCCGGAGCATACTTCGGCTGGCGTGCTACGGCAATCGGTGATCGTATGCAAAATAATATGACCTTTTTGGAGAAGCGTTACAACGAAGATATGGAGCTGGAAGATGCCATACATATCGCTATATTAACTTTGAAAGAAGGATTCGAAGGTGAAATGAACGCAGAAAACATAGAGATCGGTGTGGTCGGTCCGGATGGAATCTTCAAGATTCTACCCAAGGACATAGTCAACGATTACCTTAATGAACTGCTCTAATAGACATATTTGTTAAATTGAAATACGCACATCCGACGCACTCTAGTGCGTGGAAGCGCCTACACATGAACCGTTGGCGACGACACACTCCTCTTACAGTGGCCACTCGCGGGAGAGAGTCACTTTTTTATTATATTAAAGATCCTATTATGCGGATTAAAACACAGGATCGATATCGCAGGCGAGGTAGCAGAGAAGACGGGCAGGTTCTATAGAGAGATGGCAGACCCGCGGCTCGACGTCGAGGCACTTTCTGCGCCTTCAGAGGAGGCTAGGGGAGGCGATGATGCAATACACATCGACGTTTCGAAGGCCATAGGTGATGTCCGTTTGGTTCTCAAGGGTCTTTCGCGTATAGGTAAGTTCAGGCGTACCCATTATACGCGGCTAATGCGCGCGCCATCGCGATCAAAGAGCAAGTATATATCTATGGTAGCACTTCATGCGTTGTGATTCATCCATTGTTGCCTTGAGTGGCCGACTGCTGCAAGTTCGGAAGCCATCGTGTGGAATCAGATCTGCGCATACGTAGCTCCGATCCATCATTGGCCTGGTTGCTGACTTGACATGTTATCTTGCTTCGAATCACGCCAAATGCTCACGTTTGCGTAGAGAGTTCGGCTGTCTATCCGGATCTGGTACCTGTGACGAAGGCTAGCACCGTGCAAGAGCTGTTTTCGTCCCTAGATGAATCACACGGGGTATAGCCTCCCCTCACTGTATATCATGTAAATACAGCGTTTGAACAAATTGGGGTTATTCAAGACCGTAGTCTCTAACGTCCACCGCGGAAGGCGTCCAGGGGACGTGAACGTCGTCTTCCAGTTCGAGGAAAAAACGCCGTCTTATTCGATCGGCGTTACGACTAACCAAAAGGCTGAAGCTAATATCGTATATTATTTGTTAAAATGTTATAATGCTGCCTCAGGAAGTTAAAGGTGATGTGCCTGGGATCTTCGGTACCTGCAATTCCGCTTCACTTCAGCTGAACAATTCAGGTTGTGGCTCTCAAAAGATCGCGGTAGGTCGATACTTACGTTATTGCATCGTGTAACATGTTCCCAGTTCTCATACTTCATTCCGCGTAACTTTGGTTTGCCGAATTTCACAAGTGTCTTCCAGCTGTTTGCATCCCAGAGGGACTTTGCAAACTACTCGTCGTTTTCGACTAAAACCAAGGGAGTGTCTTTCACCATGTCCGATGTCAACAAGCGGCACCAGTTAACTTGGGAGGCTTCTGTGAACGATTTGTATCCTGTGTTCAACGAACGCCGTCGCGCTTCTGAGGCTGTACTAAGACACGCTGGTAGGTCGCTTAAGAATGCATTGTCTTATCAATACATTATTGATGACCTCCGTGGCGAAGGTATCCCCAGCGATGGGCAATGCACGCAATTCAAAGTCGTAGGTTTTATCGCAGTATTGTTCATGCTTGCCAGGAGGCTGGCCTGTCTGGTGGTGATCGGCAGTTCTTGAAATTCGACTACGGTATGCTCCATGCCAAGCTCATCCGGCACAAATACATCTTTCATCTGAACCTTTCGTTGGGTTATATGAGGCCGTTTGGTTCCCTGAGGAATGGGATAAGTCTGCTTGACCGGTTTCACTTTACTGGAAACGGGGGGGCGAGCACCGCATTCCGGGGGTTTGGCTTCCGCGGGGTAGGTCCGTGTGACCAGGGGTCGATATTCGACAACGAAAGTAACGGCTGGCAGCGTATACCAGAACACATCGGGGGAGACTGCTACGGAAACCTTCAATTAGCACTGCATTGTCCGTTGAAGTACGAGGATTACCGTTTGCCATTAGCTTTCTGCTTTTTCAATGTAGGTTCTCTCACCGCAATAGAAGATCGTCAACCGCATGAAAATGTCTACTCCCATATGTTTCGCGCGGTGCGAATGTCTCTGGGCGCCGGCGTCAGCATGTCTGTGGCGCCAGGATGTTGGTTGGAGGCGTTTGTAGCGCAGCCCCTACTCTACGCGCCTACCGACACAATCAGCCGATTGCAGTTGGGGCTCAGGTTCAAACACAACGTAATGTAATCGTCGCGCATTTGTGATCTCTGCGACCAACCCGGCAATGCCATCGGGTCCTCTCAGGGCATTTCTTCTATAACGCAAAGGTACATGTAACCAGTCTAACATAAATGCTACTATAGCAATTTAGATATAGGTCTACGTAGCACGCGTTACAGGAGCTTGATACGTCGCTTCCAACTGCCTACGTCGCTCCATCTCGGCCTCGAAGCGCTTGCTGTCGAAATGCATCATGATCACCGGGGTTGCTAGAAGGAAGCAACCTAATGCGCCCAACACCCTCAGTGTCTTAAAGCGACGTCCTGGTCGCGGGTTAAGGCATTGGTTGACGACGTTTGGGTCATATTGCGGCGACGAAGAGATGGATCTTGTCAGCCGGGGCGCCGTCAGCAGCCTTCGGATGGCGCAGCAGCTTAAGATGCGCATCTTAGCGCTATTAATGTTAGACTGTTTGTAGCTGCCAAATAGTCTGTTCGTATGACGGACAGACGCGACTTGTGGTGCAGGACACCGCGGCGAGATGGGTGATGTCGCTGTGTGAACAGCCTGCACACATTAGTAATGTGGAAAGTAGTACTGTTCAGTGCCACTTATATGTGGCTTTACTCGCCACGCGGGGCGCGATGTCGCGACAATCTCCTGAAACTGGAGATTCCGGAGAATCACAGCACACAAGAGTAGGTAATGCAGCACACTAATACACACAGTGCAGGATCTACAAAATATTTGAGATGGAACCTAAGGAGGATCATGTCGACGAGCGAATGTCAGATTTGGTGGCGTCTGTCGCTTTGGAGGTGTGTCTCGTTATTCAACGTGTTTGTACAATTGTGGCGTAACGTACTGATACGACTGTAATTAGTCCTCAATACGGTGTCTATGTGTGTATATCATATCTTTCGTGGTTGTCTACTAGTTTGTGTCTATTCACGGTATACATGGTTGATCAGAAGGACCGCAAAGAAATCGACCCCTTCACCTCGAAATGCGTACGCGACTTCTCCCGTACCTGCCCCGGTAAGTCACCATTTCTGTAAGCCTCATTTAATGCAGATAACTGGACGGTAACTGCTACCCGTTCATAGATAACATCGTTCGCAGAAAACCGGAACAACCTGTGAGGCACCATCGTCGTATAAAGGAGACTGCGAGCGCTCCGTAGATATGAACGATTTCACCATGGAGCGCAAAATGCTTTTTATGGCCGACTGCAAGGTGGAATGGCCATGCAAAAGCGACATTGACAAGGGCGAAGTGCAACAGTGTAAGGATACCGAGCGGAACTTCCTCCAACCGTGCCCAGAGAACTTTCTCAGGCACAAAAAAGATTCCGGATATGTATGTGTACCCGATTTTTCCGGCTATTTAGGGCCGTGCAACTCGATTGTGGATTTCACCGACTTCTCTAGAGAGTCGAAGATGATCTGGGCCCAAACTTGTGGAACGACATGGCCATGCATGACTATATGTCCCAAGGTTTTTGATGTATGCCCTATGGATTGGGTCTTGGCGGAGGATGGTGCGTGTGAAGCGCCTCCATCTTACAAAGGTCCTTGCGAGAAACGGACGTACTTCACGTATTACACTCAGGGTTAGTGCGTGAAAATTTAATCCATGTTGTCCAATAACCTCTAGAAATGAAGCGCAAGCGACTCTGGGAATGTGATATCCCATTCGAATGCAGCTCCCAGTGTCCGAAAGACTACAATAAGTGTCCAGGTACAGTCGTCATTTTGAGACAGCATGTTTCGTAGTGTTATGGAAAACGGAAGTGGATGGCTTTTGTCTGCCACCTAGTGACGCAGCTGGCTGCAGTGATCTCTTGGCAGAGTTGTTAAAGCAGGCCGGCCAGGTTCAAGTCGGTGCCACTCACAATTCGCTAGACCTGCGTTTGTTGGATCTCGAATCGAGAAAGCTCTTTGAGTCCAAATGCAGCAATGTCGAATTTCCGTGTATGGAGGAGGAGAATGGGATAAATTGGTCGTTACAATGCCCACGAGGTAGGTTCCGCAAGCATCCCACTGATCCGATGGCAGGCTGGACCATCAGCAAGGAAAACTTGAGGAGCTGCGTGCCACCCCAGGCGAAAGACGACGATCTCTGCCAATCGCAAGTGTCATTTAACGACGAAGAAGAGAAACGCGCTTTTGCTTCACTTTGCCAAATACATTGGTCAGGAGTTGCTGCGTTCACGGACACCTCAGCCACGGAAATAGAGCACCGAGTCAGCGGTCCCATAACAGGTATGTCGTTGACTTAGGGCATTTATCGTATCCTTAGATATCGGTATAGTGCATCTGCTAAATGAAACCCCTGATTTGGCGCTCACGTCACAACGAGCCGAGGCCGCAGCTGAGGCGGCTCCGCAACGCAAGGCTCCAAAAGATGAGACGGTCACTTTCAACCGAAAGAGCCTGGTTCGTAATGTTGCACCTTTTGTGGTGAGGAACAATGGAAACTCGAGTCGTAGGTTGTTCAAGGGCTTCACCCGAGAAGTCCACCTGATGCCAGGGTCAACCTAGTGCTGCTATGGTGTTCCTTCGTCTGGACGAACGGAATCACCGGGGATGTATATTCCCGCTGTGAGCTGTAATCGCTAAATTTCGTTGCTCATGTTTTCTAGAGGAGGCTAAAGGCCCGCCACAAGTGACAGTACGATATATATGTTTAAGATTTTAAGTTTTAGCCAGCTACATACGTGCCGCGATTTTAGATTTAACGATTATCCCTTGCCGCTCATTACAAGGTAAATTAGCACTGATATCAGACCCCATTTGAACACCGGATTTTCATTGAGTAAGATGGTGAGTAAACCGAATTTGGGCACACGTAGAAGCACGGTTCCAATTATGTGTTGATTTTCTAACCACTTCTGACCGCGAGCATACAAGCCCCGGTCTGCCACATCGTTGTTGTCTCCCTTGGTTAGCACACTAATATCGCCGCCGTTCGCGTGAAGACTGAGGGCCCGATGCACAATGGGTATATCCCTCCCGTTGACCTTGAACACCACTATGTCGCCTGCTGATACAGTGTCCTTCCTCATTAAAAACAGTATATCGCCTCGGTAGAAGGCCGGTTCCATGCTCCCGCTAAGAACCACAACTACAGGCGAATCCGTTCCTAAATGTGATAAGTATGGAGGGTAATTTGTAATTCGAAATAAGCAACCACGTTGGTTTCCAAAAGGCAGCCTGCTTTGGCACAGTACATGATAAGATATATATATATATATATATATATATATATATATATATCTTATCATGTACTGTGCCAAAGCAGGCTGCCTTTTGGAAACCAACGTGGTTGCTTATTTCGAATTACAAATTACCCTCCATACTTATCACATTTAGGAACGGATTCGCCTGTAGTTGTGGTTCTTAGCGGGAGCATGGAACCGGCCTTCTACCGAGGCGATATACTGTTTTTAATGAGGAAGGACACTGTATCAGCAGGCGACATAGTGGTGTTCAAGGTCAACGGGAGGGATATACCCATTGTGCATCGGGCCCTCAGTCTTCACGCGAACGGCGGCGATATTAGTGTGCTAACCAAGGGAGACAACAACGATGTGGCAGACCGGGGCTTGTATGCTCGCGGTCAGAAGTGGTTAGAAAATCAACACATAATTGGAACCGTGCTTCTACGTGTGCCCAAATTCGGTTTACTCACCATCTTACTCAATGAAAATCCGGTGTTCAAATGGGGTCTGATATCAGTGCTAATTTACCTTGTAATGAGCGGCAAGGGATAATCGTTAAATCTAAAATCGCGGCACGTATGTAGCTGGCTAAAACTTAAAATCTTAAACATATATATCGTACTGTCACTTGTGGCGGGCCTTTAGCCTCCTCTAGAAAACATGAGCAACGAAATTTAGCGATTACAGCTCACAGCGGGAATATACATCCCCGGTGATTCCGTTCGTCCAGACGAAGGAACACCATAGCAGCACTAGGTTGACCCTGGCATCAGGTGGACTTCTCGGGTGAAGCCCTTGAACAACCTACGACTCGAGTTTCCATTGTTCCTCACCACAAAAGGTGCAACATTACGAACCAGGCTCTTTCGGTTGAAAGTGACCGTCTCATCTTTTGGAGCCTTGCGTTGCGGAGCCGCCTCAGCTGCGGCCTCGGCTCGTTGTGACGTGAGCGCCAAATCAGGGGTTTCATTTAGCAGATGCACTATACCGATATCTAAGGATACGATAAATGCCCTAAGTCAACGACATACCTGTTATGGGACCGCTGACTCGGTGCTCTATTTCCGTGGCTGAGGTGTCCGTGAACGCAGCAACTCCTGACCAATGTATTTGGCAAAGTGAAGCAAAAGCGCGTTTCTCTTCTTCGTCGTTAAATGACACTTGCGATTGGCAGAGATCGTCGTCTTTCGCCTGGGGTGGCACGCAGCTCCTCAAGTTTTCCTTGCTGATGGTCCAGCCTGCCATCGGATCAGTGGGATGCTTGCGGAACCTACCTCGTGGGCATTGTAACGACCAATTTATCCCATTCTCCTCCTCCATACACGGAAATTCGACATTGCTGCATTTGGACTCAAAGAGCTTTCTCGATTCGAGATCCAACAAACGCAGGTCTAGCGAATTGTGAGTGGCACCGACTTGAACCTGGCCGGCCTGCTTTAACAACTCTGCCAAGAGATCACTGCAGCCAGCTGCGTCACTAGGTGGCAGACAAAAGCCATCCACTTCCGTTTTCCATAACACTACGAAACATGCTGTCTCAAAATGACGACTGTACCTGGACACTTATTGTAGTCTTTCGGACACTGGGAGCTGCATTCGAATGGGATATCACATTCCCAGAGTCGCTTGCGCTTCATTTCTAGAGGTTATTGGACAACATGGATTAAATTTTCACGCACTAACCCTGAGTGTAATACGTGAAGTACGTCCGTTTCTCGCAAGGACCTTTGTAAGATGGAGGCGCTTCACACGCACCATCCTCCGCCAAGACCCAATCCATAGGGCATACATCAAAAACCTTGGGACATATAGTCATGCATGGCCATGTCGTTCCACAAGTTTGGGCCCAGATCATCTTCGACTCTCTAGAGAAGTCGGTGAAATCCACAATCGAGTTGCACGGCCCTAAATAGCCGGAAAAATCGGGTACACATACATATCCGGAATCTTTTTTGTGCCTGAGAAAGTTCTCTGGGCACGGTTGGAGGAAGTTCCGCTCGGTATCCTTACACTGTTGCACTTCGCCCTTGTCAATGTCGCTTTTGCATGGCCATTCCACCTTGCAGTCGGCCATAAAAAGCATTTTGCGCTCCATGGTGAAATCGTTCATATCTACGGAGCGCTCGCAGTCTCCTTTATACGACGATGGTGCCTCACAGGTTGTTCCGGTTTTCTGCGAACGATGTTATCTATGAACGGGTAGCAGTTACCGTCCAGTTATCTGCATTAAATGAGGCTTACAGAAATGGTGACTTACCGGGGCAGGTACGGGAGAAGTCGCGTACGCATTTCGAGGTGAAGGGGTCGATTTCTTTGCGGTCCTTCTGATCAACCATGTATACCGTGAATAGACACAAACTAGTAGACAACCACGAAAGATATGATATACACACATAGACACCGTATTGAGGACTAATTACAGTCGTATCAGTACGTTACGCCACAATTGTACAAACACGTTGAATAACGAGACACACCTCCAAAGCGACAGACGCCACCAAATCTGACATTCGCTCGTCGACATGATCCTCCTTAGGTTCCATCTCAAATATTTTGTAGATCCTGCACTGTGTGTATTAGTGTGCTGCATTACCTACTCTTGTGTGCTGTGATTCTCCGGAATCTCCAGTTTCAGGAGATTGTCGCGACATCGCGCCCCGCGTGGCGAGTAAAGCCACATATAAGTGGCACTGAACAGTACTACTTTCCACATTACTAATGTGTGCAGGCTGTTCACACAGCGACATCACCCATCTCGCCGCGGTGTCCTGCACCACAAGTCGCGTCTGTCCGTCATACGAACAGACTATTTGGCAGCTACAAACAGTCTAACATTAATAGCGCTAAGATGCGCATCTTAAGCTGCTGCGCCATCCGAAGGCTGCTGACGGCGCCCCGGCTGACAAGATCCATCTCTTCGTCGCCGCAATATGACCCAAACGTCGTCAACCAATGCCTTAACCCGCGACCAGGACGTCGCTTTAAGACACTGAGGGTGTTGGGCGCATTAGGTTGCTTCCTTCTAGCAACCCCGGTGATCATGATGCATTTCGACAGCAAGCGCTTCGAGGCCGAGATGGAGCGACGTAGGCAGTTGGAAGCGACGTATCAAGCTCCTGTAACGCGTGCTACGTAGACCTATATCTAAATTGCTATAGTAGCATTTATGTTAGACTGGTTACATGTACCTTTGCGTTATAGAAGAAATGCCCTGAGAGGACCCGATGGCATTGCCGGGTTGGTCGCAGAGATCACAAATGCGCGACGATTACATTACGTTGTGTTTGAACCTGAGCCCCAACTGCAATCGGCTGATTGTGTCGGTAGGCGCGTAGAGTAGGGGCTGCGCTACAAACGCCTCCAACCAACATCCTGGCGCCACAGACATGCTGACGCCGGCGCCCAGAGACATTCGCACCGCGCGAAACATATGGGAGTAGACATTTTCATGCGGTTGACGATCTTCTATTGCGGTGAGAGAACCTACATTGAAAAAGCAGAAAGCTAATGGCAAACGGTAATCCTCGTACTTCAACGGACAATGCAGTGCTAATTGAAGGTTTCCGTAGCAGTCTCCCCCGATGTGTTCTGGTATACGCTGCCAGCCGTTACTTTCGTTGTCGAATATCGACCCCTGGTCACACGGACCTACCCCGCGGAAGCCAAACCCCCGGAATGCGGTGCTCGCCCCCCCGTTTCCAGTAAAGTGAAACCGGTCAAGCAGACTTATCCCATTCCTCAGGGAACCAAACGGCCTCATATAACCCAACGAAAGGTTCAGATGAAAGATGTATTTGTGCCGGATGAGCTTGGCATGGAGCATACCGTAGTCGAATTTCAAGAACTGCCGATCACCACCAGACAGGCCAGCCTCCTGGCAAGCATGAACAATACTGCGATAAAACCTACGACTTTGAATTGCGTGCATTGCCCATCGCTGGGGATACCTTCGCCACGGAGGTCATCAATAATGTATTGATAAGACAATGCATTCTTAAGCGACCTACCAGCGTGTCTTAGTACAGCCTCAGAAGCGCGACGGCGTTCGTTGAACACAGGATACAAATCGTTCACAGAAGCCTCCCAAGTTAACTGGTGCCGCTTGTTGACATCGGACATGGTGAAAGACACTCCCTTGGTTTTAGTCGAAAACGACGAGTAGTTTGCAAAGTCCCTCTGGGATGCAAACAGCTGGAAGACACTTGTGAAATTCGGCAAACCAAAGTTACGCGGAATGAAGTATGAGAACTGGGAACATGTTACACGATGCAATAACGTAAGTATCGACCTACCGCGATCTTTTGAGAGCCACAACCTGAATTGTTCAGCTGAAGTGAAGCGGAATTGCAGGTACCGAAGATCCCAGGCACATCACCTTTAACTTCCTGAGGCAGCATTATAACATTTTAACAAATAATATACGATATTAGCTTCAGCCTTTTGGTTAGTCGTAACGCCGATCGAATAAGACGGCGTTTTTTCCTCGAACTGGAAGACGACGTTCACGTCCCCTGGACGCCTTCCGCGGTGGACGTTAGAGACTACGGTCTTGAATAACCCCAATTTGTTCAAACGCTGTATTTACATGATATACAGTGAGGGGAGGCTATACCCCGTGTGATTCATCTAGGGACGAAAACAGCTCTTGCACGGTGCTAGCCTTCGTCACAGGTACCAGATCCGGATAGACAGCCGAACTCTCTACGCAAACGTGAGCATTTGGCGTGATTCGAAGCAAGATAACATGTCAAGTCAGCAACCAGGCCAATGATGGATCGGAGCTACGTATGCGCAGATCTGATTCCACACGATGGCTTCCGAACTTGCAGCAGTCGGCCACTCAAGGCAACAATGGATGAATCACAACGCATGAAGTGCTACCATAGATATATACTTGCTCTTTGATCGCGATGGCGCGCGCATTAGCCGCGTATAATGGGTACGCCTGAACTTACCTATACGCGAAAGACCCTTGAGAACCAAACGGACATCACCTATGGCCTTCGAAACGTCGATGTGTATTGCATCATCGCCTCCCCTAGCCTCCTCTGAAGGCGCAGAAAGTGCCTCGACGTCGAGCCGCGGGTCTGCCATCTCTCTATAGAACCTGCCCGTCTTCTCTGCTACCTCGCCTGCGATATCGATCCTGTGTTTTAATCCGCATAATAGGATCTTTAATATAATAAAAAAGTGACTCTCTCCCGCGAGTGGCCACTGTAAGAGGAGTGTGTCGTCGCCAACGGTTCATGTGTAGGCGCTTCCACGCACTAGAGTGCGTCGGATGTGCGTATTTCAATTTAACAAATATGTCTATTAGAGCAGTTCATTAAGGTAATCGTTGACTATGTCCTTGGGTAGAATCTTGAAGATTCCATCCGGACCGACCACACCGATCTCTATGTTTTCTGCGTTCATTTCACCTTCGAATCCTTCTTTCAAAGTTAATATAGCGATATGTATGGCATCTTCCAGCTCCATATCTTCGTTGTAACGCTTCTCCAAAAAGGTCATATTATTTTGCATACGATCACCGATTGCCGTAGCACGCCAGCCGAAGTATGCTCCGGATGGGTCGATTTGGTATAGTTGCGGACCCTCTGAATCGTAACTGCGACACGTTATGTCCCATCTTTCGTTGACATTAGAAAAATAACAACATATATTCGCCACAACGTCACAGGCAAAACAGGTTATTTAAAAAACACCTTATCAAACACTTAAAGATAGACATAAAGTATGGACAGCTACGCAGACACTTACGATGCGAGCAGGAGAGATATACCGAAGGGACGCACGCCACCGGAATGCGTGTACTCCTGCATAATGCTGGCGACCTCCTTGACTAGTTCTGCCCCGGGTATATCATCACCATATACCATCTTGTATTTGATCGCCTTAGAAATGATGAATCGAGTAACAATATAAGGGCATGTGTAGGTTTGCCGTTGATATATAACACGCAGGCGCTATCCATTCGTCCAAACCAAACACCGTAAGCCACACTCACCTCCTTCCGTCCCTTTTTTAACACGATTCTGAAATCAGCCGGCATACCGGCTGCCACTACACCAATGTTGCGCGTGAAATAATCGATCTTGTAAATTGAGTCCGTCTCCACAAGGGGCGAGAGCGTCGCCCGTTCCGAGGCGATGACTACACCATTCTTGGCCTTTATGCCTATTTAATATTAGTATTGGGTGTCTAAAACACAGTGGAGAGTCGTAAACACTGCGCAAAAAAAGATAACCCACCTAGAGTTGGCGCGCCCTTGGAAACAGCTGCCAGAGCATTCTCGATCTGTACCAGCTTCCCGCTAGGGCTGAACGTTGTCAAAGAGAAATTATATTCCCCGTCGTCCGACATTGCAAAATAAATTACCAGTGGCGATTTATGGTGGCCGTAGAAGGGTACTGGGACCGGCGCACATCTGAAAGCGTCCGGCAGCAAACCTAGTTTTAAGTGTCCGTTTTTAAGATCGGGAATTAAAGTGTAAACGCCTTGATGGTCAGTGTGTGGGTCGAATGGAGCGAATTAAAACACCGATGTTTTACAACTTCAGATTAGGATTCTACAACACGTGTTAGGTTGATGATATTAGGTGAACCCGAGCTCTAAATCTAGTTAGAATCGTAATTTCTGTTGTCTAAGAAATACTTCGTATAGCATCTGGTCATACTCAACGACCATATCTCTCTGATGATGAGGGCGAAACTTGCGTGTATCCGCAAGACAGCTGTTCTCCACGTCCCAGTCAGTCACGATGATATTGCTTGCATCACAGCGACATAGGTCAATGCACAATGTGGCAACATCGATTCGGCAGTGTAGATAACCGGTGTAACCAGAAAACCGTACCTTTGGTTTAGGTCCAAAAGACGCATGAACATGGGTTACGCTTAGTTTTCATAACATTGACCATAGAGTTGCGCACTGTAGTTAGCGCTAGTCTTACCGCATTCCAAACATTTACAAGCATAGCATATAGGCTGCGCCGTCACGGCATTTCTCACTGCCGCATCGGATACTACAGGTCTTGATTCCCGGTAAGCACTTATCCACAACTAGCTTATTCTCTATGCGACGTAGTGAGAAACCTAAATTTATCGAAATATGGACTTTAAATCCTACCTGATACAACCTTTTGCGAATCTGGGCACCCTAGTGTCTTGTATTGACGGTGTAAAATAGCACCGGACCTAGGACTGAAGGAAGAATCCAAGAGGCTGCGCTGTATACAAGCCTTCCACTCAACTCCATCCCGTGATGGCATCGAACCACAGTCCCGACGGCCTGGAACAGTATAGAAAGATATCGTAACCTACTAACCCGAAGGACATGCTGTCAGTTGCAGCGCGGATGATTGGTCGACGAACAACTGAAATCCGAACGCAACAACCAGGTCGCCTGGACAGGAACGGCTGTTCTTTGATTCAATGGCAGTCAGGGTGAACCCTGTGCCCTTAGCGCAAAGTGCCACAGCTATGGCATCATCCCGGATCACGTCGCTTGAGCAGAATGCCCTGAAAAGAGTATAGAACTCGGGTGGTGCTGGACTCTTACCTCGATGGAATGCAAGTGTCAATTGAAATTGGAATGCTCTTGGTAATCACAAAACCAGCCACCACAACCATGTCTGACGGGCAACGAGCGAATCCGTTGTCAGCTACTACCATCACCATTTCTTTGAGCATCTGAGAAAATGTTCGGTAGTTCAAGGAGTGACCATTCGCAACGTTCTGAAAGTTTCGATAGAAGCTCAGAGCGTGATGATAACTATCCCCCTTTTCACCAAGAAAATGATCTAACGACGAGAAATTAGCCCTGATGGGCATTGGTCGCTTCCATACACTTTGTAACCATTTATTAAATGCTCGTGAGTCGTTGTGCTCTAATCCTGTAAAATAGAATCCCCCTATTACCCACATCTGGTGGGATTCCCGAGTACCGTTCATCATGGCCCTAAAATCATCGACGACAGAGACATTTTTGTCACCCTCAACCTTTTTGTGCTGCGTGTTTGTAGACTTCTCAGCTGTTACGACACGATCTATGTAGATGATTTGCCCACCTGTATAAACGTCACGAGGTTAAATAAGACTGAAGGTGTATGTATGGACCCTCACCTATAACCAGACGTGTCGTTATATGCGTCCCATATCGTTTAAAGAACTTCATCCACATATGGATATCGGCACAGTCCTCATGTGTGGGCTCTGCGATGTATACATCTGGAGTACATGTGCCCAAATTAGCGATTTCCTTTGGCAGGTTCTCAACGTCCTTTAAAAAAACGGATGATATTGTTCTGACGGATATTAGCACGATATATGATTCAAATGTGTGAGAAATGACAGTATGTTTATGCATCAACGGTTCAACACAGTGCTACTCATGGCTTACCCCTTATAAGGCAACACTATCCCGCTCTCTTTGATAGCGCAGAAGGACTTGGCGATACGGTACTTCTTCGTGTATATGCTATTGGAATCTCCGTTAGATTCGCTGCGGATGTTGGCCTCCAAAATCTCGTTACTCTCTGGCCCTTCTACTTGGAATTCGTTCTGTAGGTCGTGCAGCAGGTCCTCGTCGCCAACGTCTTCGCGGGTGTCGCTGAGCCAGCATGTTGCTATTTCGCGCGTCCACGATTGATTGTTTGGAGACTGATCATGAGGCTGTTTATCTCCAATGGAGACGGAGGTTTCAACGATAGGATTACGGTAACCCGCATCGTTGTTCTGACCGAAGCTGCCAAACGGGTTGCCGAATATCGCATCGTATCCCAAGCCAATATAGTCTGAGAAATATCGCATTCTAACTATATACATACTTTTAAAGTGGTCAACTTGGAGCGGTGGTGTCTTGTGTTTTTTTAAATGGTGTAGCTGTGGGTGGCCACTCGCAATGATCGATGTCATTGAAGACATCAACATATACCAGAGCCAACTTACGACCATTTCTACCCCGATGTCACACTATGTGCTATTATTGATACCATCTCAAGAACATCGCTATGATTCGCTAAGTGCCAAATGTGACATTCTGGGCACGGTAGGGAGCCCGGCATGACGGTCCAAAAAGTTGACCAGAAGAGAAAATATTGAACAAAGCAATCGTCGATTGCGTTGTACACGAGTACTAATGGTCTTTTCTATACGCTAGTTGTTTTTGACAAGTAACAAAGCTGGTTGTCCCTTCCACAGCGAGACAACTGAAGCGACAGAGTACTCACTGAGTGAGTAATCTGACCACATTCAAGTTCTCGGATGCTATATGTTTGCAGTTGATGCAAATAATGGTCGTGTGTCAGTAAAATTTGTGCCTCACCCGTGTTGTAAATGTAGTAATCCGCGTGACACATATAAACCTTAAGACACAAACCACCAATTACTAAGGCATAACACAAACAACGCCTTTCACGTAAATTATCATAGGCGAAAAAACGTATGTGACAACCGCAACACTTCTGTATCCTCACCAGAAGAACGACGCACACCTGTGACCATGCTTTGCTGCGTTCCCCCCTGATTGACGGATGAAACTGCCGTTTCTTCTGAATACGGCATCCAGAGCATGTTCTACAAGTGACGTTGAGGGCTTACTCTCAAAACTTGAACGGGTGATTTCGAGATTAGACGGACCGCAGGTGTCCAACATCCTCAATCTTCTTTCGAAGAAGGATGTGGAGCACAGTAAGACGTCGTGGACTCGTATTTCACGGGCATTGTTGGCCAGACCTGTGCAAAGAAAAGCTCCGGAGAATAACTGCCGTGAGTGGTCTGCCCATGGCCATGATACCGACCAGTTACATCATCAGTTTGCGCCAGCCGATGACACCGTTGTGACATTAAATTTGAACAAGGTTTCATGTAGTTATAATTATGCCGAAAACAAGGAAAGTCACCGTAGTGATGATAAAAACCGCCTGTCTAGTGCGTTGTGCACTTACGACATAAAGGACGTCATCATAATACTGAATGCATTCTCCAAAGTGGGCGTAGTTCCACCTGAGTTGATGGTTGCGGTAGTTGAAATTGTAGTGAAACAACTCAACGCAATCGGATCTCACGAGATATCGACCTTGATACATACATTGGGAAAACACGGTATGATTGACGATCTCAAAGCGGTGCTGGACGGTTGCAAGACTGTTGATGACCGTTCTTTGAACGAACACGACTACTCAATGATTCTTACAGCACTGATTTTGAACGAAAGCAAACTGAAAAAATCTTTTGCTTTTGACAAACTAGTTGGTGTAATAGATAGCAAGTGTGAAAGCATGAGCGACAAGTCGATTGCAATACTCGTGAATTCCCTTGCAAAATTCGGAAAGGACGAAAGGGGTATTTTGCTGCTGCTCGTACCTTTGATCATCAAACGATTTAGAGACGGATCCTTTGATCCAATGTCAGTCTCACAAATAGCCAACGGTGTAGCAAGACTCGACCTTTTAAATCCAGAGCTGATGACCGCAATAGCACAGAGAATACGGTGTGACAAAAATAACTTTAGCACAAGATGCAAAGTTACAATACTCAATGCGTTTCATAAGTTGAACTTTTTCGATTCCAAGCTTTTCGAGGATTTGGTCGCCGACCTGACTTCGTGTAACGCCGATATGACACCGCAATGCGTTGCTAATACGGTCGCAGCTGTTGCCCACTTCAGCGATAAGATGCGACATAAGGATCTATTACCGCTGCTTAAGGCGCTTTACCACAGGGTTTGCATGATGAAATCGTTAAGGAGGTTCACTATGCAAAACCAGGCTAACATTCTCAACGGATTTTCAAAAATCGGACTGCACGATAAGGAGATCTACATGCTCCTGGGAGATAACATGTTAGGTATGAAAGGGCAATTGAAATCCATAGACGTGGCCATCATTCTCAATGCGTTTGCACGGGCCAAGGTAATGCACAACATAGTAGCGTACCTATGCGAGAACCTGCAAGACTACCTAGCTGGAATGAAGGCACAAGAATTGACCTGTTGTATCGCATCGCTAAATAGACTCCGTAAATGCGACATTGAAGCCGGAGATTGTGATGATAGCTGCACGTGGATGTCAGCGATAAACGCCATTAAAAGTTTTCTGGTTTTGTATCCTAATGTGATCCACACTTTCAGGCCTCTGGACGTCAGACTAACGATGACAGTCTTCTCTGATTGCGGCATAGTTGACCACGGGCTATACACGATGCTACTGGAGCGTTTGGAAGAGGATCTCAGGCGTGCGTCTATGTGGGATGTCGTCTGCGTTCTTTCAAGTCTTGTTAACACCGGTTATGTTGTGAATACACGCTTCTTGGATGCTGTGGAGGCTTCATTGCCGTTTATCGGAAAGTGCAAGAACAGAGCAAGGGGTGACGCAAACGCTATGCGAAACACCATCGAACGGATGCAAGTTAAACACTCATTATTGGACAAACTTGCTCAATACACATGAAATATGTCACAATTGATCGTTTTTAATGAAGTAACATGTTCTTATAGCAACGTTGCACCACGCAACGAGCGTCTTCGTAACTATCCTTGGCAGCGTCAAAGACAACACGGCCGTCTTCGGTCAATATCTTGAGTGTCGCGTCTCCGCTCTTTGCTACGCTGTTTATACACACTCCCGGAAGGCTTTCCTTTAATGCGTCGTGCAGTTCGTGGTATAGCGTTCCGTATTTCTGCCAGTTATACTCGATTTGAATCGTGCGATTAAAATCGTTTATAGGGGAATACCGCCTAGTAATTTGAGGGAACCCGACCTTGCGCAGTTTGAAGAAGGGCGGTTTGCGGGCTATGCGCCTAAATCCATATTCGTGTGGTTTCAGATGTGGCAAGCTCCATACGTGATGGCCATCGTACCTGTATCGGTGCTGAATCCACAACGAAATGCGAAAATGTTTAAAAATACGCATTTGATAGACTTGGAATAACGTAAAATACCATAAATGCACAAAATTGCTGAGAAATCAGAAAGACTACGAATCGCCAAACCATTCCTTACTAATGCGCAATAGGGGTGTGAAAAGTGCCTAGGTGGCTCAAAGACGTAATACAACTGAGATTAAGTTTTCACGTGCATATTGAGCGAACCCAATTGCGTAGAATGGGTGGAGATATTTCACACGCCGCTTATGGCAAAAGGCAACGGAACCGATCAACATATGAATTGGCACAATCACACATGGCATACACATTTGCGTAGAAGACAACGCAGAGTCCATGTTACATACCTTTTGAATATCAATAAATTTTTCCACTGCTTGAAAGAAGAGATCGACACGCGGTGTCTGACACACTGCAGCTGCCACGGAACTGACAACGCAATCGACCAACCCCTAGCACAGCATTCAATACCACGCACAAGCATGGTTTTGCAACTTTCTTGAAGAATAGCGTATCAGCTTGGCCCGTGGCTTACTTGCCTGTGGCGCCGTTGCGGGCATTGGTCAGTTACAAGTAAATGACTGGGTTACGTGGTCATATATACCGCCTGTTTTCTAGGATTATTTCCCCGCATCGAATACGTGTGGCTCCGGCAAGGCGCTTCAACGGGGAGTCAACACATGTACAGACTGGCTCTACCGCCAATAGACCCAGAGCGCGCGACTATTATTCCAGGAGAGAAATTGCGACGTTATTCTTTCAGCCACTCTTCCTCATCGTCTTGTACATTGCTCTTGTGTGGAACGGCCTCAAGTATTACTGCAACGTCAGTAGCGTAAGCATCTTGCGTGACCAAAATCAATTCCGCTCAGCTAGACGACATTCTGAGGACCTTGCGGTGGAAATACACAACATACACATTGGGGACTGAGAAAAGAGATCTCAAAAGGAGCGCCGTTGGATCTAGACAGCAGGAATACGACAGCTAAGAACATGTTGACGCCCATCCTAGCCTCACGGCATGGCGACAGGTGTCAGTAACTGGCGCCACCAATTCACGAATAATAGTACAATTCAAGTTTTAATGTTGTTTTCGAGCGATTGTTACACTGTAGACTCCAGACAACGAGTCCTTCGTACAATGCGCTCCTTTAACTTGTTTGCAAGTTGCACGGATGTGTCATTTAGTGGCACCTGTGCAACCGCTTCTAATACACCTAGCTGGCGCATAGCGATGCAATTTTGCACCCGCGCGGTTAATTCTAGCAGTAGCTCCAATGCGTTGACCACAAACGCCTCGTCACGATACACCTTAAGGTCCACCACGATGGAACGAAGCATGTGCTGTCCTACCTTGATATGCATAGCACCCGTTTTGGGCGCCTTCTTCAGGCAAAACAACAACATGCCTATTTGGCCAACGTCCTGCGCTCCTATATGGTAAGAAAATAACATCACATCTATGATGTACTCAAGCTGTTTGGAAGTCATTCGCATAATACCAGAGTTGAAGAGCTGACCCAAAACAGCCGCAGACAATGCGATTATTTCGATATTCTTCGCATAATATTTCTCAAGTATCACAATGAAGTTGCTCATGACACCATGACTGATAAACGCATTCTGATGATCAGGGGTCTTGGTTATATTGATCATGAGCTTTAGTGTAGACAGTACGATTTGGTCCTCACCCGATAACATGTTTTCTATTAAGAGTGTGGCAACGCCATTCTTGATCATATGATCCTTGAAAATTTTTGAGTTGAAGCTAAAATTTGTCAAAATTGAAGTAATGATCACAACAATCTTGTAGTTCATCGAGTATCTCCGCAGCATACGAATCATACACTTCAAAAGAGGCAGATATGACGGGTCAATCGGCTGAGGAATGTCCAGGAACTTCTTCAAGACACGTTCCATTATGAGGTCGTCGTTGTACTTATCGAGGAGGTCGCTAACCAAGCTAACATAAGGGTTCCACTCACTGTGAGCATTCCGCATATCTTTGGCGTATTGGTGTATGAAGAACCCCTCCTCGATCATGCGCTGCATAATTCATGTGGAAGATGATACATTACATACCGACGCGGCATAATGATTGAACACCACTCCTGACCAGTTGAAGCCACCACTATCGACACAATAGGACTCTATTATTCTATCCAAGAGTAAAGGTGAGTACGCCTTGGTAAAGTCGATCGGCCGAAAGTGTATGAGGTAAGCCGTTACGCTGCGCAACTTCTGCAGATAATGAGCTATGGTTAATTTGGTGTTCACCTTTTTGTAGGCGCTGTCTTCCATACAGTTCAGGTACCGTGTCAAAATAGCTAGTGAAAGATGATGACCCATAAGTAGGTCATCTATGCAGAGTGCGATGTAATCTGCGAGGCGCATGTCGAATCGATTCATTAGCTCTTTGCGGTCAGGAATCTCCTCGGAGCTTCCAATTCCAAACATTAAGGCCTTAACGTTATAGATGTAGTCCATGGGATCATCGCTGGCGAGGACCATTGGGTCATTCAGCTGCTGAATCACATACGGATCCACAAAATCTGGAGGAAGCAAACGCAACACTGATAGCGTGAAACCTTTTATTAGCTTGTGGTAGCTAGGTACTACACCACCCTGTCGCTTCAAAAATGCATACATCGGATGGTCAAAGCGCAGGTTGTCCAAACGGACCTGAATGAGGTCCTTGTACCTGCGTAAAAGTGTCCGCAAAATCAGCGCATCATACCACATGTTGTACTCGTCGACAGCTGTGAGAGAATTGGCGGTCGTGCTGATCTCGTTGTACAACGCTGAGACGTGCGACATTGCCGGACCTGTAGTTGAATGCAGCATGGCATAGCTCAAAAAACATACTGCGCAAAGAGGCCGAAAAACGAATCGAAATATCCTGGCATTTGTCAAACATTGGAGGTATGTACATCCGGCGAAATATGAAGAATGCCACGAGAGATGTGTCGGTACGGACTAACAAGTGGTAGCATGACCACGATGCAAGGTCGTTGTTAAGGTTCATGCGTTTGTTATACACACCATCAACAAGCACCTCTGCTGTACCTAGCTCGTGCAAGATACTGCGAGAATACTGGTATAGGTCTTGATGTTTTGGCTGTGAGGATTTTTTAAACGCTACGTATTCCCCTACCATCTCAGGTGAGTTCAGAGGCATTGTATCCCGTACATTGACATTTATGGAAATACACCTGCCGATGTCTTGTAACCGTATCAAACTCCCACTTGTAAAGGAAGTGTGCTCAAATGTGTCCCGAACGAAGAAAAAGTAGCCAGTCAACGTCACCTTTTTGTAACCTTTGAAAGGCAACAGTGTACGCTCTTGGCCATCATTTTCATCATTCTCTTCATCGGAAGAGTTTTCTTCTTCCTAACAAAATTTAAACAAATCTAGAGGAACTACCTTATATTCGGATAGCATGTAACGGGCACGAAGCGCTATTTTGATTTTGGTGTATAGCTGAGTACGGCGGGGGGTTCCCATCTCAAGCGCTTGCAGCGAAGATCCAGCATCTGGCGAGATTTGAAGCGTTATCACGTTGCCATTCTGTTCGACACTCGTGATGGCTTCATATTTGAAGCTGCCGCTCTTCAGAGTGCTGCTAAGTGAACCAGTGACCAGGTGTAACCCTCCATCGGCGACCAACACGTAAGCCTTCGCATGAGAAGCGTTGCTAGTAACCTTCACAAGCTCGAAGTGCCGTACTCGGTCTGATACCAGGCTGCTGAAGACCTGGAGCAGGTCCTCCATGGCGGTGGGACGCAGAGCGGTATCCGCTTACACGGTCACTGCTGCCAGCTGGATATCATTTAATGCTACACATTGTTCTATTTGAGAGTGGAGATCTCCTTGGAGCCCCGATAGTACCGCAATAAGCGGGTTTCGTTATATCTTGGGTAGCCGCTCTACACACGGGAGGCAGGCGTGACAATCATTAACATAACTATTATGATACATAAATTTCATTGTAACACCATTTATAAAGATTATTGTACATTTATATCATTTTTTAAGGCTCTCCCGGTACTCCTTTGAACACGCTTCCTGGTCCGAGGCGTTCATGGGCTGATAGAGCTTGAATTCCATAGTGAACTCTCCTTGCCCTTTGGTAGCTGCACGTAGGTCCGTAATGTACCCGAACATGTTACGAAGTGCAACTTGAGCTTGCAAAATGACGTTAGTGCCGTATGAAGATGTGTCAGTCACCAGACCCTTGCGTTTCGTGATGGTAGATAACACTGATGCTTGAAATTCGTGAGGAGTAACGACCTCTACCTGCATAACCGGTTCCAAAACAATAGGATTGGTGTCCATGTAACATTCGTCGAAAGCGCCCTTGGCAGCGAGCTTGAATGCGATGTCAGACGAATCCACCTCATGAGACTGGCCATCGTTCACAACTATTCTTGTGTTCACCACCTGACGACCGCATACAAGCCCCTTTTTACAACATTCACGAAAACCGCTCTCGATGTGCGGTACGTAATTCGGGGGTATGTCGTTTCCCACTAGGTTATTCACGAACTCGACGTGCAAGTGCTGGTTTGCATCCTCACCAATCGGTTCTATATACCCTACAATCTTGCCGTATTGGCCCGCTCCACCAGATTGCCGTTTGTGAGTATAAGAAAAGTCGACCCGTCTCGTCACGGATTCACGATAGTTCACTATAGGGGGCCCAGTCTCGACCGTCAGGTTGTACTCTCGTTTCATGCGCTCCACGTAAATGCCAAGGTGCAGCTCACCCATACCGCTCATGACAGTTTCTTTGCTCTCCTCATCTACTGAAATACGGAAAGTAGGGTCCTCTCGCTTAAACCGGTGCAGTGCCTTAGACAAACGCGCCATGTCGCTCGTGTCCACCTTTTTCAGGGCAAGTGAGACTACAGGTTCCGGGACGAATATAGGGGCCATTGTTAGTTGTAAACGACCATCAGTAAATGTTACACCAGAGTTGCACTTTAAACCTGAGATTGCCACTATGTCTCCACTGCAAGCTTCAGAAACATCCTCTGTGTCGCTAGCGTGCATCTTGAACAATTTTTTGGTGGAGTGTTTCTTGTTTTCCTCCACTAAGTAAAGTTGCTGTCCCTTGCGAAGTATACCCTGGTATATACGCAAAAATGTGAGTTGTCCCATAGGACTGTCCTGAATCTTGAACGCATAGGCCACCAAAGGTTGTTTGGTACCACCTTCAAGTTCTGTAGTCTCATCGTCGGTGATGTAACCATGCTGTACCACATCAGATGGCGACGGTAAGTAATGGCACACTGCATCAATAGCTAGTTGGACACCCTTGTTCCCTTTTGCAGAACCCATGAGCAGAGGGTATGCCTTGCGCAACAAACAGCATCGTCTTATGGCCGCACGGAGGGAATCAATCGTATATCTATTTTCGAGGTACTCTTCGGCAAATTCATCATCCAAATCAGCCAACTTCTCCGTCAGAGCTACCTTCTTAGAGCGTAACAAATCTAAATATTCCTCGGGGACCTCTTTTTTAACTACCCGGTGCCCATTGGGGCCGTCAAAATAGTACGCACATTCCTCTAGAACGTCCACAAGGCCCTCAAATCGATTAGAAACTCCTATAGGGACCTGAAGTTGCAAAAGATCGATATTCAACTTTTGACGAATCATTTCTATTACCCTATCAGGGTCGGCACCGTCGCGATCCATCTTGTTCAAGAAAACAATACGTGGGATATTGTAGCGATCCATCTGCATATTGACTGTCAGAGTTTGCGATTGTACGCCTGCAACAGAGCAGCATAACAATATAGCGCCGTCAAGTACGCGTAACGCACGCTCAACTTCTATCGTGAAGTCGACGTGCCCAGGAGTATCAATGATGTTGATGGCATATTCATTGGAAGCACCATCAGACGAATTGTTCAAATACCACTTGAAGTTAGTTACAGCAGATTGTATAGTGATGCCGCGTTCGCGTTCTAGGTCCATGGAGTCCATTTTGGCGCCTACACCATCACTGCCTCGAACTTCGTGAATCGAAGCGATACGACCAGAGTAGAACAAAATACGCTCGCTTAGTGTCGTCTTCCCGGAATCTATGTGCGCACTAATGCCAATATTACGGATACGCGCCATGTTATGCTGACTGCTCCCAGTGTGGAAACTACGGCGCCAGCCTCCGGCCCGTATCTGAGTATCATGTGTAAAACAATCGGCACTCCTAACCTCTGTAGTATCAGATAAGTCATTTTGACACTCATAAGATGTAGCTGATGTTGATGCTTGTCCTTTTAATCGCGTAACTCTGCGTCTAGAGAGATGCACATACTAAGACATTTGAACGCGAAAAAATGGTGACTTACTTCGAGTTTCAAAAACCTTCCGTACGGAGTAAGGGGCAGTAGACTGCCACCTATGCGTGGCACCAAGGCTTGAAACGGAATCATGGATGCTCCTTTTTTGTTTTGGCGTTAAGATTGCTCATGAGACTAAAGCGGTGATACTTTACAGTTGTTCAAAACCTCATCCTAACAAAATCTGCATACGCGCCCTTGTTTAATTGTAATGTTTTCATTACAGTGTTGAAGTGTGTGGAAAGTGCAAACAGGTATACCCCTACCATGTGGAGATCGGCAAAAGGCTCGCGAGACTGACCATGCCACAGAACTCAAAAATACACTCATAGGAAGACTAACAGTTGTTAGTCATTATTTAGCAAATGTGTGTATACTGTCTTGTACATATTTTCAAACCCAGCGAATGAAACTCAATCAAAGTTCAAACGCTCTGTACAGAGGATTCCATTAGTAAAGTTGGCACGCTTAGCAAAGATTTACACAGTTATTTAAGATTCAGCAAGATTTATCCCTGACGGTCTTCGCCATGATGTTATCATACATTTCAACGCCCGGTCAGTTCATGTAATGCAATTTTCTCAAACATTTTCCAACACCGAATTACGTATAAAATGAGCGCATAACATTAGAATAGTTGCAGAAGTTAGTGTCTTTTAGTCAATAACCACGTAAGGCGATGACGTGTATCACAAATCGGCAGAATGTCAGACCCCGCCAAGAGAATTCCCGAACGACCACAACGTAAAAGACCACTTAATGACAGAATATTGTATTTAAGTGGCTTGAATGCAATCGATATTTTCCAGATAGGAAGACACCTTACCTAGGCCTAAAGATGATCTGCGTCACTGAGTGCTATTTCACGCCTTGCGCGGCTTCTTGCTTCCACTCTGTTCCCTTAAAGACCGCTCAATCTCCCGAACAGCCTTAGTAATGTGGTCAATTTTTTCGGCGTTGTTGAATGAGCTGGCTGGGTACATCTTCATTATTGGTGTCATTTGGCCGATTGAATCAAATAACATGTTTTCGTACAGCGATGTGTACAAATTGTTAAACCTAGACTCAGATATACCGTAAAACATCTCACTCGCTTGGGCCGCCACTTTGTGGCACCTACAAGGTACCTTCGGGTTGTCATTGTGCGCCTCGTTAAATCCAAACGTCTCGTAGTGCTTCGACAGCAACATATCCTTCTCGATAAACGATACACATTCGCGCGGGAAAGTTACCAACATGCTCTGATAAATAGAGACTAATTTATTGCTTTTGGAATACCGGCGGTCGGGGAGATTGATTTGGTAGGCATGCGCAAAGATGCGCAGTACTAGTGTTTTTAGCAAAATCTGGATATCTGCACGTTGTTCCAATGATCGGTTCAACCAAATCGCTTGGATACTGCGTTCATGTTCGTCGTAAATTTCGATGATGCCACCAGCCAACGGCATCACTCCACTGGAAGACTCAGTCTTGGCAGCCAACATAATGATGCATCCTTTCATGTCTTCGGAGTCCAAACGCTCAACAATGCGATTAACCGAAGCAAACAGTGAATTGTCATCGTTAATAGGTATATCAGAGTCCAGAACAGGTGCCTCACTACCGGCCGCACTTTCGCTAGAAGCTTGTTCGGATAGCGTTTTCATACGTGTGTCAACTGTGTTGCCATTCCTCACAGATGATGGCGATGAGGTTCTCGATGCATCTGCAGGCTCGTTTTTAGACGCTACAGAGTTATGATTTGTGCTGCTGTTACGAGAGCCGTCTGTGCTGGCAATATCAATAGCTGACTCCGCTGGCGCGTTGCCATTCACCTCGGTCTTTTCTTTAACATCATTAGCATCTTTGTTGTCAATAGTCGTCGGCGTTTCGCGGTTGTTAGCAATGATTTTCTGCATTATTTTACGCTTGTTGCGCGACGCAGTCTTGCAGTCCATTGGTAGCACCAGCGCATAAGGCTGGAGATCCATAAGATGAAAAAGAATATTGGTCGCATTGACCAGCCGTTGTGTAGTCAGATTTTGAGCCATTTTGCGAAGGTACCGGACAAAATTTGCTTCCTGTTATCGCAACCAGACTCACTCCCCCAAGAAAAAAATCAGATAAATACGACCACTCGAATTCACCAGAACTAATGACTTACGCAAAGACGGTTGGAGATAAAATTTGTCCTAACACAACATCTGCTCGTATTCCAAATAGGCAGAAGGTTGAGGGGAGAGGAAAATGTCAGGGTGCAAAAGACGTTTACGGTGCTTAACAAAACTGCCACAAAATGAGACGCTGACGCAATCACTGCAACACCTTCAACGTTATTCCGTAGTTTATGTTCCCTATACCCTTATGACACTCGTTAACATGGTGATGTAACGGTTAAATGCGTTAGGCGCATTTTCGCAAAAACCATTCACAAATCGGACAAATCGACCAAAAGAAATTCATACAAACCGGGAAGTATGCGAAATACCACAGCTTCATGTAATGTGGGAATATTGCGCTGAATGGAGTAAAAATAAAACACACAATAGTAAGCACACCTAAAAATCGATAAAACTAATGTCAAAGGCGACCACATACAACAAAATATAGACTTACTGCGATCATCGGTGGGCTCCAACACTGCGCCTTTTGATACTCTATTCCCCAAATGCTTCACACTACGGGTGAATGCGGCTAGGATACCGTGACAAAGAGGCTTAAATGATAGCCAAACAGTATCGATAGTTGACTTGTGGTATTTATACCGCCTTGGTGGTGGTATATCAGATCGTCTAGTGGTGCTTTAGGAGGTGTGTAGACGGATGTCTTCAGGGCAACGCGCCACCTGTGGTGTGACTTGCGAACGTAGAAAGGGTCTAACAAAAGTCAAGCCCTTTATAACTAGTTAATAGGCATTCATTGGCTTGATAATCTGCCTTTAAGCCAATAATATCGGTAAAAAGTCCGATCATGGCCTTACTGGGTTAAATCTGCGATACTGCTATGGAATATGAACTTTACATTCTTTGCAACGTGTTAGGTAGGTGTCTAATGCGGTCATATATTAGGTGTGTGTGACTCTAAGGCGCAAATTACCGACTGATTCGGCGGTAATCGGGGAACGCTAGGCGACACCATGCCCATTATGTAATCTATACGCACTCAGGCACTCTGATTGTTGTTCTGATAATATGCAAGCATTTTGAACAACGACCGGACAAGGAAGGCTAAGCGATTAGCATGGTGGCAGACAAAACGTACGACAACGTAGTTAAGGGAGGCCTTAAGATCAAGGGCAAGGCTATCGCTAAAAACAAGAAATTGATAGATGTCGAGAAGTCAAAATCAAAGGACATAATAGTTGTTGAACAACCTAAAGTAGAACTACAAATTGAGCCTGCCAATGGCATTCAGGCCAAAATACAACAAGGTACGATTCTATTGACAAATCTTCATAATTCGCGGAGCCAACTCACAAACATGCAGTTCTGGCAAATGATGCGTTAACACCCTCTGAGAAAACCTTCCACATTGCACAAATCAAAAGAAACACGAAGAAAGTAGAACACCTGCTCAAGGAGACCCACCGTGAACGGGTTGAAAAGTTCAACCAAAAGCTTTCAAAACTCTCCGAACGTACGTTTGGATTTTGCGTGTATCATGGCATGGTAGATTTTGATATCCCGAAGGTGGGACCAGGGTAATATCGTTACGTTGCAACTACTACTAACGATTCAACTCTTCTGCACTGGCGACTTCTCAACATCGCCAGATATCTGGTCATTACGACTAGCCAGGGAGTATATGGGTTTGAAATAGTGGATGTGCAACAATATGTCTTCTGTGACATTTTTAGGAACACCTCTATCGAAATATGAAATCGACGACATCGGTAAGTTTCTGCTTAGATATTAACTGCAATCTTATGGAAACACTGGTGTAAAATACCCGTGCAATGACCAATATCACAGCTCATCCAAATTTAGAAACGGATCTGACGAACAAGCGTGCCAAGGACTTCGAGAAGACTAAGGGGCTGCAATATCGACAGAATCGCGAAAGGATCAAACGAAACCAAATTACTACGCATTACACTGTCGACACCAATGAAGGTAAGCTATGCAGGAGTAGTATTTTATGGCATTCCTGGTCTGTATATATTTCATCAATGAGTTCTTTCGGCCTCTGAGTTGTCTTACAGGGTTCGTGCCGGCCAACTTCAAATCGTCTAAGACGATCCGAGCATCGTACGCACAACAGAATGTGAGAACTTTCACGGATGTCGAAGATGCGGATATAATCACCAAGAACACCCTTAAAGCGATCAAAATTGATCGAGTGGGTCTGAAGAGAAATATCGCAAATATCCTCAACGCCATAGGTTTCATGGGCAAGAAGCGCTTCATAGGGCCTATCAATATACATGTTGTGCAAACAAAGATATCAACAAGTCTAGAAGGTGTAGGATTCAATTTCGACGTTGAAACTGCTGTGGAGAAAGTCCAGTTCGTAAGGTCAAAGGACAGTTCTTGCGAACCTGGAGCCTACAAGGAGAAATGCAGCAATGCATTCGCTAATAAAAGCGAAGAAAGCACGGAAAGCGGCGATTCAGAGAAAGCCACCGCAGTAAAACCCATTGGAAATTCCTCTGGAACTGTGAAAATGGCCGGAATAGCAAAGCACGCTGACGACCGCCAGTTTGATTTGTCGGAGGTACAATTCTACTATAAACACCTATATGGCTCCATCGTAAAGTTAATCGAGGTAAAGGAGGATTTTATGGAGAAGGTCGCGGAAGGGCTTGATTTCACGAACAAAAGTATGGTTAATGAAAAAAAGGCTGTAGAGACCGGTAGAAAGGTGGAATTATACACGTTCGACGATGAACTGCTCCGAAGATTTAAGGTCAAGACAAGCATCTCAAAGGATGAAAATTATTTGAACTCGGCAAATAATAACGTAGGCGAGGAATCTGGTATCGCCGCAAAGTTGCCAATGGAGCTTTTCCAAAGAATTTTCGGAAAGTAGCACGAGACGTTGCTAAAGATTAAACTGCCAGGAGACAGACGCACGAAATAACTTCTGTGGTAGTGGCTTGTTAGGCCGCCACAACAACATTTAGAGTAATATAGACAAACACATTATCTAAGGCTGGGGCCAGCATCCGTCATATCGATATACAATTCCATCTATATTAGTCTATAAATGTTATGTTTCACAATCTAGACTCTCTGGTTTGGAACTGTTTAAGACTATGCTGTCCTGTGTTTATTAGAGACAAGTTGCCCAAAAGTTCTCTATGCTCTAAGATTCAGCGCTACTTGCCGCTGGTCGTTTGACTTTGGAGGTTCCTTCGACAGTATGTCTTGGATGAACAACGAAACAACAAGATGTTACCACCTTACTTTTCTTATCTTTTAGATACTTTTCGAAACCCTCGGTAGATTCCAAGGAACGACCTATATGTCTCGGTGGTAACGTGAATGCTCGCAGAGCGTGTGAATTTACCTCGAAAGGCGGTTGTATTATCAGTGCGCAGTAGGATGTAGGGTGTAAAATCGGGGTTATTGGCGCGTAGTTGAAGTTAAAAGTGAAGGGCACTCTACGTCCCAAAACGCTGTCGATGGTTGTGCTCCAACCGAAGACGCTTCCCTTATTTTCACGTGTTGAACTTTCTGGGTCCTGATATCCAACCAAAATTGAGTTAAACAACCCATCAATGCCTTTGATTTCTATGACAGGCGATTTGTTATATGGATAGAAGCTTTTGACTTTACACATTGGCGGAGATTCCTTCACCGGCTCTGGAGCCTTGTAGGCTTTTGCTTGGGCATCAACAGTACCATGTCCCTCAGGTACGGTTTTGCCCACCGCTTCTGCCTCGTCTATTTTGTTTGGCTTATCATCTGGAGGTGTATAAGGGCGCGTTTGTGCTCGTGTAACTATGCTCCCCCGTATTAGCGGTCCTTTGGCCTTACTTCGGTCATAATGGAACCGGTCGGATGGGAGCTTCACTTTGACAGGGTCGCCCCCGATACCAACTGCCAGAAGCACAAACCAAAAGATATACTTCTTTAAACCTATCATGACTTAATTCTGCATATATTTATCGCAAACGTGGTCATGCCATTTCTGTCACCAAGCTGTGTTTATAAAGGCAGCAAGCATATCATTCACAAAAACATTTTCGTATACTAAAATCTTTGAGACATTTGTTTACAATGTGTATATTGTATGACTGTAGGGGTGTTGTGACCGAGATCGATGAAAATGGCTTTAGAGGAAAACTGGCGAAGATGCAATTTCCCCGAAAGATCATATTTATTAGATCCTTATTTCCAAGAATTCTACAGTATAATGTCTACGGATAACTCAATCCAATTTGAAAGAGATATCTCTTCCTCCTAATACACCAGCAAGAACCAGTGCACCGTAAATCACTGAACGCTTGAAAAACCTCAAACAACTCGCACTGTCTTTTAAGTCAACAATGTTGATTTGATGAGACATCCAAAGGTGTGACAGTGCGACAAAGGCATAAAACCAGTCCTATATCTTTATTAAGATTAGGAAAAATATCTTACGTTTAAGTTGGCGGTGTACCCCGCTGCCCCAAGCAAGAGTGAGATGGCCGCGGCGCATACTTTGGCGTTCCTCTTGGTGTTGTCCCCCCTGTGCGGGTTAAAATGTTAGTCATACTACATACCAGCGAATTGCCATCGATTTTACACCGATCATCTGGTCGTATTTCTTATCTTGGTGGGCGTAGACAGTGTCGTAAATGACCGTCCAAAATGTTGATGCGAGATGAAGAAAAACTGGAGCCAAGGTAAACGAAGGCGCAAGTGCGGACCATGCCTATCCGAGGATGATGATTGACCCTGAATCTCACTTACGATATAAACGCTCAAATTGGAGGCCAGTCCAAGAAAAACCTGAGGATAGTTCGTAATGCGTTTCATAAAGGGGTATAAGCACCCTCCAAGTGCAGTCAATATACCAAGGCGTATGCTGCAATATTGTCTTTCAATACGCTTATTAAACATACGTTTCAAGGTCGAATTGCATGAGTACAAGAAGGCTCAGTGAAGCGTTGACAGCTAACAAGCCTAAGGCTGCAATACACGTCATGATTGTTTCGGCAACTTTACCCACCTTCCTTCGTAGAAATAAGTCCGGCTGCCATTGGACGTATTTTCGTTCGTTCCACATGCTTGTCTATATTTCGATCGGCCATATCGTTCACGCAACAACCGGCTGTCCTCGCAAAGAATGCCCCAAGGCAAAACAATGCCATCTTCCTCACTTCCTCGATACCGAACGTTGATGGGAGGGCCATGCAGGCACTCCACATCGCAGGGTAACAGAATATGACTATCGGAGTCAAAGCGTGGAAACGCATGAACTTGCAATATACCCCTAAAGCTTCGCTCAAAGACCGACCGTGAGTTACGTGATCCGTACGGGTGTCACTCAACAACGCCATGGAGCGAATATTTGTAGAAGGTACGATCCATTTGCTGCCGAGATATGTTTGTGACTTTAAAGAATTGTGATTGGGACTCATTCCTGGATTAGTTTGTGTGATCCCTCTGTGTATGGTCGATAATGTATAAAACCAGCGCCCTTTCTGCAATTGGCGTTTCAAGAGGCATGCCATTGCGAGAGGCGAGGCTAGTTCTTGCGATAATGCGCGGTAATTAAAGGTGTTTATAAGTCCCATTTTGATTTATAGTTTTTGACATTGTATATTAAATTGTGTGAGCTGCCACTGGGTACGGTTAAACGATGGTTGTGTGTGTACGCTTTGGCACCACCTTGTTGGTTTAAAGAAAGCTCAGTGGGCATTTTGCAATATCTTTATACTCGTCTCATATTTTCTGATTGGCAGCTATGTTGTATCATCGTCCTTCTTTGAGGTTTTCAAACCATCTACGTCAATTATTTGAGCGGCATTGTCTACTTACTTAGTTCCACATAGAATTCCATAGCATCATCGTAAGCTTCCTGCAGTCTTTTCGATTTAAACAACTTGGAAAGCGGGGCAAGTTGTGAACGTATGGGCATCGGATTCTCCGGAATCGAATGAATCCATCCCAGATATTCATCTTCATCATCGGTGTTGCCTATTGGTCGACCTCCCAGCACATTCACGTAACGAAGCGAAATGTTGCTCACATTGGCTCGGTTGGACGCGTTGGATGAATTGACACCAACTGATGCGTCGAATATGCCTTTACGGACTCGGGCATCCGCACCAACTTTCACATCACTTGTCGATTTCCTTTCGTTTTGCTCCATATTAACTTGAGAGATCTCAGTTAACCGACCACCTGAACATTGTATAGCATTTATATATAGAGAGATGTATGCGAACGCGCCGCATCAGTGGCTCCAAGTCACATACATGACCGACGCCTATAAAATGTGGGCCACCATTATATGTAACGCTCTAGGCATTTTGAGATGTTAGCCGTATTTTTCACAATATAGCGCATACCTATCTTGATATTGTACGTAAAATGGGTGCCAAACCATTCGAAAAGCTTCATCCAAGGCTTAACGCATCCTACGCAGTCCGGGTGATCTGGATTCATTGCATATCGGATTGTAGTACACGACTCCGCCGATTTCCGGAAATTTGGAGTTAACTGGGACAATGCGAGCTTAAATGATTTTTTGAAGGCACTGCAATTGATTTTAAATCACATTTTTTTGGACATACTAGTTCCCGTTGACTGGTAATGCTGCTTCTAAAAGGAAACAATAATTCCTTTGAATATGCATTCTTCTTTTCTTAGATAAATGAAGACCAGATGATTCGGCATAGCCAGCAGACAATGCAAATTTGACGGATTCGTCTACGGTGCCAAGACCAATCTCGGAGTCAACCGCCAAGGCCTTCTTGTAGTCATCCATGCTTTGTACAATCGTATTTTCCGTCGAACGCTTGCAAGAGACAAGAGGTCTAATCCAAGCACCGGGTATATTGGCATATTTCAAGCCTTTGCGCGACTTGCCCTGGTGTTGAACAAGTGTGAAGGAAATTATCGGATCCCGGTAACCGGGGTCGACGAGTGAATCATTGTCGGCCAGTGGATTTCCATACAAAATGTCGTAACCGCAACCGAGATATTCTAAACCAGATATAATATGCTACAACAGACTTTGTGCGCTAGAACCTACCCATTGCTGGGATCCTCCCCTCTTTATTCGTCCTTTTGAGATGGTCTGCAAAAAATGAGATGTCGCAAGATAGACAAACATTTTGTCTCATGGTTCCTTCTTTCTTGACACAATATAAAGGATGCAAATATTAGGGTAATCCAAAAAAGTGTAGCCGTCATTCTCATTATTATAATTGCATAGGAAAACCAGACTCGTTTCGTGCCTTTAGATGTACATCTATGAGCCTGTTGGCACATCCGTCTAATAGGAAGTTGATGTTATAAGTCACATATTAACAATGCCTTTAGTGATCGTATCAGCGTATACAGAAAATATATGTTCCGGCCGATGCCGTATTTTCTGAGGGTGCACGGCAGGCCATTTCAAATTTACGGCATGCTTCGACTTTGACATCGTTATCAGATTTGGCGCTATATATCGTAAAACCTAAATGTTTTGAGCCATTCACATGAAACTATACCGTTTGCAACCTTGACTCCATGACCACACTCCAATTTCCCTCCGGATTCAACAACCTCAGCCTTTGTTGAGTATAGCTGTATCACTGATGATGCGTACGAGTGAAACCTACGTTCAAACCAAAAGTCTCTTTGGGGAAGCAAGTTACCCAAATAAAACCCTGTGGCCCCAATTTTAAATGTCCACAACTTGCAGCCCCTGAATTGTCGTTAAGTGTAACTCGTCAATCATACCTATTGGACATGAAATCATCACTATAGGATTGGTGAACTGTATGATGACGCCGAATCCGACCACCGTACCCGATGGACATTTTACTTCGTTCTGCGGCAAAAGATGAACGTCATGATAGACAAAGTGGTGTACTCTAACTCGTTTTAACAATAAAACCTACATAATTTTCTTCCTGAGATACTCCTTTTGTTATCTTCTGAACAACGTCGTAATTCTGCAGCTCTCCACACATTGCCATAACAAATGTCGACCTGACATCCAGGTTGAAATCCAGTATGCAGGCGTTCCTGAGCGGTATGGTATTCTATCAGGTTAACTTACAATCCAGGATAGCAGGACTTAACTTCCAGTATTTGTTTCTTATCATTTAAGTTGACACCAAAACCGAAAATGATTTTCGAGTTCCCCGAACAAACGTCCTTGATTACTTTGTGCCGGCCATTGATTGCTATTATTTCCGATTCTTTCAGCTGTTACTTATATTAGCTATGTATTATGATGGCATTAAGAGTGACACAGCACCATAACGTACCAGATGTAGAAGAGGACTTCTGAATGACTTTGTTTCTACGTCGCTGTATTCAACACCTTTAAGTTTGGCGTAGTACTTGAGCGCCTCCTTATATAAGTTCATTGCATTGTTGTCAGGCATCATATAATAGAGAGATGTGAACTCTACATCGATGGGAACCGGGTTGTAACCCACTTTATGAACCCAGTCTTCGAAGACTTCTGGACTCATAGATTCATCATGGGGTTCGGGGCCTACAGCATATTGGACAACGTCGTCTTCTTTGCCACCGCGCGATATGTTCGATTGGCTTCTATTGATATTCTGCGAGCTGCTTCTCGACAATCCAAACCAACTCGACGACGAAGTTTTTGTGGCTTCTTCCTTAGACGAATCTCTACTGGCCTCCTTATCCATGATGTTACTGAACCTCCTGAAGACACCGCCTAAAAAGTATAATATTCGACTCACAATCATCTAAATGAATACCAAAATCAGCTGATATTTGTCATTTTGTTTCACTTATAGTCAGAATCACGACAGGTCACTAGGTTGCCAATTTTCTTACCCATTGAAATGCGCTCCGTCACATGAGTGCCGAAATCAGCGAAGAAACGCATCCAGGATGCTATACAACCCTCGCACCCCTCATCATCCATGTTGTTTTCGTATTTTTTAATTGGACAATTCTCTTCTTTGAATCCATCTCTGCAAATTTCAACCAAGCGTTGAACTATGCTATTAAATTTCTTTGTATTTACCCTGAAACAAAATTGCTCACAAGCACCATCAAAAGAAATACGCAATTGTATCAATCAAGTTTTAGACGGAAAGTCAGCAAATATAATTATCCACTATGTCTATGCGTATCACATTTGTTCCCCATGATTCCTTCATGGTCAACAAAAAATCTCTTACCTCATATTACTGAAAAGAAGCCCTGCATTGTAGACGGTGCAACGGAATCTTCTCACTAGAACAGTTCGTGAACGTTGTAGCTTATTCAATATGTCCTTCGTACTGTTAACTTCCTTTGAGGAGGAGCTGAAGACACCGGATGTTTCATGTTTGAAATGGCTCACAACTAATGACTTCAGATCTTGTTGAGTATTCACAGAAGTGAGCTGAATAACTTGAAAATCATGGATTTGTGCTTACCTCGTGCGACAAATCACATAAAAATTCATTTGTTATCCATATGCCCAATCCGCCATTCCAGGTGTCTTCATTGTTCATTTCAACGCTATAGTTGTCTAAAACGGGCGCTCTATAATTTTTAAGGCTGAAACCGGTCTCATCATCTATTCCGCTTCCGTTATACATATCATATCCACATCCGATGTACTCTGTATTTTTTTTATTTTGAGATTCTGTCTTACCGATGTTGTTTGGAGTCTTGTTAGCGTTTTTGAATATCTCATGTTGCTTCTCCAATGAGACGGGGAACTCTTCCTTTGTTTCGTGTCCCTTTCCCCAGTGATGTTTTTCTCCCAGGGAAGCGACTACTAAACGTGTGATGAGCATTCCCCATATGATTATAGTCGAAAGGTTTGCCATTTATTCCAGCGATTTTGACGTATATATATAATGGTCTATGACACCCTAGCGGTCTCTCTTGATTCAATCGGCTCATATGTGAACGTAATTGCACTTCCTGTCTTTTGGCGACCATTGTGATTGTTTCCGTGGTAAATGGGCGATATTGTGTCATCTTCTCGTATAACATTCAGCAATATATATTGTTCAACCTCGAAGTAGCGTCTTTGGCCAGTACACCGGGCGTCACATAAACATTCAAATCCTAAGTGGCGGATAGGAGGTCGGGAGCCCAGACTTCTTGGACACATCGTAGTAGCTAGGAAAATTAAATTTTTTTTTAGCTTTCCAAAAGGCCAGCTACATGTCACATCATTTTACAAGAACATGAAATATATTTATAAATGAAAAACAATTCTAGTTCTAATTATCATTTGTGATAGCACGATTTCAAGTTTACTTGGGCGAGGTACGCCGTACTTGTCTTAAGCCGAGTAGGGTTATTCCTAAATCATTCGTCCAGTATGGAGACTAAGTTCCACTATATATCTTCAATGCCCGCCAGAAGTGCTTTCTGATTTCTTGTGGAATGAATTGTGATATGGGTGTAAGCTGTATGTTGATAGGCATTGCGTTATGTTCAATGCTTTCCACCCAGCTCCTGAACCCATAAGGTGTGTCTGCGGAGATGAAATCGTCACCTCCCATGATAAAAATCTTGCTATTTTGATGTTTTGCTCTTTCAGCTATTTCGCTTTCTTTCTCCTGTTCTTTGGTTAGATTGCCAGTTATTAGAGAGAAATTGAAGTCTACTCTGGCATTTCTTTGGTGGGACTTTGCACTATTTTCCATAGCTTCGAGGCTATCGAAGATCTGCAAAATTTTACCACCCATAGTGAGCCTCGAAATAACGTGCGTCCCATAACTGTTGAAGAAGCCTTCCCAGATTTTGTAGTATTCCTTGCAGGATGTGTCTAGCCGGTAATTTTCCACTGCGTTACACTTATCCATGTTTGGGAATTCCAGTAGGAGTTTTGTGGCATTGTTGAATGCCCTGGTTACGTTCCTACAGATGGTATAGATATTGAATCGTGCTTACCATTCTGAGGACAACAACATGCCCGTAGTGAACACAGCGCAATTTGACTTCAAAGCGAAAGTATGTTTTTTAGCGATATTTGATAACGCTTTGATGTCCCTTGATTGTTTCACGGAATTCACACCTAGTTCACCTACACCAATGAACGAGTTCACGTCCTCAGATAGCATAGATGCTAGTGACTCTTCACTTTGTATTTCACGCTTCTCATGTCCTCTATGGCATGCTGGTTCTCGTCTGACCCAAACACCTAGTGGTATTATAGGTGACTTATCATTGTTTTCGCATGGCCATTCAAATTGGATGACTGGTTGTGTGTATCCAGTGTCAAGGAAGGTTTCGCCGTCACCGAATGGCTTTGATTTGGTAACATCATATCCACAACCAAGGTATTCTGCAACATATGGGTTTCAGTTTCTCTATTTACCTAGTCCTTTGACGCTTTCATGCGGATGGGTACCGTCGATCACGTCGCATTTCTCTTTCTCTTGTACAGCTACAGTCACGTTATCAAGATTCTAATACGGCACCTGGTCCGTAGTATAAGATGTAAAGCTAACCTGAACTATCCCCACCCATGTTCGGTTGATCCACATGGGAATCGCGCTGGTGTTTGGTTCCTTGATGCGTCTCATTTTTGCTGTTTAGAGCACCAAACAAACTGTCTGGATCATCTTCTTCCCTGTTAACGTCAATATCATTTCCAAGCGCATTATCAAGCTCTAAATGTTTGTCATCATTACGTAGAGGATCACGTTTATGGTATTTTTTATGCGGGCTACTACTTGAGTGCTGTAACGGGTACTCATCTACACCTTTTCGTACTCTTGAAGAATTAGAATGGTGTTTCAGATGCATACCAGCTGCGAAGCTTATGATATATATAGTAGCTATATTTGCGACTACATTTGACCATTTCATTTTTATTCGGTGTCATCATTAAATTGGCGTTGCAATGCGTGCCACGTATTCCTGCGTTCGTTTCGCATCACGTTCCAGTGAGTCAGTGTCGCTATACGCTTTCTGCCATTTTCCAATACCATTTCCGGAGATGCACAAATTTAATATTCGGTTGAAAATTAGGCTGCAAGGAAAATTCCCTGCTGCACTCGAATCTGAAGCGTGTTTTCCCGCAGAAAAGGGAGACATCTAGCTGCGCCATCCACAAAAGTGTGCGTAAACTACCGCAACATGTTCCTGTGGGCACTTCGCAATATTATTTGTGGTGGTATCAAGCGTATTTTTTTTTGCGCAGCAAGGTATGAAAAAATTGCCGGTGCACACCTGATGATGTAGCTATGGTTAGCTGCACATTACGTGTCTTTTTCTTTGCAAGTGTGAGTATGTGTGTGTCAACTCACAATTGAGTGGAATATGTTGTGGACCACACCATTGCTAAATTGGCAAAAGATGTAGCTAACGGTATAGTTTTAACACCCTTATGACTCTTCGTTAGTGTATGTACACCAGCTATATGGAATCTCTCAGCTTCTCGTCTTTCAGTCAACGATTGTATTCCGTTAGCTAGTTATCAAGTGTGTTCACCTAGCCACCCAATCCGGTTGCATCAGCACCTGGGTTAGCCACAGTTTCAATTAGCCTAATAGCACATTAACACTATCGGTGACTGGCTTTACTAGTGTGTGAATGTATACTGCGAGATTCTGCTCCAGGTAAGCCACGTTCAACCTGTGGTGTTGTGCGATGTAGAGTCTTTTGCGCTCTTATATTGTGAGATTCCTACAATTATGTACTATATGCTACTCGCACATTGGCTCCTTTAGCAGATGTGTGGGCGGCATGTGTACGGTATTGCACGCTGCTATATGGTCATTCTTCTTCGCCAACGTATTGATGTGTTAGCGTATATAACCTTTAATCATACATGTGTTTGATATTTCGTTTAATATTGAATTCAGATATCGAAGATTTTGGTTTGGAACCTTGATTGTCGTTGGATTTTTCTGCTGCACCAGTGTAAGACAGCGGATAGTCTCTGACATTTGCAACGCATCGCCCATATTTCTACCGTATACCGGTGAGCATTTAGTCATTTATTTCGTTTTAAAGCAAAAATAGGATGCAGATGTATTTCTGTGCAAATTGGTTTTTTGTTTTTGAAACTTCGTTGTCCAGCGTTGTGCGACGTGTTTGGTTTAGCCGTGTAAAGATGGATGAGTGAAGGATATCTTCTAAAAAGATATATGAATGGGCAAAGTGTAGATGTGTACATCCTTCCATCAATTTGAGTCCCGTATAACAGAGAGTCGGACACCACGTATGTACTGGTATTCCACGACTTGGTCATGAGCGTCTAATACAGCAGATTTAAAAACACCACCACGGTACATGTCTTTGCAGGCCTTAGGAACGATTGTTAGTGCCGTGGAGGAGCGCATTATTTATTTATTGTTCTGCAGTATACTCGGTAAGTATCTTCTTCCAGTAAGTCCGTTAAAACGATTGCATATCCAGCGTCAAATACATACCGCTTACAAACCGTTTATACACTTATCTGCTATTATTTTGATCTTTTAATGTAGGTAGATATATCCAATCGTCTTCATTATCTTTCATCAGATGATGCTAGCTGCACTGTATATAGCTGCGTTATTTTGTTCCATGGTTATCATCTTTAGCTTTAAAATCATTACATTTGCATCCTACTGAGACATCTACTTGGTTCACATTGTCCGTTGTCTTCCTTTTTGGCCTTACACTTGGATCGGCATGGGATTCATAGGCCTCCACCATATGTCTACGGTGTTTACCTGGTTCCGAATAGTATGGCGTACTTACCGCTTGGATATTTGCGTAATTAGCCGTAAATAACGCACGCAGTTGAGTATTCCAAGATTGGTGACTGCGAAATTCGATTATTTATGCGTTCTATAACCTGATGCTCGTGGCTCTCTTGGCTGTCACCAAATTCGAACTCACGTGTCATTTGATACAGACCCTTTCTCACGACATCCACCCTAGAGAGATAAAAAGCTCGAGGATAATCCTTCCGTTCTTTGTTCTTCAAAGGTTCGGCCACCAGCTGAATTGAATTTCTTTGGGCTATTCTCACAAGTATGTATAAAAAGGGCGATCAGCAGGGTTCATATAGAACCAGTAAGTCATCATCTGATTCTTTCAGCTTTCTTCTCCGTAATAATGACTTCACGAGCGCGAATGAAAGACGCAGAGCTAGTCTACCTGCACCAGATTCATTGGAGGTCTTCAACGCCAGTAGGACTGGTGAAGATATCACCAATGTTGCTGCCGAAAACCATCGAGGTAGGCATCTCGGTAGAGATACGTTGAATACCAGTGGTAACCACTCCAATTACGGTAGCGGGGAACCACGGCAATCCATGCGTAATACTATCCGTGATAACCAGAGTCGTGATTCAACTCGAGGCAACGACTACCAGCGATGGCAAGATCGTGAGTGCTTACGAATCACCAATAGCAGTAGTTCCCATGTAACTATGGAGCGCCGTGGCGGTCTGACTTGGATAAAAAGCCCCAATGGCTTACTAGTACCTTGCATTGAAAATACCTGGCTGAAACACATGATAACAACCCTCCTTGGCGACTCCAAAGCACTGTCCAAATTTTTTAAAACCCTGCAACAATGTCTGGAAGAAGCAGTGTTGTTTCTGTACAGAGAAGGTATAAAACCATACTTGGGTGACGTAGCCAACCAAATGAAGCGTTCAATTGCAGACAACTTTTGGAGTGCTTCTGAGGTGGCGTTTGTTTCGCTGCACTGTCGCGATACTGTAGACCTTAAGATAGAGCTTCGAGTAAAAGGGGAGATGGGGTGGGTGGTGTATTTGCGCAATGATCCGCCTGGTTTCTTGGGGTTCGTTGACACGCACAGCACGGTAGACACGTACTCCAACTATCACTGGCGAGCGCTAAACAAGTTCGCTGTAGAGATTATGACTTCAGACAACGCACCAGTAAGATCAGGTAGGCATATTTATGTCTATATACATCACCGGTGGTTTCAATTACCGTGAACCTGCACTTGTTATGCTTATCCACATATCCCTACGTCTACATTACACCTATTAGTAGATTCCGAAGAGCACGAGAATCCTTTAGCCTTTGCAGGAGGACGTTATGCGTTTGCTGAACGCTTGCGAGAGAGGGTGTACGCATTCCGATCGATGCGTCTAGGCGAAGTGGTCCACCTGGTACAGCTGGCCATATACAGTGGCGTGTTTGTGTACGCGCAACGTATTCTGCTGCCCGTAACAGCCTGTGAAAAGACAGCCGAAGAGATGTTCCCGCGAGTGAAGAGGGTTCGTCACCCTATATGTTCATCGCTGGAGGAGGTACGTCGCATCGTTTCTCTGCTGGTCGACCACCGTAAAAACGGTCTCGTATTGGCACAGCTCAAACAACAGTTTATGATGCAGTTTAACAAGGAACTGAACCCCATTACGTTTGGTTTCCGCAAGTTACAGAACCTTCTCCTTTCAGATTACTTTAATCGTCAGTACCAGCTGTTTGTGCCGATAGACAGCCCTCATCGCACGCACATTCAGCACCGCAAGTATACCATTCCTGTGGGTTGTCGCCCATTTCAGCAGTCCAAGATTCATTTTGACGCTGATAAATTTTGGTCGCCGCTTGACGAGTGGTACGATGAACCTTGTGATGCTCTGAATGACCTCCCTGCCAACATCCTCGCGGCTCTTGAGGACGTTTTGGATGGCGATGAGGGTTATGCCTGCAAGCGCGTCCATCACTATTCGTCATTGACAGATGAGTGTAGTATTGATGATGACACTAGTACTGATGCCCCAGCTTCAAATTGTGTATCAGGTCGTGGCATGACATACCGCAATGCCGTAGTTGGAATAGGAGCACCTTCCGCGAGTACATTTGAAGAAGATCCGTACCGCTCCAAATCTATATAGTTCAATATAAATGGATGATTTCGCTCTGTTTGAACGATTTTCATCCCTGACATGTATTTCACGTATAAACCTTCGCAAGCTGAATTTTGAATTTCATTTTATTGAGCATACGGCTAGTGATAGTCGTATAGATAACCCTATAATGTTACATAGAGCAATCACTATAAATTTTTAGCCCTTTATTTTACGCCGACATTCCCATGATCTTCGGCATTAATAACCTTGTTCGCAAGTGCTTCGGCGAACTTCTCCACAAGAGAGCGTGTGACACGTACTACGTTGGGGATACCTAGGCCAAATTTAGCGCTCGTTGGGATTACCGCGCTGTTAACCTTCATGGCCTTAAGGTAACGGCAAAACTCATCAACCGATTTGGCCGCGTTACCTGGATTTACGTCCATTTTAGTTGCTACAATGACAAATGGTTTGTTGGCAAGGCCCTCTCCATGGGTTTCCACTTGTTCCCTGCAAGGCGTCTTTAAATGTTGATCGTTGATTACCTTAAAGATGCGAAGCTTTCTTCCATGGAACAATGTGTGGTGTTGCATACATCGATGACGTATAACAATGCCTTTGTGCGTTCTATATGTCTAAAGAATTCCTGCGTTAGCCTGCATTCTACTATACCGGGTAGATCAGCAATACTGATGCTTCTTCCTGCGGAGTGCATGAAAATATTTATCGAAAATTCGACCCACCGTCTGTGAACTTAATGTGTCCGATGCACGGTGCCATGGTGGTGAAGGGGTATGCTGCGATTTTTGTGTTGGCTCTTGTCATCTATATATCATATGAGCAAAGGGATGAGACGAAAGCGGATGTGCCACCGTGTACAGTTTTAGTCAACATTGATTTTTCCGACGATGTAGTGGAACTTACCGCAGACAGTAGGGTGGACTTGCCTACATTGGGAAGTCCAACCAGCCCAATGTCAGCTATAGATTTGAGTTCTATTTCATAGTATCCCTCCTGAGGTTCTGCCCCGAATTTAGCATCGTACGGTGTTCTGAATATGCTTGCATCGCTTAAACTAATTGACACACCTCATGGTGTTACCGCTACCACCCTGACCCCCTCTTGCCAATAGCACGTTCTCTTGGGACTGCAAAAAGTTCTTCGTTGCCATTGTTAACCTACCGATTCGTTTATATCAGCAATTAGCGTGCGATTCCACCCTCCACAAAGCTGTCGCCACGATTTCCCTGGGTCATCTTGCAAGGGGCACTGGAACTGATAGACCAATGTTCCAAGCGGCACTTTAAGTACCACATCATTTCCAGGTTTACCCGACGCAAAACGACCCCCTATCGATCCGTTACAAGCCCTAACCACACCGGGTATATGCCTGAGGTCAGCCCTATTATCATGTTTATTCATGGGAGCTACGTAGACGTTTCCGCCATTTCCACCAGCGCCACCTACGGGAAGCCCTGGGCCTACTAGCCTGTGCGGACCATGTTTGCTGAATATAATGGCTCCGTCGCCTCCTCTTCCACCGATACACTGAGAAAGGTTATCTTATGTGTTTAGGGCATGTGTCTATTACCTTGATACGTTTAATGTCGACGATGGGTCTTGATAGAAGGCGTTCTTCGCAGAGTATATTCGGTCGGCTTGCTCTAATTAGTTGGCCCATGCCTTTGCTTTACTTCGTACTAACCAAGATGGGTTTCTCATTGGCTTCGTACATCAGCACTGGACTCCAAATTCCGACCTTTTCTGGTATCACATAACCACAGAGACAACATAAGTTTGTGTTGTCAAGCTAATATAAATTCCAACAAGCCTAGCCGGTTCTGGTAGCAGTCGATACTGCCATGGAAGACGGATCCGCGATGGATAGCGCGAATTTGCACATGATCCTTTTTAAATAGAACCAAAATTTCTTCTGTTTTAGAATTTACGGGTTACATAACTTTTGGCATATTAGGGCAGAGATGTGTAAAGTTGCAGTTGTTGTGCCGTGGTAAGCTTCCTGGTATCATGGTCACGGTCATGCTTTTTGACCTACAAGGCCATGGCATACGTACACACCATCATTATCCCTATTATAAATGAAATGTAGTTTAAATGTATATGTACTGCCTTGTCGCTGCGGCTTTAATTTCTCCCTTTAGTTTTTTCTTCCTTCCGGTTTCTTGCTTCAGCGGTTATGGCGTTCCTAAAATAGGCAGCAATTGCGTTCTGAAAGTGCAACGCCATGGATTACTCCATAAATTAAGACCTTCCAAGTGTAGAACTCCCTCTGCGTTGTTCGTTGTTCCTCTAGAAGGCACTGGAAGTGACGACCGCAGCAACGAGAAAGACGATGCCCCCAGCGCTGATAAGTACGCTGCAGAAGTGTCCAATGAAGCTGCTGTGGTTCAATCAGGTTCCGAACTCGGGTGTGATGGAGCTTTGAGTAATTTTCATGAGGCAGTAAAACAGGGAGGATTTGATCAACAGTTGACGGATCTAATTTTGTCTGAACCTGATCGAAAAAAACGACCAGAGGACCAAATTCCATTGGAAAAATGCGATTGGTTCAACACTGATGACCCCATGGATTCGGAAGATGAACTATTTGCACGTGAGTATTGCAGCCAACGTGTCCCGGACATGGGTGCCATTTACGAGAAGATGGATCCACATGGTGTTCGTAAATACGCGCACCACTCAGTGTCAACAATGGAGCGTACTTTGGGGCGTGTTTACCAGGTGAATCAGCCGCTGTTTGATGAGGAAGCTGTCAACGAGAGCCACAACACTTATGAGTTGCCGTCGCACTTACAGGAAGATTCTGATACGACCGACAAAACACCTATTAATGAGGGTAAGAATCACTAATTTTTCATTTGAACATCACACCTACAGACGAGACTACACACCGAGTATCGGACAACATTAGAGACACTTCAGGTGACGACATTTCGCCTGATGGTTCGGAACCTAGCGACTCGGATGAATATGAACTCTCTATTGAAGACTCTGACGTTGACACAAACGACAGTGTGATAGAAGACGATGCGTTTCGTTACTTTGTGAAGCTACCGATGCTTTCCTGGACTACCTCCGACAGAGATGCATTGGAAACCGCTCGTGCTAAATTGTCGAGTTACAACCGCCACTACAAGGAGAAACCTCGAGAACCGGGTATAAGCAGCCCTTATTCAGTGTTCACTTCGGAACCATGCAGTGGTGTCGGTGTTAGCGACGGTTCGTGCGATATGTCTCTGTCTGAGGAGCTGGCAGCATTGGGAACTGTCAAGATGGACCCTATAGAGTTACACATTGAGGAATACACGCACAGTGACCTTTTGAACGACATTGACGCATACGAAGCAGCTGAGTACCCACCTGAAGTGGCTGAGATATGCACTTCTGATGCTGACTTGCCCATTTTTACTATGGCAGACTTTGTACCCCGTTACTCCGACGTCAATGTGGTGGATCCTCAAATTTACGTTTCCGTACCGAAATCGAGCATTAAGGAAAGTGAAACAGGTATGACTGTGGTGAACGAAGGATTTCTTGTAAAACGGGTTCGCGACAAACGGCTGGGTCACCAAGTATCTGACATTCCACTTGTATCTGAACCTCAGATTGGTACTATTTTGATACCAAACGAGTTCGGCTATATGGATCAGAATATTCGTTATTTGGCTGACGAGATTGGCGTGATATCACGTTCATTGGTCTTTGTTCCGGATATTTCCGATAATGACCTTGTCTTTTCGCTAACCCTGAACAGGTTGATAAAGTTGATACAAACAACGTTTAACGTTGATCGTATAGCGTTGGTAGCACTTGGAAGTCAGGGTCGTAGGGTGATTCATTACACCTATACTGCTATGCTTGAGACTGTGCAGCGCACGCTGAACGATTTTAAAGAGGTTGACCCTAAGTTTGAACGCGATAAGTACCGTAGTTTGAGCAACTTTGGTCGACTGCATAACATTGTACGGCGCCAAAGCACAACGATGCTGGATGATATAGTCCGTGGTATCCAGGCTATTGAGCACAACGAGAGCATAAAGGCCGCTGAACGGTCACGCGACTACAATGTTGTGAAGCCACTATCTAACATTTTGCAAAGTATCGTTTTGTGGGACAGCGTAGGTGTCAATTTCAAAGAGGTTGCTGAGCTAGGCGTGCCAGTGCTGTTCAATATGTCAAACCGCGTCAATCTGTTTGACGGACTACTGCGTCTAGATAACCCAAAGTTCCTTGTGCAAAAGGAGCGGTGCCTAAAGAATGATAGCCGCGTTCCCATAAATATGTTTGACTTTTTGGATGGGGAACTACCTCGTGATCTCTCTGATGTGATCACTGAGCATGTGCGTCTGCGTTATATCAATAGAGGGGACAGTGCAGCAGATGAATTGGATACGTACCACATGAGTACCAATCATACAGGTATTGATGTTTACATAAACGTGTTCAAGCAGGCTTCCGGCCACTTCTACATGAAGAAGCCGGATGCGCCGACTTGCGAATTGACTTCGATGGGCAATGCAATCCTTTCATGTGCAGACTGGATAAGCAGCTGGTGCTTCTGAATCGGTGGGAAGTATAAGCCAAGGTGATTGACTGTTCAAACTCACTATCTATAAACATGGTAGTATACTTATTGGTTCATATGGCTCTGGTTCTACCCAAATGTGGCAACACGACTGCATATGTGTACCGTGATGGCTAGCAGACCAATCACTGCAAACATTGAAACTAAATGATGGTATAAATGCATTTCTATAGCTTAAGAACCATTTACTCAAGCATCTATGAAAACATAGTTTTCTTCGTTTGGAAGAGCACGCCCTTTTGGTGAGTTAGATGACTTGTATCATACCAAGAGACGTCACACATGAGTGTTACTAGACACACACATATTACACACACACTTACACATGATTGAAATATATGGCGATAACTATAAATTTTGTGGAACTTCAGAGGTATTTTACGCCTTTATGTTCACGGTGACGTGCCCCGTTTCGTGTAGAGTTGGGGTGGATGCCGTCTTAAAACAGCCATTTCTCGAATAATGGAGCATATGCATACCGTATATGAGATATGGGCTGTATGAATACAGCATAAGTCAGGTCTTTATCGCCGCATTTTGCTTCTTTAGTGTTTTTCGTCGCCGTGCGAGGATGCTAACTGAAGAGGATGTCGACCGATTTATGGCTGAAGCTATCGCAGAGGTGTGTCATAATCTGTTATGTTCCATGCCTATGCGTATTTACAGGCCCGTGGAGCACTGGAGCGCGGCGAGGTGGCTGTAGGCTGCGTTGTCGTAGACAAGGAGGACCGCTCTATTGTGGCCAGGGCAGGCAACTGCACGAATCAACGACACAACGTCAGTTATCATGATACCGTGTTAACTTCTTTCAGTCCACGTGGCACTGCGAGTTCAGCGCCATTGATACAATATTTTTACTAGTACCTAATGGCAAGGTCGGCTCTGGAGACCAGGAATCATTGCACGCATTCATGTCACGATACGCGCTGTTTGTAACATGCGAGCCGTGTATAATGTGTGCGACGGCGCTTCATCTTGTAGGTAGGCGCTCATCGGCGTGAATTGCAACCGCATTACCACGCTTTAGTATGACCCGGGGGCATAACGTTACAACAGGGCTTACCGAGGTGTACTATGGGTGTCGCAACGAAAAATTCGGTGGATGCGGCTCAGTACTATCCCTACATGAAGGGTATGTACAAGAAAAATCTTATTCATATTCACACAGTTATGGCGACTTTCCACCCTTGCGTTGCCGTGAGGGTTTCCGTGCCAGCGAGGCCATTGAGCTCCTGCAAGCATTTTATTCATCTGGAAATCCAAACGGTTTGAATGCCCAAGAGACCATTTCACTATATTTGCAGCGCCTGAGCACAAAAGACATCGCAAGCTCACTTAGTCTTTTTCGTGCCCACCTTCTTGATCTCTTGGCACAGCTTGTCCATTGACTGGTGGTACCAGTCTTCGTCTAGCCTGCCGTCATCAAAGAACACTTCCCCTAAAGGGATTTGATACGTCTCTTTCTGTTTGTAGTTGTCCACACGGGCATAAGCTGTGGCTGGTTTCATTCGATAACTGTTCCACTTACTTATGTCGTATGTGCCGTGGCGCCAGTTGAAGTTACACCAGATGAGTACCTTAAATTTCCCCTGTATATATGTGAATTGTGCAGTGCTAGAATAACTTACAGGAAACTGTAGCCTATAAGTTGCTCCGTGGATAACGGCTTTATCGTAGATCAACGTGAGTGCTAGTATAGCAAAGAAGGCGACCTGCTCATAATGTGTCGCATCACTTTTCACCCTACCAAACATATTTGCAAATGTAGTCTGTTTTTCTCCACGCCAGTAAACATGGCGCTGTAAGCACCAATACCACATAGCAGAAGATAGCCAAGGATCCGGGTGTAAGACACCCATACATCCTCTTTGAGTCCCAATTTGTTTAGCTCCTGCTGGTTTGTTCAACTAACACACTGTTTAATTACCTCCACTGTGCGACTCTGTAGAATCTTTTCGATTTCCTGCGCGCAGTACATGTCGGATAGTACGGCTGCGTGCTATTATTTAAAATCATCGTGACCTACGTGTATCCGTATTATCCTTCTTTGGGTTTTCGTTCACCTTCTTCTTCATTTTAATATCGAATGAAGCTATAGAATGACAAGGATGACGGTCACCATCCCGACACACTGCCCGCGCCACCGTTTTGTAGGCACCCTTCTAGCCTTACACATAATCTTGCGTATCCACTGGACAATTACACGAAAATCGTTACCACGAGTCTATAGGGCTGTGCCCTAATTTTACTCCCGTTTTGTTCGATGTGTTAGCCTAACGTCTTCTTGTAGTAAGCGGCGTTATTCACGCTTGCAATGGGCGGCCTGGTTTCCCGGTGTGGTTGTAACTCCAAAAAGGGGAATATCATCGGTCAAATTGTCCAACTCAAAGGCCAACGGGGTCGGTTTGTATTTTGGGATCATCAAATTCTCTAGACGAATTGGAAGAATATCGTGAGTCATTGATTGATCGCTTGAACGAACTAGATGAGGCTGCCAGAGAATACGCACGCCACAATGAACGCGAAAAAGCTTTACTGTGTCTGCGCAAAAAAGCGCTATCACACGATCAGCTGTCTAAAATAGATAATTATCTCCATCAAGTGCTCAAAGTAATATCTGACACTGAAATGGCTCAGGTAAGGATTACGTACATAAGCAAAGCTTTTGTGGCATCGGATACCACATCGCTCTACAGGTTAACCTGGAAGTGTACAAGCATCTGAAGATAGGAGCTGAGCTCCTAGCCAGTATGTCAAAATGTATGAAGCTCGATGATGTCGAGGCGATGCAAGCTGTTCGGAAAGACTGTAGAGATAATATGGAAGAGACGACCTCCGTCCTCAACCAGAGTTTCAATACTGAGGATGATTCGGCCCTTTTGAAGGAGCTTGACCTTTTATGCGGAGACAACTCAGCGGGAGTTGCACACGTCATAGATGAGGCCGCTGAATCGGAAAAAAATAGAGAATCGGATGCATCGTCACCGCCAGAAAGTGAGTCTCTGAACTCCCTTCCTAGCTTGGAGAAGACCGAAGAGGTACAGCGTGTTAATGCGCAAGTGGCAGAGCCGTCGTGATTTTTGAAGTAATGTTTAATGTCGTATAACTTTTATTTGTATTCCTACCGTCAGAGCAACTTTACATATACAGGCCCTTGGTCAACAAAGTGCATATAGAAAATATTTTAAATAGGTTGTTCAGTTCCAACAAGTAAGTGCTCAGCACTACACAGTTGAACGAGCTGTGTTGACGTAACTTACAGCCCATTATTAGATACAATTGTATGGTTAACCCTACTAAAGCAGGGAACATATGCGCTTCACAGCCTTTCCAATCTTCTCTTTTGTTTTCTCGATGATGCTGAACGCCACTTTACGGTCCTGTGTGGTATCGCTACTGTCTGGTGTTTTCTGCAACGAACGTGCTACCAACTGCGTCTTACGAATGAATTTGCGCAGAGCACTATCGTTGCGTTCCAGCAATCGACGAGTCAATTTGTCTTCCATTATCTTCAATTCGAGGATCTTCCCCCTAATGGGCCTTAGATCCTTCATCGTCGGACACCGTCGGTCATCACCCTTCATAGGTGAATGCACAGTGAATTTACGTAAACGGCGTTTACGATCGGCTTCAGAAATTATCCGCTGTTTCAGCCTGATGGCCTTGTTATAGCGCTTCATCAAACGCAACCTCCTGGTGAGTATGCGACGTCGCTTGCATATACGTCTACGACGAAGCACAATCTTCTTTAAAGATCGATTGTACATCTCCTTTACAGTGGCCTTGAAATTCTCCAGATATGCATCCATGTTTGAATAGTCGTAGGTACCCTTTATCTCCTCCTGCCTGAGTAACTTGGCGAGCTTGAAGTACCCACCGGCCTGCGTGAGATGCCTTAGCCTACCACTGCGCTGATTGTAATCCTCCTTGTGCCGGCTAAGGGTTGATATAGGAAAGAATGGCATGCGTATACTGCGTTCAATGGCAATGGCCAAATTCCTTTCACGATTCTTTACGAGACTGATGGCATAGCCTCTAGGGGCTATAGCGTCATTATGGATCATCCTGCCAACACGCCCACAACGCTTCAAGTAATCCATACTATTCAGTGGGAAGTCGAACATTATAACAGCGTCAGCGTTGAAATCTAGGCCACGACTAGCCAAATCGGAGCATACCAAGATACCCTCAGATCCTTTGAGGAATTCTTCGTACGACCTGCGGCGCTTCATTATCGGTACTTTCCCGTGCAGACTTGTTGCCGGCAGCCCTGCATCTGTAAGGATGTACTCCACGGCTCGACAACTGTTGATGTTATTACAGAAAACCAAGACTTTACGGCAACGGCGAACATCCTCGTATTTCAACAGGTTCACCAGCTCAAGACCTTTATCTTTGCCTTTCAGGTAGCGGAACTCGTGAGATACACCACGATTAGGTCGATCTACCCAAGCAGTGTCAACCAACTGGTGGCAACGAGTAAGCCGTTCGAGGTATTTCTCGTTGACTTTCCTCGTGTTGTTAGGTACACCTTTCATATTGGGTACTTTGGCAAGTGCCCTTTGCACCTTTTCAAAATGTAACAGGTACTTGGATGACGCCGCCACCTGTATGAGCCTATAAGGTTGCTTGATGACGTCTAAGACCTTGGACAGATCTGGCCAAAATCCCTCATTCAGCATAGTGTCAGCTTCATCTATTATCAAAAACTGCAATTGATGCAACTTCACATGATTCAGCATTTCCATTAAACGCTCAGGAGTGGCCACAACAATGTCCACAAGACGTTTCATGTGGTCCCTCTGTCTACCCTTGTACGACCCGCCTGCAACGCTCTCACTGGATATCCTCACTACGTGGCTCAATCCCTTAAGAACATCGAGAGTTTGGTCCGCTAATTCCCGGCTTGGAACAAGTATAAGGGCCCTAGGAGCATTAGGATATCTAAGCTTTAACTTCTCATGACACTTCAGCTTCTGTATCACAGGGAGCAGGTATGCCAGCGTTTTACCACTTGCGGCATTCGAAGCGATTAGAACATCACCTTCAACATTTAGCAGCTGGTTGATTGCCATACGCTGAATTTCAGTAGGATAAATTTCCAAGTTGGAATGCTCAGTTCGGTTGATGGTGTCCAGTAGTTTCTTCCTAATCCATGCCACCGCTGCTTGTGATACGTCCGTTGTCAGACCCAAGTCTTGCCAAGATTGCACATATGGTTCTAAGCCATCCCGCACAACTCGGTTAGATTTGAACTCAAATTTGGGCATCGTGTCATGGTGTTGCCACGTAAACCCTTTAGGGTCTGCCATACGTTCGGGAAACAAGCCAACTGCATACTGCTGTTCGGATTCCTCTAGGTCTCCGTCCAACACATCAAGATCTTTTGACAGCGGTTGATCCGATGTTAACCTCTCAGGTAATGCGAACACCCTGAAACCATGTTTCCTGACACAAGGAGTTGTGTTGTTTCCTAGAAGCTTCCTAGGCGTCACCAAGTTCGAGGGAAGGGCTTTCAGACTAGAATTAGTATTTCTTCTTGCCACCGGGTTATAGTGTATGATACTACATTTACCGGACTTTTCAATGTGCGCGATTAGCTGATCTCCAAGTCGCCGAAGTTCGGCATCGGTCATTTCCGCTGGGTTAGTGCTGGAAAAACTGTCGTCAAGAAACGGTGTCAGATCCTCTCCCTCCAAAAGGTTGAGGTAGTTATCACGTTCCGTCATAATTTGGCCACATGGTTCTGAGTCAGACCACGTTTGACTGCTATCGTATTCATAATCACTGTCTTCATCAGTGGTTACGTCCTCCAAATCTTTAGACGCCTCCGTTGCCTTTGTGACATTGTGACTTATATCGCCATCACCTGTTTCTTCCATCTTTGTAAGCAACTCCGTTATCTTGGAGTATACCTGATCGTCGTTGAGGCTTCCCTCGAGTTTCCCCAGGAGGCTATGGAAAGTCAGTTTGTATATGTCCTCCGGGATTTGGATATTTTCATGCATAGTAGACCTCTTTATGACCTTTGCATAAAGATCGTCCAGCTCAACAAGAGTCATCCGTTTTAAAATAGCAGCTAACTTATATTTCCGAATTGCCTCCATTGTTTCGTCCCCTTCATCCATATTTGGCGGTTCGATATTGTGTTCCTTGAGAATATCGTATACATCGGCATAGTTAGACAGGTGCAGCAGTATGGCTTCTGTTATAGGTCTAGTGCGGCGTGAATTTAATACGACACATTTCTTACGCTCGTCACCCACATGTGCGTCCATCACAGTACAACGCCTGGTATCGATGTATGCAGCGACAGAGTCAAACTCTTCTACTGTGAAAACCATTGACGCAATTTCATCGGATCCCACACCATCTTCTTTGACCACATCTTTAGTATTGTGCTCATCGCCCGGTTCGGCGTCACTGCTTCCTGAGATAACTTCATCAGTAATTTCCAAACCCCGTTCTGTCATTTCCTCATTTAAAGTTTCGTTATTGTCTTGGGCACCTGAATCGTCCGCATCCATACCTACATCTACATTCGCAATATCTGGATTGATGCGCATTGACGCAATGAAACAGAGTTTTGCCACTGTGTTAAATGGCAACATAGCATACTGCGCGAAATCCTGTTCAGTTTTTATTGGCTTAAATTCCGGAAGTGCTAGAAGGACAGCAGACAGTAACGCTGTTAGGTCATGTTTCTCATATGATAGCAATAATTTCAGCAGCCCCGAGCAGCGATCGTTCGGTAGGTTTCCATATATATCGGCGTTACTTTCAAGATTATCATGATAGAAGTCAAGTAGCGTGTTGAAAGCGCTTCTAACCTTATCGATCGTGATTGTATCACCGATATCGCGGGCCCACTGTATTGACTCATGACCTCGGGCTCTGGCGGCCACCATCAGAGACATATCTCCAGGTAAACCCCTGAACAGCTCGTTAAACCTCTCCAAATGCTTGTTGATAACCATAACCGACCGGTTCATCTGTTTGACATAATCTGTCTCTCTGATGTTCAGTTTCTCAGGTTTGAGGTGCTCCTTATCTTCCCTATGTTCACGTTTCGAACGATACTCCTCCAGCCAACCACTTAAGGTGTTCCGTTTAATCTCATCCTCATCCGGTTGTGTTGTGCTCTTATTCGAGTCTGCTGAGTCCAGGAAATTATCATAGACGTCTGGTTGCTGCTCATCCGAAACTGACTCATGTCCCCATAGCACACGTAGCATCACCGACTGAAAAACTGATAACAGAGATCGTCTGTCTAATTGCTTCAGTACGCTCCTGGAACGTTGTTTTACATAGTCTGTCGACAGATAGTGTTTATGAAGACGGATGATATCTACGAGTTCTTCACTTTTCAGTTGTGTCAGATCAAGTGCAACTTTGTGATATTCCACATCATGCTTACCCTGGTTTAGTACCCAAGGACAGCAGAGCCAATCAATCTGCCCGTCCAAGAAGGCTCCATGCCCCCAGAGGTATTTGTATAGCTCTTGTCTAACTTTTAGCGGAGTGAACAGGATCACGTATGATGCTGCGAGATCCGACGTATATAACACTTGCAGTTCCCTGTCTAACGCAATCTGTGGTTCCATTACCTCTACAACCTTGAAGTTGCCCACTAAGGGTGCCATGAACTCGCGCAGTATCCTTTGTGCGCATTCAGGGACCTTAATGGCGGAAGCATGAAACGCTTCGACGGCATCAACGAGGCGTTGCTTGATTTCATTCTCGAAAACACTACCAAAGTAACCCACAAAGTGACTCATAGCCGTTTTCTGCATATCAGCCGAGGGCACGCCGGCGTCGATGAGTGGGCGACCCTGTCGCAGCTTCTGCGCCACGTGAAAGGTAAATACGGCAGACAGGTAGTCATTCTCGCCTGTAGTGGGCAGACTGTCACAGCTAGTGCCACTTATTGACCCATTTCGTGCATTATTTTTAATCCATATTTGCCGCGCGGGCCCAGCAACGTAGCAGGGGTAAGCCTGTCCAATGGTCGTTGTAGATGGTTAGACAAACCAACCTGGAGCTTAGTTTCTACGATACGTACAACATGATCCGAGAAAATTGAGAAAATGGTGGTTAGAAGCGCCACAAGAGTGCTTACTTCTCTCATTCGTTATGCGCTAGGGGCGCCAAATGTAATATATTTTCAGCGCATAAGCGCTACACTTATGCACTCCATAGTGTGTAATCTGATACACATTTCTATGGAAAATATTCTGACCATCTATCCGTCGTTTTTCAAAGGGAATTCGGCCCTACCGGGTTACTTAACTTGCCGACTGGATTCACCCGCCAATAACGGCTATTATTTCCCATATCGCAACACACAGACCATTTCATAGCGATGCCGTTGTCTTCCTCCAAAGATGGCTCGGCTGAGCTATTCGGCGGCGCCGTACCCGGTGACGCTGGGTCGTTGGAGGTGGTTAACGTGAAGAAATTCCTAGAATCTCGTTGTCTGGAAATAGAGGAGTTGTTAACTACACTCAAACGTAGCGAGAAACAAGACCGTATATTCCAGAGACTGCCATTCATTCTACGTAGACGAGGGACATCGCATAACCCATTCCGTGTACCAAAGCGACTTAGGCTACACCTTGCCCGTGAGATGGCTAAAAGTATGCCAAAATGCGCAAAAAGGTTACGTAAAGATGTAAGGAGACGTCTAAACCGTTTAGAAGAGTACCGTAGCCGTTGCAAACGTAACCAGTGGCTTGAGACACATCTCTACCATGCAAAACGCTTCAAAATGGCTACGCTTTGGGGACACAGATTGGCATATTGTACGGCTCAGAAATGCAGAAGAAGATGTCTACGATACTGTAAACGTCGCTGCGTCATACATGATCTGTCATATGTACGTGTTGTAAGTGTTAGTGGCACTCTACCTGTACTGCGCCAAGCATTCCGTTCCGTATTTGCAGATTCATCGCTCATGTTCCAGGATAGGCTGCTTAGCGGCGAGTATCAATCCCAGTGCTACTCCTATTCGTCCAGTGGCGGGTCGTGTCGTATGATCTGTCCGACACGTTTCATTTGGATTGTACCATGCCACTCCCAAATGACATCAGATGAAGTTCGTGAGATATGGCTTTTCGTACATCCTGCTGCTATTGACGAATTTGTAGATACGTTAAACAATAGCAGCGACGATCTTGAATGCCGTGTAGTGAAAGATTTGTGCACTTTCGAGATCATGGGTCCACTTGCAGCTCTGTTGTTACGCGCTACACTGAAGGTTGATGGCAAGCTATCGACAGGCAATGCTTTGTGGAAGCGGGTGAATCTAAGAAACGTGGATGTTCCACCTTCTTACGTTCTGCCCTTGCGGGTCATGATGCCGGTCGTCCATGGCAACCTAAGACCACAATTCAAGGTAAAAAGCATGTGCGACCAGCACTTTGGATCAGGGTGCTTCTCGGCAGACTTGGTATCCCCTGATGAACGCCGTGAGTTGCATGATTTCAAAGTCTCGGCGGATTTCGAAATAGTCACTAAGGTGGATCTACCCCGGCTACGGCGGAGGAACTATGCCAGCCAGGTTTCCAAGTTATTGGAATCACTCAACGTCCGTCAACCGAACGGCAAAGATAAAGTCGATGGCGTCAGGCCGGGGACAAAAAATAACGACACAAATACATCGACCAGCTCGGATGAAGCGCAAGATTGCTTAATGGATTCGTCCCACGACATAGACATCCATAAAAACATGACAGAAGATGCTATGGATTCTAGTAAATATACAGATGATACTGTTCCCGTATGGTTAATTCGCCGGGGTGATGCTCTGGGCGGGTTTGACATTGTGATACCAGCTGGCACAATAGCCCGTAAACTGTGGATCCTGTTAAACCGCTACGGTGCCATGGGGATTGCTCAGCGTGAACGTGAGATGATATATGCAGAGTATGGCCAGTGTTCATTCCCACAAGACTATCCCGATACTTTATCTGGGCAGAGCTATTTGAGAGCAGCTGAGTCGTAGGTTCACGTTATACCTGTTTTCACATTGTTACAGTGAACTGATTCGGAAATTACTGAGCACACCTGCAAATAAGCGACCAAACTATCGTTATATGGGTGTAGACAGACCTTTTAATCTCCCAAGGTTCGTCAGCGATCGTAAGGTTGGGACAACACATATTAGTGTTGATCATAGGGTTCCAACCTGTGGAGGTGCGGAAAGTGGCCAACTTAGTAGTTATATGGATCTTGATGTTAACTTTCTAAGTTCACTTCCTAACGATTGGATACCGCATACCTACGTCGGAGACGTAGATGGCTCTTACATGCGGTCGAGACACCTTCTGTTGTGTTGTATCACTGCAGGACTACACCGTGCAGACAATATGATCGATCCTCAGTTGCAGGTGCTGAGGATAACGCGTGTTCCTTGCACAGCATCGAATAGGCATGTACAACACCTGCTAAACGCCTATGTGGTTTCTGGCTTTACTGAAAAGTTAACGGTAGAACCTCATTTGCTGCTGTCTTGTTATGTCGACGTGGCAGGCCGGGGTTCGCTGTCGGTTGGCGATCGCATCTATCTACCCTCACGTGACGATTTGGAAAAGAACGAACAGTTCACAGCAGCTGTTATTACTGGAACATTTGGCGACGGATCGTCCAGATGGATGGTCCCTGACCATGAAAGGGTTGTCCTTGCACCTAGGGTGTCGTCAAATTCTAGGAAACAGGTGCCTCCTCTACCGATAACAGAGCCTGCTCACTACGAGTACAAGCTATGTAATTTAAAACAGCGTTTCGGTTGTGTCGGAAGGCGCAAGAAGGTGATGCTATTGACTGCAGAACAGGGTTTGAGGGATTTAGAGTCATGTTGGAGCCCGCCTATTCGTCAGTGTATTGGTGCGGTGACTTCGAAGGGTGGGTGTGATGTTATATGTTTTCAAATTACACCAGGTTTCGCCAACAAAGGGATGTGCGTGGTACAAATGGGCAGTTTCCTCGAGTTGCTGCGATTGAGCATTAAGGTCTGCCGATGCACAGTCACCTCCCCTTTGCCCATCAACCGTTTGCATTTGTTCGCATGGCTAAGGAGCACGTCCAGCCGTGATTATGTGGCAGGTTGGTCATTTATCTATTGTTTCATCATGTCGTAGGGATTGTTTCCATTGCAATTCACGATGAGATAGGTAACGGCATCTAAGGAACTCAGCTCCTAGCAGGAGCTGGCACGTAACACCGTTTAAATAGCGGCTGTGCGTCACATAAGTTCCACATGTCGAAAGCACAGACAATGGTTTAACACTGTACATCTATGCCGTAAATGTGCAGGAGATAGAGTGTGGGTGGCCAGTGCAAAGCTGTCTATAGGTAAAAGTCATTTTTTGTGGTTCTACGTGAGTATTGACTGAAAACTGCCGATACATACACGCTGTTAACCCTTCTATACTTTGATTCACGTGCAGTAATTGCCAAGTTTCAGTCACAACGTGCCTGTGTTTTGTATACGGGGCTAGATGCCCGTATCACGCTGTGATTCCGTCATAACAACGTGAATATTTGACCGTTATAACCGGAATTATTATACACGTAAAGGGTGTACAGAATCACATCCCTGGAGTTTGTCTTAATCCATCTCGGTCCGGGCCTCACGACGGGGGACCCTACATGGAGAGCCCTCACCACGGGGTCCATAGGCTGGTGAACACAGGGATACCCTTTGGTTAAAAATATCTTGTCGTAGAAGCTACTCGTGAGGACATTGTTTTTGTAGGTGTAGCCTAAGTGACTTTTTCTAACGCGCGGTTCGGAGGGAATAGAGCCGCCGTCTTCATAGTTGGAGCCAATCGCCTCTGCGCTCGCGGATCCTAAAGATGGCAGGGCTTAATATTGCGGCAAACTTAAATACCACGGGCTGGGGCCCAGATGAGCTGGATGAACAAACTGTACAATCGTCTCTTGGAAATTTAAACAAGATTCCTCTAGAACCACGATTGAAACTTGACCGTCAGATACGTATATGTGATTTCACATACTTCACATATCAGAAGAGTATACGTGATGCAGGACGATACGGTCGTCAGCCTGCTCCTGTCGTTATCGACGAGGAGATGCAATTCCAGACAGTGGATGGACGTTCGTTGGTTAAGAACAAGAATATACAACACTATCGTCGGAAAGCTGTTCCGAAACAGACAACACAAGCTTTCAATCAGAAACAGATGGAGGAAGAGGCAATGATAATGTCAGCCAAACAGAAACATCCAGAGATGCGTAAACAACGCATGATGCACACTCGGGGCAATCGCTCGAATGCACGCCATCATACATTCAACGAATGGAGCATTGAACCTCTGCCTACGTGGCAGATACTTAGTGAGATTCCTTTCAGCCAGCTATCGAAGCTCGACCTTCAAGGTGCCAAGGTGACAGGTACCGACGTAATGTGGCGTGGTAAGCTGGGCATCTACGATAAGCGCATGGACCAAATTTCGGCGAAAGCAGAGATGCCGTTGCAAAACCTAAATGCACAGTATGACTACTACTGGACCTCCACTAACGATGACGACTGCATAATGGACTACCTACTGGGTAGTCACCGTCAGGAACCACAGGGTTCTGCTGAAGGTTCTGAGACCGGCCAAGATAAGATAATTCTTGGTGCAACAGATCAAATTCTTTCGGTTCTTATGACCGCTGCACGTTCCAAGTACAGCTGGCATCTCAATGTGACCAAGGTCGACAACCAAATCATTATAGATAAGGCAAATGGCTCTATCATAGATATGCTTACGGTTAACGAGACAGCACCCGAGCCACCTATGCCAGATGCAGAAATAAAGATAAACCGCCCACCAGCTCTAGGTTATGAAGCTGTAAAGGTAAATCAGCGCATCAGGCAACAGGTCCTTGTACCTAATGAGCTGAACGAGGAATTTGAGCTGCCTCCTTTCGTTGAGGATGGTGACAACCCTTCCACTGTAGCTTACAGATACAGGACATTTGTGGTACCAGGTGATAATCACGGCCATGGCTGGAGTCGTGTGCCGATCCACGTCATCACCCGTGGCGAAGTTCACGCGCGCGTGCCTGGCGTTCCTAGCGGAGGCTATACTTATGTCTGTGCGTTGAATGAGTTGCCTCATAAGACTCAGAAATCATGGCGTACGCAAATTGAAACCCAGAAAGGAGCTCTTTTGGCCAACGAGATGCGTAACAACACTGCTAAGATGCAGAGGTTCGCTGCATGTGCTATTATAAGTGGCTGTGATATTCTCAAGCTTGCCTATGTGTCACGGCGTACACCTGGTGATGCGGAGAACCACTCAATCATCGGAATTCATACATACACTACGGAGAATTTGGCTGTGCAGATGGGACTCAACATGCGGAACGCCTGGGCTGTGGTGCGCCACATATGCGCTTTGATAATGTCTAAGCCTGATGGTCAGTACATCCTCGTCAAAGACCCTCTGAAACCTAACATTCGGTTCTACGCAGCGCCAGAGGAAGAGGATATTGAGTTCCCAGTGAAAGAATGACGGCACTTGTGCGGCGTGGAACAGAACAACCTGTTTGAAGCTCTAAAGGCCATGCTATTTACACTATGGCTTTATCACACGTAGTACTCATCATAGGTTGTTGTTTTGAAACTTCAAAATGACATTTTAAGCTTTTTATTAATGTTCCTCACGCCGAAGGGCGACGACTGAAAATTGTAGCCGAATAATGTTTACCGCTTTGCAGCCACCTATACCAGCGTCTATCGGGTTGCAGGTGTGCGATAGGTGTAGTTTACCGATAATAAATCGGATTAGTTACAGGCCGGCGACATGCCAGGCACAAGGTTATTTCTGTGGTGGTGCTCTATCCTTCAATAAGCAAAAAAGATATCCTTTGTATAATACATGTAATTTATCAGCACGAGCTGATGTGGTTCTGTGCGTTGATGTACGGGATTACATCAATGAGTGCCGCGCCTTCTGTAATACCACGTCGTGTTCACCTTAGGTAAAGGTCGGTCAAGAAGATGACATATGGCCTTAAAATCGCTCAAATATATTTATTATTTTAATTTATGAACACGTAATCACCTTGGTTATCCCATATATCGCTACCTTGGCCGATGTAGTCGAGTCTTAGAATCCGGGAAGAAAGCCAACCACGCCATGGCGGCACTAACGGATTAGTAAGTCTCTATGTGGTTTATGTTGTCGGTGAAACAAATCCTGCTAACCCTCGTTTGCCTGGGGATTCTTAGCAGATGGCAGTCGCCGCAGGGTACCCTATTGTTACCCTCCTTGGTTGCTTCCGCGGAGAAAGTAAACACACCGGCCTTCGTCACCACTTCTGCGGCACTTCGTAGAACTTCAAAGGGTGATGAAGACACCAACAAAGAACACAAGTATCGCGCGGTGCTGAAGGAGGAACAAAAGAGTATTGACTCACCAGACAAACCAGATGACGCCAGTGTAGCAGAAACAACTTCAGAAGGAGACACTATACCTGATGATCTTTCTACGGTTGGCTCTTCATCTGAAATTACATTACAAAACGAGTGTTCCAGTGCCATGGCACATATCGAAGAACTCCTATTACGCAACGGTTCATCAAAAGACATAACCAATAAACATGTCGCTCTAAACACACTCAGGTTAATTGTTCAAACTTATCCAACCTGCATTAGAAAACTACAACAGGAGACAATCGATGCATTTTCGGAACTCCTACAGCAACGCTTTAAAAGGAATTTTTGGCAGCGCTTGCGCAGCTGCCTAGGGCGTCAAACTCCATTGAAACTGCACAGACGCGCATTAATCGAGGCCAATGTTCTAACCATTTTACTAGAAATTTCAAGGCGTAATGCAAAGCTACGGAAATACATGGCGCAAAACAAAAACTTAAGGAATACTTTGCTGAGAATATATTTCTCAGGATACAAGGGACGCAAGAAAGGCGATGCTTCGGAGGGGAAGGCGAAAAAACACTCTGAAACTGCAACTGACAACTCGACGGGGGACTCCACCGATAAAGACCAGGGACATAACACAGACACACATAAAGATGCAATCAGTCAAAGCGACGACACCAAACATTCGGTATGGAGTGCCAAATATTTGGTACGCGAGCTATTCCGAAGCTTCGGATACGCAAACTACAACTCAATTGTGTCCCAATATGAAAAATTACGTGCTACCGCGGGACTAGGAGAAAATGCGTGTTACGATGTACAAAACTTTATCATGCGAGATAAAACCGATAATGAGGATTCGACAACAAACGATGAGTTGGAGGAGTCGCAAACCTCCAACTCAGAAGATAGTTCCTTGAACGGTGACGATTCGCAACTTTTATGGGTACCATATTGCCTTGCGGATGATGCCGATCCAGTGAAGGCACTGAGGCGCAACATGCGTATTAATTTGGGACCTGAACTTGCGGAATCTGTAAATTTAGACGCCCTTTGTGAACTGACTGTAGACAAGCATGAAAGCCCCAAGGAACCCTTGACATTCGGTGTGGTAGTCTTATGCAAAGCCACAGCATCAGGTGCAATCAGCTGCGCTCCGAATATACCCTCACCTGCGGATGCCAGCACAACACCACTGACAGCAAAAGGAGGCGAAGAATATAAGGTGGTATCAAATATCATATTAGGCAGATCAGAGCTTATTAATGGTGTAAAATTGGCCACACAACTGATGCAACAGCTTGTGCATACCGATACTTTGTATGCTGCTAACGATATCATCAGCGAGCTGTGGACCTTGGTTGCATCAGGAGACACTGAGGTCATCGAAGTGGTACATCAGAACCTCGACCTTGACTTTTTAACAGATGTACTGAATCGCACGTTGTTGTTTAGCGATGTTGATGATCTAGATGTTGTTCCACCTGCGGATGAAGACGAAAAATCAATAATTGCCAAATTTTTTGTCGTTTTTAGAAACATTTGGGGATCTGTAAAACGGTGCATGAACAAGGTTGTACCTGTTAAAGATTCCTTAAATTGCAATAGATTTTTAACTAATGAATTTGGAACTACGGATGTCTTTAAGACAAACAATGATGATTCCACGGGAAGCATTCCACCTTCATCATCCTCAGAGGAGGAAGCGTCAGTGCTTGCAACATTGGCAAATGCTAAAATCGCTAGGCGACTACAAACCGCAATATTTGGACTCCTTATCGACATGGTATATTTCCATGGAGCACGCAGTTTGGCGACGATTACGAAATGTTCTGCATTTGTAGATGCAATGAAGGCAGTGAGAGAGACGTTCCCTGAGCCCGCAAAACTAATACAGGCAGTGGATGAACACAACAAACGTGTGGCACCTCTGGTTGACCGTAGGCGCTTCGATCCTCGCAAGAAAACCAGTGCGATTCGTAGACCCGTACTCAACGTTGACCAGACTACAATGGAAAACCTACGGTGGCGTGATCGCGACGAATACGGTAATCCAGAGATGCCTTACTCCCAATGGGAAGAAGAGAGTTGGATGAGACAACGAACTGTGCCTACCTCGGCATTAGGACCCTTCGTCAACGGTCATAAACTTTTGAATATGCTCGGACACCACGATCAAACCCGAATAAAGGGACGTGGTCTACGTATTCTTAGCATTGACGGAGGGGGTTCAAAGGGTGTGGTAACTCTGGAAATTCTTGCGGAATTAGAAGAGAAGTTAGGCAAACCGCTTTACGAGGCATTCGACTTCATTGTTGGAACGTCATGTGGAGGGATTATAGGTGCGCTTCTAGCACTGGAAAGGTCACGGGTCTCTGAGATACAGACACATTTCGACAAAATGCTGGCGGAGGTCTTCAAAACCGATTCCTACCACAGCAGAGGGAAACGTATGATCACTCAACATGCTTACTACGACGAGAAAGTGCTATATAATGTGTTAAAGAAGACTTTCGGACCATCTGAGTTAATCGACTATTCTGTTGATCCAGATTGTCCCAAATTCTGCTGCCTTTCTGTGCAATTCGACATCTACCCCTTCAAGCCCATAGTATGGCGCAACTACAATTACCATCCAAAATTATCATCGGTTAAAAACGCATCCAAGCTTCATGATGGGTCATTTGCTATCGGTACAGCGGATGCACTTCGTGCGACCACTGCAGCGCCTACATACTTCCCTTTGATGGAAGTAAACGGAGCGTTATATGCCGATGGTGCACTATACGCAAATAACCCGAGCATGGTCGGTCTTATCGAAGCCACGTTAGCGTACCCGGATATTCCGATAGATTGTATGGTCAGTATCGGTAACGGTGACTGGCACGAAGATATCTTCCCGGGAGAAAGTAAAGACATGGTGGAGCGCGTGAGTGCTAATCTAGGTGAAAATAAGGATTGCCTCCTTGATGTGGTGGCTGATGTCATCGATGCAAAAGATGTTATACTTAACTCACCAGGCACGCCGCCTAAATGCCCATCACCCTCGGTAGGACTGGAAAGGATGCTCCAACATCTGATATTCTCTGCTACAGACACCGAGATGGTGCATCTATCGCTGCAAGAGCTCATGGACAAGAACAAATACTTCAGGATCAACCCGCCGATCCCGCTCGTGGGTATGGCGGAGGTGGACCCTGAGGTGTTGTCCGACATCAAGGAGAGGGCACAACGGTTCATGGCTGAAAAACAACAGCAGGATGTTCTAAAGAAAATAAGAGAGGTAATGCTGCCTAAGGCGGAGGTAAAGTCGGCCAAAGCGTCGAAAGATTCGTAACACATTAAACCGAAACGTTATAGTATTGTCACTTTTTAAATAAATTTCCATCTCGGTCATTTAGATCCCTTGTATGAGCGTTGACGTGTTGGCCATCTGCCCAAACACCAGCGCAGACAAAGTGGAACCAACGTTCGCACCCGTCACATCCAATCCAATGTAAATCGTCACCTGGTAGACCTGGGCTCCGCTCAAAGTAGATTGAAAAACATACAGGGCAGAAATATTCCCCAGAATCTAATTGACCAGAATGACAATAGGTCAAAATGTCCTCCATAGGCATTCTTTGGCGATTGTCGAAATTGGAACCGTCCAACGACTTTGGCTTGCGACCACGCTTACTACCATGGATAGGCTTTAATTGACCAGCCTTTATTAACTGAATAATAGCTCGAATCTCTTTCTTGTCACGACGACCACCAACCACGTTCATTGCGTTATACGCAGTCCAGTTAAGTGCTTGAATCAATCGATCTCGTGCAATGTTGTCAGGCAGTAAACTGTACTCGTTTACGGGCTGGCCAAAGTTGCTTTTAGATAGAACCAGCCCTAAACTCATGTAATTGATGCCGCTCAACATGTTCATAGTAGCATTCAGGTTACCCATTGGGAAGGATCCCACCTTGCATGGTAGCTTAGGTCGCTTGGCACTTGAAGCTTGAGCAGTTAGTGGTCGGTTGAATGCCGGACGCAAAGGTCCCTCGTTACGCATCTTGCTAGGGACACAGTATCTAGACATATAGACACCACCAAAAAATCCAGAAAGGTGATACTTAGTTGCAAACAACATCTCATACAGATGAGGTGGAGCTATCATAAACTTCCGCTCGACTTGACTCATACGTACGATGTGCAGGAACGTATGACGCAAACAGTATACACGACGAGGGGATGTTGTAACACCCTCAGGTTTCTTGCCCATGTCAGCTTTGCATCCGAGCCAAGCACCACAGGATGCATGGAAGCGGACGGTACAGTAGTTGTTACTACATGTAAGGGTAGCGCCACAGCCCACTCCACAATAGTTGCACGGATACTCGAAGAAAGTCTTGGGGAACTTGCGCAGCGAAGCTCCTATAACCTTAGAGTATGACAACCAATCTACGCAAACCAGATGCACATAAGCATAACCGCAGTACTCAGATATCCAGTTGAGATAGAAGGGGAGGTTATCCCGGCTTACAGGCACAAGTAGACCATCGAAGCGGGAACACAAAGCACAGCATAACAATGGCAAGTTAATGTCGTTCTCCATATCCTCACAACGACAACACAAAAATCGATCGTCGGAATCATCGCCAGAGGATTCCGTTGGAACTGGTACACCTGTAACAGCATTCGTCGTGTTGTCGCATTGAACAGAATTATTCACAGGAGAAGGGTCCTTGCTCACATTACCGCCACTAGGATTGTTCAAATAAGGACCGTTTTTCACAGGTGGGCTCTTTATCATAGGACCCGTCTTACCAAACGGTCCGCCGCACATGCTTCCAGGTATATTGCGATCATACATTGTGTTCATAGTCTTCCCACCGTTCCCGTTGTACAAAGGGGTGCCCATATTCGGCACCGATAAAGGCAGATTGTTGCACATGGGTACAGGGCTACCCAACGGTGGCGGAGGCATCATGCATCGCACCGGACTAGGTGTGTTCAAGGGACCCCTAGACATAGCGGGCGCAATCATAGATCCAATACGTGAATCCGAATTAGTAGGCGTGCTAATACCCAAGCCATGACCAGGATGACCGCCAGTACGATCAAGCAGAGGGCTACGAGCCATCAATGGCAAAGAAAGCATCGCATTACGCACAGAAGCGATACGGTCATCATCAGCCATAGGCTGAAGACTTCTAGAAATAGGCGGGTTGAGACCACTGTAAATAGGCTGAGAAAGCAATGTTGCAGCGGACATGTATGCATCTGTAGGTGTTGGAGTTGGTGGGATAGTCACCGTTGTCTGGTTCACCTTGATGCGCGTGCGAGCATTCTTCATATGAGAAAGGCAGTCACTACAAGCGCGTGCATTGCATAAACGACATGTTTTGTAATGTTGTGCATAGTTTATACGCTTACGCATCGCACTACTATCTTCCTCAACCTCAGGCTCAAGTACCTTAAATTCTAGACATCCAGAACAAATCACAAAATGACGTGACACATCTATGTTAGTTACGTTCTCTGTACCAGACTTTGAACATACAACCCTAGTAATTGAAAGTGGCAGCAATTCCGGGCCCAGACGCATTAATACAGTCTGGTTAAGACCCTTAAGCATATCCATCACACGCATACGACACTCCTTACGATGATCCACAGGTGGGTTGACACCACGTGGGACTCCAGAATAGTCGGGAGACATTGGTGTCAAAGGTGTAAACACCTCCTCCACTGGATTTGTGCCAATCTCGCAATTACGACGAGAATCATCCACCAATTGTATTGTCTTCATATGACGAAGTAAATTAACAAAAATAGTACACATCTCAGAACCATTTTTCGATTTGAAATATAAAATGTTAAGAAGACGTGTAAGGCCTAGCAAAGATGAACGACAACTTTTAGATATAACTTCTGAAATCAGACGTTGCCCTCCTATAAAATCATCAGATATAAAGGATAACATCTTTTCATCTGCCGCACGAGAAGAAGCGCAAATGTCACTCAAAACTATCGCTGGAACGCCTTCAATATAACTCAGAGTGGACTCCTTGCTGTCATCCATAAAAGTAGATCCCTTAGTCTTTGCCGCTGTGAAGTCAGGGAATAACAAACTACCCACATGCTCAGATGTTGGACAACGGTCGTCATAAAAGCCCTTGTAGTGGACCTGTTCATCCTCATCATCGTTACCCATGTTACACCAGAAACATAGCTCCTTGTCTAGATTAGTAACACGACATACATTTGGATCCTTAGGGTATACCGATGGCACAACATCGGTGACGATGGAATCACGTTTTGCATCTGAACCTAGTTCCATTGAACTCTGGGAGCCACCAGCTTCAGAAATATCCTTAGGAGTAGATATGTCCGTATCATTCGCAGAATCAGATTTTGAAACTACAGAAGATGCCTCAAAAACTGGCTCAACCACTGGTTCCACAACTTTTCCCACAATCGGTTCTAGTATTGGTTGCACCGTTGGTTCTACCACAGGTTCCACAACCTTTGCATTCTTAGCCAACCTATCCTTATTGGAGTTCGCTGTCTTACGAGTACTAACATACTTGGAACTATCTTGGATAGTTGCAGTGCCTTGCGCCAATGCACTGCGGCTACGGGTTGTTCGAACCTCGGGCACATCAATTTGTTTCTCTGGCACCGTTTTAGCAGTGCTAGATGTCGAACTCGATTTACGGGCATCCCTGCTCTTTTCAGACATTTTGAACTTCCCAGTCTTGTCACGCAAAGGAAGCTTGGCCTCCACCTTCTGGGCAGCGGTCGGCTTCGTATCGGCCGGTTTACAGTTGTCATCCGTACTCTCAGGAACCACTTTCTCAGAAGTGTCCTTTTCAACAACAGGCGGCTTTCGCACCACCTCGTCACCGTATAACGGGATAGGAAAACCACTACGTGGCTTCAAATCGAATATACGCTCAATCACATTTGCTATTGAACGATAGTTTGGTTCGAACAGATGGGTTAGATAAATATCGTCCTTGGGATTGACACTGTCCAAATTAGTCTCATGGGTACTGAGCTTCCTAAAGTTCTTGTATTGTACCTTTGTCTGAAGTTTACGTAATAATACTGTAGGTGCCAAACCAGAAGCATGCTGCGGGCATAAAATATCCGGTTTGCCGTTCTGATCCCAGGTAAAGAGACAACATGAGGATGCAGCGGCACAAGATACATGGAACGCCTTGCAACAGTTACCATGTGAACATTGGACAATCGCTGTACTCATGTTATGACAAACCAAACATTTAAGAGCTTTGATCTTAGGCACAAATGTACGGTAGTCAATCTCTTTAGGCGTGATGGTACAATCCACAGCTATAGCACAACGCACATGGGCCCAAGTTCCGGGATTAGATGTACGTTTCATGGGACCACCACCCGGGTAGTAAGCGTCAAATCCACAAAAAACACAAACCGGAATCTTCAAATTTACGAAGAAATTACGACCCATGCGTACACATATTACCAATTTCTTCAAAGGATTCTTACAGTTTAATGTAAACATATCTTCACGAATAAGCTCAGTCTCAGGACCCCGAACCACCTCAGCATTTATCGCAGCCACAACATGAGGAGGACGCTCGATCTTCACGTCCACAGGCTTACGACCACGCTTCTGTGGTAGTGACTTTTGACGTTGCAATATGCGATCTTGATGGATTAAATGATGCGTAGTCTCCTCTTCTTTAGGTAAGAACATAAACAGCTTCAACATACCATCCAAATTGGCATTGGTCATGTGCTGCACCAAATTCTCATCAAAAATGTCATGCGCAACTTCCAATTGAGCTGTTGTCATACCCTTGAAAGACCAAAATTGAGTGATGGTACGACCCAAAACATCCATCTCAAAACCCTCCAAATCAACCTCAAAAGGTGATTGAATATCTTCATCTGGCAATGTTACTGCTACAGTAGTAGGGATGTTGCCATATTCAACCAATGCTGTGAAGCTTAATTTACCATGGGCAACAGAGTCACCCTTAACTGGTTGGACCTTCTGGTCCGGCTTAGCACCAGAGACAGCGTTAGCAGGAGTGCCATTAGACTTGTCACCCGATGATTTGTCAGTTACAGTGTTGGCGGGAGGAGCCAACGGCACGACAGGGGTACGACGATATAACGTGCACAGGTCAATGCGTTCCATTGGGTTGTCATACTCAAAACCAACAACATATGGCAACCGAGATACCTCGACATTCTCGCTATTATCAGCGTTGGGGTTATCACGCATAAGGTCTACCATCTGCTTGTTACGAGGACCCGCAGAAATACGAATCGCCTTCATGGCCATATTCTCATCGAGAAATGCCAATTGATCCAAAAGAAATAGACAACATGGACACATCCATTCGTCCTCATCGATGCTAGGTTCATCGTCCTCCTTTGTATGCAACAGTTTGTGACGCCGCACATTCTGCCTCATCGTCTCTGACATTGTGCCAGGTTTATAACCAAGGCAACAATAATGCATCGGGATGTAACAACAGTCACAAAATAGAATGGGGTCATCGTCCCAGTCCTCGTCACTGCCGCAGATACTACAAAGAGCATGGTCAGTCCATTGTGCAGGCAGATTGGAACTCTTGTTGCACACTAGACGGATACGTAAGACGTCAAGGCTCTGACGCTGGGTATTATAGTTATACCGGTTGTCCATCATCTTGTTGTTATACTGCTCAATATAACACTTTATCATCTGCGATTCCACCTGAGACCAATAATCAAAATTAGGCCTCTTCTCTGCCTGCACACGCTCAACCAAGGTACTGAATGTACTATCGATCTCTTCAAGGGTATCCAAATATTCCTTGAGAACTGCTGTTATATCGTCATCGCGTGGACGCTTAAACGGAGGTAACTCGTGCTTCTCATCCTCTAAAGGTTGAGAAAATTCATGAGTACCCATAACCGTACGTGCCTTGTAAATATCCAACCCATTAAAAACAAACTCGTATTTATGGTTGACGGATGTTGGATTGCTGAAACACACACCGGGGATGTTGTTGGTGTTTTCCACGTTCAAACACAATGGACAGACCACCTTAGAGATACCCAGGCAACGCCTGCACAGTGGCGGCGGTTTTGCCTCGACAAAAGTGAACATCTTAGGGCTGTAGTCTATCATGCATGGTGGAGATACATCGGTCAAGCCTAGACTTCGCAAAAGCGAACTCACAACGGATACAGGCTTAGACAAAACGTCATTGTGACTCTCCCATACGGGGTCGGCCACTCGACCGTGAATTTCCCTTAATAGTGTAGTGCACTTCTTGTAAGGCGGACAAATGTCCTTTCCACCCTTAAAAATAGGCTGGAGAGTGTGCGACCACACTGGTGAAGGACCATACAATATATCCGGTACCTGATCCGCAGTAAGTATGTCGTTAAGCATGCTAGTCTTGAATCCACAACGGCGTGAAGTAGCCGAATCATCATGACGAACAGTCTCGGGACAATAAAGCACAAGTCTAATGCCATCAGGGGCTTGAGACGGAAGAATAAACGGAAGTTTCAATTTATTGTCGTGCTTTGCATTTACCACCGGATTGTAGTACACATCGTCATCGTACTCCGCCGTATGCGACTGTCTTGTCATAGAAAATCCACGGTCATCAAAATATGACGCTAAGTCTGCGTTAAGGCTGCTAGTAACAATCGGTAGATGTGGACCAAAGTTACTAGCACCGGGAGTAGATAGTGGACCACCTTTCTTCTTTATACGGAACCTTACCGTATACATACCAGTATCATCCGATGCTGAGCCATTCGATTCTGCAGATTCCAATTTAGATGTACCATTCAGCGCAAGAGCCGTAGATTTCCCAGATTTTTGGCTTTTCGCACGCTTAGCATCGCGACTTGTACTAGAATGCGCAGCACAAGCTTCCTCATGTTCTCGCAAAAGCTCACGGGACTGACGTGCAATGTAACGACAATGCCAAGCATGGCTGCGTAGACACAGAAGCAGTGATGGATTAGGATTTGCAAAGAAATGGCGCTCAGTATCAACCCAGAATCGATCCTCCTCTTGCGATGTTTCCCTAGACGGCGCCAAATCTTGATCCATGGTTCCAATGATGCATTTTCAGGAAAAACCTGAAACAAAAACACCGATACACAATCGAGAATTGAAACAGCACAGTTACAATTATAACACCTCACGTGATAAATCTTAACAGCACACCTATGTGCGATAGACGGAGAGGACGAAAAATAACAAAGACCTCAAAACCGACAGACAAAAAAACATATAATATGTGCCACCTGAACACTCACAAAATCCAACTCGCAGCCAAAGCAGACGCACTATCTACCTATCAGAGACGCTGCCAATACGCAGCGCGCACTGATAATGGCGTTAATTAGAAGCCTGTAGGGTGGCATACGACGCGAGTCGAGCCCGAAGCCCATCGCGCGTTACCTAACCACAAAGTGGAAGCAGCTCCATCAGATAATAAAAGTATATTGCGTGTGACGCCGAAAAGTTGATAGCGCTAACGCATGTTCAAGATTTCTCCGTTGGGTATCAAGGCCCCCGCCTGCGCGGCCACCTCACGCGGAACATACAAACGTGAAATGAACAAACAGAAACATGGCTAAAGATCATTGGTAATGTACGCTCGCAGCAGGCAAGTATGATGTGAATAGGATGCAACAGAAAAAACAGATCTGACAACCTACACATCAAACCTAATATCACGACAAAAGGCAACACTAAGACGTGCATATACAAATGACGAAGTCATCAAAATTCAAATCACATACCATTGTTTGTTGCTGAAATTCGCAAAAAACGCAGTAAATCTATTTAACAACAGCATGAGACCATACGATGTTACACGTTGTCTTTATTCATTTGGTCCTCTTATACGCTTGCCCAGTCAACGCTGTACGACGAACTTCCTTACGTGATATTAGGGGGGACGCTGGAAATAGACATGATATACTTGTCTTTCTCAACGGCCAAACGCCGCTCTACCAAGGGACACGCAACCGCGACACTCAGCAGCAATACCACGTCGCAACAACACCCAAAATAACACATTCTGGAAACTATGTACGACACGCTACAGCAAAATGGCACGAAGAATTGACAATTATGAAACAATGTGGTCGTACCTACAATGCTGTACACGCTGTTGGACGCGACAGCCACCCGCCACTAACACAGGTGCCAAACAACACCCAACCCATGATGATTAAAACATCCACACTCAACATACAGTTCTTACATGATTGGATCAAACGTAAGAAAGAACTAATTAGGAATGCTATCACAGCACTGGAATATCCAATAACAAAACCGGGGTCGTACCTCGCAAAGATTTGCAGACACTCCATGATCAATGCAGAACAATGCGTCAGGCTTCTCGCAAAACAAATACACACATGGTACATCGAAGCATGCAACTTGGAGATCAATAACATATTTAGCATAGGAAGTGATCCACTTTTTAATATCATAAGACTAATAGGGGTCACATATGCTATAGATTGGTGGACGGGAGCCTCGCTAATCAAGGCACGATTTGAATTAAACCCGCAAGATGTATTCGTAAAAGGACAGTATTACAGGCTTGTTACTTCATTATTCTTACATAACGGTCTTGTACACCTGTTACAAAACGTAAGATCACTCTGGGGTATTGGATCCGAGGCCACAGCACTACTCGGACCAACACGGACGCTTATAGTATACTTTGCTTCAGGGATACTGGCCAATTACATCAGCTATGTATACAACTTCGCATATAAAAATGGAATACCAGCCCACCTATTCAACGTCACACAGGCAACGGTACACGGAATAGGACAGACGAGCAGTTCCACAGCGAGTATCGTGGAGAAGGTCATAGACCGCATTAGAAGCAGGCAACATTACACAGCGTTCCCAGTATTCCTCATATGGTATGCAAACGACACGATGTTTCACATAATCGACAACACGGTAAGAACCATGATGCCGTTCTTTCAAAAACAAAGACAACACCCGAACAACCCAGATGTCAATACAGCTATACAGGGATACATCAAGCGAAAAGTCGCTAGACAGAAATCATGTGGCGCATCAGCAGCAATATACGGACTCATGGGAGCTGTCTGTGCCTACTATATACGATTTGGGGACAAGGAAGAGAAAAGGCGGATTGTAGAAATCGTCACAACCTCAATGGCACAGAACCTTGTCGCGCTTTGGGGCGCAAATGTCGATCACGTATCACACTTGATAGGGTTTCTAACCGGGCTGGGACTCACGTTCACGTTCTAGAACAACAAACACTAACTTAATGTAGATTAATATCGTGTCGGTATACAATGTAGCATCACAACATGCTAATTAGACACTACCAATTCGTACCTGGATACACCGACACAATTTACACAACCGGTTTAGGTCGCGCTGGTTGTACGGAGAGTTAGGGTCATCCACGCATGAAAAGTCGTGACGAAAAACTGCTGAAAATGCCACAAACTTGGAGTGGTGGACAAAATCGTTATTCACCTTACCCATAGCTACAAATAAATATTAGTAATAGTAAAAACAACATACCTGACATGAAGTCAGACAGTATTCCATCCAATCTAACAACAAATGTGGTGATACTCCCGAGCACATCGTCCGAAGGCTGATAGTTAAGTAGGTCCAAATAGTCAAGAATAATGTCAGGTAGTGTAGTGAAGTAAAGGTCAAGTAATAGACACATAGTGGTCAGTCGAAGCTGGAAAAATGTCAAAAACACATAAACAAACGTACTGTAAGAGGTAAGATGCTATCACACAGAGAAGATACATGTGTAAGAAGCTGAATTGCGTCCTCACCGAAACTGTCCGCATAGCTATCAAGAGAATTCAACACTCGACTCAAAAGTTTCTGAAGAACCTGCTGTAACAAGGCCGTAAGCTGAGTTATAAGGTAGTCTTGCAATTTCAACATGTGTACGTGAGCAACACATGTGTGGAAATTACATTTCACCAAATCTGAAAACACCGAACCATGACACTCTACGGCCGGTCCCCAGGATATTCGAGACTCCAAAGACTGAACAAAATATGGTAAAACCAAAGATGAACCAGACAACAGCGAGGCGTTGGACAACAAAAGTAAAAAGTTGGTAAGAGGAACATTAAAACCAGCAAGATCTTTAGCATCCTCGTCCTTACTCACTGTTTTAGTGATGCTCAACACAAATTGTTTGAAAAAATCCTGAGTAACCAACATATACGTAGCTAGGATAGATAAAATCATATCCGAAAAACGCTTTATGCACAATGCAATGACATCATGTGATACCATACGCGGCCCTAAAATATCAAAGGCATGACGCAGCAGTGCAATGGGCTGAGCGGATAATACAAACAACAATATAGACAGAGTGTAAATGTCGTTGCATACGCCACATGACTCCAGACGATCAGCCCATTCGAAGGAGGTGAACACTTCGGAAAAGGAGATCCCCGGGAAATCAGTTTCCAAAAGGCTAGTAAGAAGCGTAACTATACTTCTCTTGTCGACAATTCGAATTGACGAATCACGACGAATATTGAAGTCCGACGCCGCAATGTAGTTCAAATCGGTTTCATAGCTTTGCGATTGAGCGCAAAAACGAGTATATACCAACACATGTTCTTCCCAACGCTGCAATAGACTCTGAAAAAAGTGACGTACGAAACGAGAAGACGAGTCCACTACAGTGGCCTCAGATGCTATCACAGTGTCACACAAATAGCGAAATGAACGCAACAAATCATCTACGCCGACACATTCCACATCCCAACATAAATAACATGAGTCAATAAGACGCGATATCAAATCGTCAACTAGGACACGTGTTTGCAACGCAGACAAACACGTGAAGTCCGTAACCTTAGATGAAGAATAATCCAAGTGTCTATCCACCTCTATAGATGAACTAACACTGCCCGAACTGCTTTCGTCCGAAAAATGACGGAGTTGCCGAAGCACTGCCTCGACGTGGGAGATACGGCTTACAACACCCGATATCATTGCAGAGGTGCTATCGTAACCGTCGATAGATACTACAGCTGTAACTTTCTTCCCGGAACCCAAGCGCAAACAGTGGTCGTGAACGTAGTCCACGGAACTTATATCACCGTTATCGTAGCCTCTAGACACGTGGACCGTAGGAGTGACGTAACGAGAGGCGCGGTCCTCTATAAGACGCAAAAAGGTCCCGGACAGGTTCAATATCACCAAACAATCATTGAATGTTACATATGAAATGCACAGCCTTTCACCGTCAAGGTTTAGATACTGCTCGGCCACCGGCATGTAACCATTGTTCAATGACAACCACTGACGACCAATAAATAACACAATTTTTACCAACAACTCATAACGGTGGTAATACCGCCATTTCAGATGGTGCAGCACCTTGTCAGCCTCATCAGAGATACTGCGGTCGTCCGCTTCAGCATCCTCAGACAAACGTTGAAATAACTCTTGGCAATCCAAAGATTCAACAGGATCGCTTGGACATACCATAAATTGCTCTTGAAAACGGTGACGCTCAAGCTCTTCATGCAAAAAGTCGCAAAAGGCAACAGGTAAAGTGTTTATCATTTCAGACAGACACTTGTCGCGAAGAGAGGCGCAGCACACCCGGAGCTCATCTTCCAATTTATCATCAGGAGACAGCGATATAGTACCATCATGGCAACCACAAAGGAGACGCGAGGCTTCCGGAAGGCGTAAACGGCCTATGTGTTCGTCAATAACCTCGTAGGATTGAAGTAACCCTGAAACGATGTCTAACGACCGGCTGACATCTGCCACACTCGGATTGTTATCCATCGTTCCAAGGCAAAAACATCACTACTACATCATTCCATTGTTACGCAAAGTATAAGATCTCAGGCAAAGATGACTGAGGGGCAGCATGGAAAACCGCCAGATGCAACCGTGTTCTAAAAATAAAGCATGGCAACACTAAAATGCTATTCAGTTGACAGAATTATTTAATGTGTGGGTATATAGAGCCATTTAAATTTTGTAGGGGCACAAATGGACCGAAATTGGTATACAGCCAGGGCGTGAGTTACCAAGCTAGTCGGTAAGTGACTAAACGAACGTCTATAAAGATAGATGGTGCCACTGTCGTACAATAATGAGTTATAAATGTGAGTTGCCCTTAAAAATGGCGAATAGCGGCAACGCTTTAGGGAGAAATAGGACCAAACTGCCAGAGAGGGTCTCGGCGTATCACCAATACAAATAATTTCGCAAATACAACCATAGAACGGATGTATAACATAATATCCAAAAACGAAAGTCATTTGACGCCATTAGACGACAAAATGGAAATCTCACCCTTCCCCATCCACTCCCCATCACAGCGACGCCGAGCTCCCCATGGACCTATACCGAAGCAACGAACCGGGACCTCGAGCCACTAACAACTTTAAATCAACCTTCTAAGTGTAGAAGGACCTGCGTAATAGTTGCGCAAAACATCGGGGAACCTTCTCGCACGATTTCGAGACCGCGGAACACTCAAGATGGGTGCCTACAGGTATGTTTCACAATATTGGACATTAGTAAATACACGGAACTATCAAGTCATATTCATACAAGTGAAACCTATCGTATAAAGCCGATACAAATGCTGGAGGCCTAACGTATTTCATAATCCCACACCGACAAACCATCATACACATCGCCCATACATATACAGGTACATGGAAGAGCTTTGGCGCAAAAAACAGTCCGATGCTATGCGCACATTGCTCAGGATCAGGACATGGGAATACAGACAACTCACCGCAGTACATCGCGTATCAAGGCCTACACGCCCTGATAAAGCTAGACGCCTAGGATACAAGGCAAAACAAGGATTTGTCATTTATCGTGTAAGAATCAAACGTGGTGACCGCAAGAAAAATGTACAAAACGGTATTGTATACGGAAAACCAAAGCATCAAGGTATCCGTAAGCAAAAATCCAAACGTAACTTGAGGAGCCTTGCCGAAGAACGTGTTGGCAGACGATGTGGAGGTCTACGCGTTCTCAACTCGTACTGGGTAGGACAAGATGCCGTATACAAATTCTACGAGGTCATACTAGTTGACCCACACCATAACGCTATCCGCAATGACCCTAGGATGCAATACATTGCCAAACCAGTACACAAACACCGTGAAATGCGGGGACTCACATCGGCAGGACGCAAGGGACGTGGATTACGTGTGAAGGGACCAAAGGCAGCGAAGTTGAGACCTTCTATACGCGCCAACTGGAAGAGAAGACAAATACAGCACTTGTGGCGCATGAGGTGATCAGCTTCACAATCAGTGGCACGGTTTTAATGGTTAAGGAACCTCGTGGTCTAATAATAACTAGAAATAATTGCATATGCCATAGAGCAACAGCATGATACGATAAGCAGCTCATAGCTGCCCATACTCCATTGGACATGGTCACATACGGACCTACTTATATCCCCTGGGCGGGACGTTCAATCGAACTCATATACGTATTGTGAGTATTTACCCTCACAAAACAGTGGCATGGAGCTACAGCGGGATACACCACCAGATTTAAGTTCACTGTACACCCATCTGAAACTGCAGATTCAAAATCCAGAGAAAGATGCCATTGTATCATACAGTTATAATCATTAATACATCAACACCGCTATTTCGAAACCAAATCTGTTGGTGAACGACCCGAAGTAATCAAGCTGTTATGTAATAAGCAGCAGGGGTACCCATGTTGCTAGTCGAGCGACAAGTAATAGCGCAAGTTATTAAACATAACACAAGTATAACTGCCAAGATTAACATAGAGATCATACCAGCTAAATGTGTATCGTCTAACCCTCATAAAAGCAGCAGGACGCTTTGTGAGGAAGCCGGTGAGGCACACAACACGTAACCAACAAAAATATACCGTTACATAATAGTACACAAAGTCTAATGAAAAATTCGACACATATTTACAAGTATCGCATTTAATACTACCGAACATTCATAGGATACAAACAACAGTCGCCTCCCAGGATATACGGAGAATGTTAACGTGATCAAACAAGATTTTAAAAGCAAGATAAATGGCATATATCAGGATAACACAAGTAGATGGGATTCTACTCCTCGATCATCAAGGGGAGAGAATCGCCGTCAACTACTACCAGCAGCACTGCGCCGTACCCACAAATGCTAATTCACCAAATAATCGTAAGTTCACAAATACATACAAAACATAGAGGCAACAGTATGGGAAGATGTAGCCAAACAAAAGGCTTTGGAACGTAATCTTACCAAGGAGTTGGATTTTACCAATGCTAAAGGTAAACAAAGACGTAGATGCCAAAGTCACACTCAAACAGAGGGATCAGCAGGATGCCGTATAGTTGACGGGTACCTAGTCAATTACTATATTGCAATAGATTTCGCAATTGTGGTACTGGCACCCAGCAGTGAAAACGAAGTACTACTGTCAGAAGTATGCACTACCCTCAAACAGTGCCTAGTCTCAATCACCGAGTAAGCTGAACACAAAACATAGACAAAACTCGAATAGTGACCAAATGAACAAGGAAGTGCTCTGCACAAAACTGGATTCCGTATTCTTGTTACTAGACGATATCGTAGATGGAGGGTAGGTTATACATAGTTAGGGCCCATAAATCCAACAGAATTATAATGGAAGCTAATCATAGTGTCATTATTAAGCGACTGAAGGGGAAATCGGGCGATGGATCAGACCATGTGCCACTTAATCAGGTATGGGAACATCAACGACTCTATATCTATATTACAGGCCATATATAATATACGCAACAATGTAATCAGGAACCTCCTAAACTCGTGAAATGGTCAATCACCAAACTAAAGCACAGATGTGCCATAGTAGACAACCGTATCTGTCTCAGATACAACTACAGGCTCTCATGAACGCCTAGACGGGGGCGAGAGCGCGACAAAACCGAACAAATATATTCTATGTATAGAACACATGGAGCTAAATATACACAAATTTAGTGAAATGATAATAACATGGCTTAAGCGACCAACTATACTTCAAAACAATGCATACTGGCGAGCGAACTGCCTGCGAATACAACACGCGAACTTTGGCACGAAACGAGTGACACAGAAGAGAAGTAAGCCTAATAACGAACTGATATAAACATAAGAATGCGATGTGACGTGGTACAGATATTATACATGATTTTAATATATGCCACTGCATGGAAGATTATATACTAACGTAAACTCAGGATACATGCTGAAACTAATACACCCAGAAGAAAAAAAAACAATCAAGGTTATGACAGAAGGAAGATTACAATCAGACGACGCATTACCAAAATCATTGCTTTGTAGCTCCGCTATTAGAAAACTTGTCTATTCCAATACGGTAGAGGCACAAAAACTTGCAAACAAAATCAATTGGGATGCATACAAGTCGAATGTTCGTGGAGTAAGGTTTGTGAAATATAAGATAGGATTAATGATAAAAACTATGTATAGGTGGCATCCATCGGGATCATGGTATGTCCAGTTCAATAGAAGAAACTACGAAAAAAACTTCTTCGTTAATTGCCATTGCTATTTCAGGTAACACGAAACGAAAACTATGTCACAATCTATAGTGTCGAAAAACACGGATTCCAAGAAGCTAAACAAAAGGCAATCGCATATCGCAAACGACTTGAAGCGGAATACGAAGAACTACAAGAAACATGGAACGACATCGATAGGTGAGTTCAAAAAAACAAGTAATACTCAAAGCATACAGACAAAGGATGGCTAAAAGAATGGCAAGACGTGATTATCGCGAAAAAGCAATGGAAGAAGAAGAGTTCCTATTGGCAGATTCCACGGTTTGATAATTGAACACTAATACTGTACCAGTATACATTACTGGTGAACCCAGCTAGATAACGTCGCATTTTAAGTCTCAAATAGATAATAATACTGAATCATTGGCCGCGTGGCAGTCTGTCGGCGCTTCTTCTAAGCTCCTCGCAGAGTTGCAGTGGAGAGGCGATGAACTGCGAACTGGCAAGCGACCACAACACACACCAGTTGAAGAAACATACAGCGCACATAGATAACCAAGTTAGCCGAATGGGGGTACACGGAAGGCACTATTCCCATCAGGGGACCACCGCGCCAAGGCTCAACGCGGACAACAATGTATTGAGAATATAACGGAGAATACCACAAAAGATTTGAATTATTCACATTATGTGAACAAAATGCAGCGTGGCGACTTAATACGTGGAATCACCTCAATTTCGAGGAACCTAGCTCGCACATCAGGTATATAAAAAGTGAAAGAAAAATATTGGTTACAGCTATTACGCCAGCAACCTTGCAAAATGTGCGAAGAATTGCAACAACTAATGCCACACGACCTGATGCATCAAACGAATTCGATGTTATTATCGTAGGAGGAGGGGCAACGGGAACGGCCCTGTACTACACCCTTTCGCATTTCACAAGTAAGACCAAAAGTCACATACTCATAACAGCACATAGATATCAAGCGAATCGCACTATGTGAAAGACGGAGCGGATATGCGCTAGTGGCGTCACACCTCAAAAACAACAGCCAGACGATACATTGTGGTATGTTAGGCAAAGACATCTTGGACATCAGTAACAGGTGATATCGAGACGAACTACACCGCAGAAACAGCGACAAAAGTAAAAAGAAGTGCTAACATGCTTAGAAACTGCCTTGGCAAAATACCTCAAGATGAACTTTATCAGTGAGTAACAATGCAGGCAAAATAACACGATGCAGCATTGCAAGAAAAGGACAAAAGATGGTATTAGCTGTAGGAGTTCAAGAATGTCAAACACTGGAGAAGAGATACGAACCATTTAAACAAATATTCCCAACACTACAGCTACTGGATAAGGATCAGGTTGCACATGTAGAACCCAATGTCGTAAAGGGACGCAAAGGCAAACCTAGACCGGAGGACATCAGAGCACTTTATGTTAAAGATGAACTCACAACGTGCAACTACATGGCACTCTCGGAACACTTTGTAAAAGCGGCGAACAATCAAGGGAAACACCTGCAGCCAATGCTTAACACTGAAGTTAAGGATGTCAAACGCGACGGAAGTAAATACAAAGTAGTTACAAACAATGGGGTACTACATTCCAAATTTGTCGTATTCAGCGCCTGCGGATACTCACTACTGTTCGCACAACGGATGGGAATCGGACTAGATTATAGCGTTCTTCCAGTTGCCGGAAGCTTCTATTTCGCACCAAACGTTCTCAGAGGAAAAGTGTACACAATACAAAACCCAGCACTACCATTCGCAGCCATACATGGTGATCCTGACATAGGCGCAGAAAACCAAATACGCTTCGGACCTACCGCACTACCTCTACCGCTACTCGAACGATACAACATTCGCAGCCTACCAGATTTTCTAAGGGTTCTCAAGCTAGACACTAGGGTCATGACCGTATACTTTAACTTGTTGAGGGATGGTACCATTTGTAGATACATGCTAAGGAACCTTCTATTCGAAGTACCCATCTTTTCAAGAATACTCTTCCTTAAGGATGCCCGCAAAATAGTTCCATCGCTAACATTGAAGGATCTCAGATACTCGGCAGGATACGGAGGAGTAAGACCTCAACTAGTAGACAAAGTTAACAAAAAACTGCTACTAGGTCAAAGCAAACTCTCAAACAACGACGGCTGCATATACAACATCACAGCGTCACCAGGGGCAACAACTTGTGTTTCTAATGCAGAAATCGATATGCGCGAAATTTGCGCACATATTGGAGCAACTATTGATGAAAACAAGTTGAAACAACACTATTTCGAGGGAGAGTATGCAATTTGATCTCGATGGAATAACCGACACAATCAACGAGGGAATTTATCGCCCTTACTAGTCTCGTGGAAAACCGTGCCAATTTACTGAATTGTTTCACGTTGCCATTCCAGAAAATACACAAAGCAGTCGAACCAGCCGAAGGTGTATTGCAAGCAGACAGTGTAACATGAAATAATATCGTATGCAGCACTTTTATATTTTGAAATTTAGGTTTAAAATTAGTGAGCCATAATAGAAAAGGCAGCTGATAGCTGAACTAACCAAAAATGGAGTTCAGCGTCCTCGCGTAGTAATCGTTGGTTAGTGACACCTTTAGACGATCGAAAACCAACGAAACACCCAGGTCATCTACCCACGTACGGGCCCCTATCCCGTGCACTGTAGCCTTTATCAGCGCATTTGTTCGGCTTTGCACGCGAAGGTGGGATGAAAGCTCTTTGACGTGAGTAAAGAACTGTAACACAACAAAAGCATCCAACATCTGATTGAAATCGAGCGTAGGCAATAAACGAGCACTGAACAAACCATCCAATACCAATTTGCTCAACGTAGCACCGGTGAAGATAGTACTGAAATACATTAAGTTGCTTGCCACACGAACTAGCAAAAACTTCCAAAATCCTGAAATGTACCAGTCCTGAAAAGATTTTCCAATGTTATTAGGACACAATACAGTGAGACGCAACTCAGCAATTTTCAAAAAATGGGAAGTCAACTTATCGATCACATCACCACGACTTTCCGGGGGCAAGTGCTTGATGGTTTCCACAAGCAAACTAGAGAGGCAGAGTGACTGTCGAGCGTCGGCAATGTTCCACGTATCAATGGCATTAATACACGCAGGTACAATAAAGTCGAGAACCAATTGAGGCAGAGATTCAGGACAAAATTTGCTAACAAATTTAAACCACTCGCGCCCACTTAGTTTGTTGACCTCATCGTTGCAAGGGGCTAATGGGTCCCAAGAAACCAGGTCAGCAACCACATACAATTCATAAACCGAACGCAAACGTTCTGAAATACGAAACTGCTCAAACTCTTCTGAGTGGGACTCTTTGAAGCTTTGATACACGGCAAGAGCATTCGATATTGTACTGTATTTGTCGGCGACGTCATGCATAACATCTTTTTCCACGGGTTTCAGGTCAGACGATGGATAAATACCTACTATATCATCGTATAACGATGACAGAGTAAAACACTCCATGAACGCGTCGCACACAGACGTGTTGTCTGGTCCGACACTGGCATTTCCCAACTCCTCCGCTCGGTGGTTTGCCATCTCTTTAAGCTTAGAAAGAACATCATCAAGCTGATCTGCACGGGTATCAAATGTGCGCTTCACTTTATGACAAACTTCCAGGCCATCATCATCAGTTTCGTCTAAATAACCACAGCTGTAGTCACACAGAATCCCATCAATGCGCAAAAGGTCGCACAAAAACCAACGATGCACGCAGTACGAGGCATCAGCTATATCCTTTTCATTATCGTACTTCGTTTGTAAAACTTCTTGCAATAATCCATGCTTAGCATGAAGAAGACCGCCTAACGCACGTGCGTTGGAAGCCAGAGAACGGAACAAATCAACATTCTTACGAACGCCATCCATGACAGGCTCGTACTGATTAGGGACCTTACGGTGATCCTCTATTTGTCCTTTGCAAGACTCTATGTTACGACGAAGCAACGAAAGTTCTTCACGCATCTCATCCAAACGACCGTTGAGGTATCGTGACGCTTCCTTAGAGTCGAAAGGCGGCAGTGCATCGAAACAGTTAGTCGCTGATGGTGGATTTGTACTGTCCCTATCACTCACATAATATGTTTCGTCGCCACTATCGTCCGAACTAAGGCCCAGCATACGCCTAGTGCTGTTACCATAGACAGAAGTGCTCTCCACGTGATTGTAACGGTTTTCATGCCCTGTATCATTGCTCTGAGGATATAAACTCTCGCCATCAACGTCCATATACATAAAGCTCTCAGCAAATGCAGACTCTGAGATTTCAGGCTGCGGCCGCTCAGATTGACGGCCAGCTGGCGCAACATTGGATCTCAAGCTGCCATCGATCATGGCAGAACTTTTATCTACTTCGCACTCTAGTGGTCCAGATTCAACCACACAATTCCTAACTCCCTTGCGTATACACACATCACCCTGCGAATCGAGGTCGTCTGTGAAACTCAGACCAGACCGACCACCACCAACTGTGGTTCTGTTACTGTCGGATGGCACTGAGCTTTCCTTGGGATGTAAGGAGGCACCTCCAATGCGCAAACCCCGTCTAAATGAGCGGAAATGCGTGTTATCAGAGGGAATACGATTAGATCCCGCAGAATCTGTTGATTCTGAGCTACCTCCTTTCTGTGCAGATGTATTACCACCATTAACAACAGATGACGGAGCGGAAGACACACTGCTGCTCCCTTTATCTCGGTTTTTACCGAGTAATGATCGTTTGGCAAACATCGCACGAGCTATAAAACAATACCGCGCACGGCGCGTGCAAATGTTCAAACCACTAACACAATGCCCACATCATACGACGGAAGTCGGTGAAGCAGTATTCATTCGTACATCCTGAGATCTGGAAGTTGAAATATGGATACACAGAGGGGCACGAGCGTCACTTGATAGACATGAGTTGTAGACAGTCCGGCAAAGTGTGGTCATAAACACGTAGTATACACAATATGTAGCTTGACAAAACCAGTTCAGTATTAATAATTAAGAACAAAATGGCGTGTAGCTAGGCAGTGTGCCCTCAACAAGGCAAAGAAGGCAGAAAGAAAGTATAGAAGGCGACAACAAGAAGACGTAGTTAACGCCTCTTGAATAGTTTGCACAAAAACTACTACATTGGATAGTGAAGAAGAATCTAATTGCAAAATCTCAGGATATGAATGTTTACGCTAAAGTTGGTACAGCACACTCCCCATCACAACACCGCGTCAATATTCGAAACAATACTGATAGGCATCAGCACAATTCGCAACCGCATAACGCTAGCGCTATTTTTATCGCTGCAAACTCCACACAACAGCCGAACAAGGCCTACTGCGTGGGCATCATCTAACGACGAAATGAATTGATGAAGAATCCGCGATAACAGTACAAAAAACACACGCTAGACCTAGCAAATGGTATGTCCCCTTGATTTTACATGAAACTAATGTAAATGGATCTAATGCTGTCGAGTGGTTGAGTCGAAATGGCGTTTGGTTGTAAAAATGTATGCCGAAAGACAATGCCGCTGGACTTCACGCTCAAACATCGATCGTGGAACAAAAGTCCAAACGTGCAGATTCGGCAACCCCTTTGCAGTGAAATGGCATATTTGGTCATCTGCTTTTTCGCGCTGACAGTGTTGTTAATGTTCTGTTACACGGGCATTGAGGAATATCGAACAGCCGACAAACCTTGAAAACATATCACGTATACACGTGATTGAGGCCCTCTATTAACATGTGTGATTGAAAGTGCACGTGGTTTTGTGGTTGTATATCGACAATATGACTGAAATGCTGCCCACCGTTTCACTCGACTCATGATACATTTCATGCAGATTCGCCAATCATTAAGAAGACTTAGCGGTGGAGCGGCGAAGCCGCATTGGGGAGAACCACCAAAGCATAGATGGCAGCCTTTTCTACCTGACAGACACTACTACGGAGAACATGCTACGTACAACGGATTCGTCCTGTTGCTAAGAGGACTCAGACCACGAATAGAAAGGATCTGCAGTGCAACATTCAAAACTGCAACTGATATCGTATCGGTGTTGTATAGGCCAATAGCACGCTCGATTTTAAAACACAACCCAGATATCAGATACCAGCTAGTAGCGCTAACAGCATTCTTCTGTACAACAAGGGCAATAACGCTCCACTATGGAAAACTGTATCAAGGAATCGTTGATCTCAGGAATCTACTGCAGTTGGGAGTGGCAGACGATCTCAACGAACATGGCTTCTGGAATTCAGCAAAAGAAGACAAAGACGAAAGGATCAAGTATTTCGAAAAGGAACAAAACAGACTGAACAAGTTGTGGGAAAACTCCTTCAAACGCGCCCTTTTCACTCAAAAGTTCGAGGACCTTTGCAAAGATGTGATACCAACGGCTGACGAAGTCAACACGGGCGTCCTCCCACCAGTATCATGGAGGTTTAACATGATACCCTATGGCAAGGACAACGAAGACGCAGTTGTATTTGATACAGCAGCGCATGATATGCCCCTCAGATCTATGGCGCTCAACTTCACTTACAACAATCTATCAGGCGACTGGGGAGACTACATCGATCGCCAAGATAACAAGAGCGCACTACTTCGACCGTCGAGACAGATGTTTACGGATATTTACATACCAGGTACCAAGTGATTCTACCATCGGAACGATTGGCGCCGGAAGAGAAGCAGCTCCCAGGCTGGGACCGCAGAATTTATGCGTTAGCGTGGCGCATCACATAGGATGAGCTCTAACGGGTATCCGTGACGGCTCGGGATAAAAAAAATGTAATCGCAATGACAATAGTAAACTGTTAATATGCACTCGATTAAAGTAGTCATTAGAAACTAAGGACGAAAATTGTCTCGCTAACAACTGTTACACTTTGCCTTTAACGGGTTGCAAGGGTACCTAAACAGGGAACAAAAAGCTCCATTTCGAACGTAATTGGATATCCATGCAAAGTGGATTTGTGCCGTAGCAAGTGGCACAGCTAGCGTGGACGACAACAGCTGCATCAAGAAAACTTAGACATTTGGGGGCCGAATGTACCAAAGCCGTTCGGTTACCATTCTTGCCATGCTGACTGCCAGCTACAAAAACACAAGATGTAACCATTACATATAGCTTCTTACATGACATATTACGGTTGTGAAATTCATTAAACCACTTCGAGTCTCACTGCTTTAAGTGCTCCCGCGATAACAATGGGGAAGAAAACTTGCAACCATAATACCGCTCCAAAACAATAGCAAGATTACAGATGCTAGAAAGAAGAAGACCGTACAACGTAGTATAGGAATACGTATATTGTTGCACATTTCCAAAAGATGGCACGTGCTCCAGGTCGTAGGGAGCCAAGTACTCCACCAGCTGGTCGCCGAAAACATGCTTGCGCCTAGATCCCACAGAATCTGTTAATCTCACGCCATTGTCTCCACACAACCGCGCTATATTGTCAAGTAACAGCTCAACCCTTGATAAGTCAACGAACTTCCTCAGCTTAGGCACCAAGACAGAAGTGGCAGCTCCATCAGATGGTCGTAGCAAAGTCTTCGCATCCTCGGTCATATCCTTTTTGTCAAGTATGTCCTTCGTAGTTTCCGTTGCAGATAAACCGAGCAATATTTGAGGCGGGCCTCCAGCAGACCCCTGGGTCGCAACCAAGGCCAAAATGTATTCTAGGAGCATAGCAGCGCATTCCACAGTTGCAATACGCAGAGCGAAACGACCCAATGATTTTCGCCTCATCGTGGGATCCAACATGTTCAGATGGTTGATGAAGGACAGCAAAGCAGAACCGCAACGGGTCAGAACTGTTGCCACTGTGGCTGCCTTCTCAACGGCTAAAGCCTTGATAGGAGTCTGGCCAGAAAAGTCAAGATCCGATTCAAAAGCACCCAACTCGGGGAAAATACTCTGAAGACCTAGCAAAATACATTGCCAGCAACAATCGCTCGAGGTGGACAACTCCATAGTAAGCGTATCCAACAAAGCTGGAACGGAACGTGGCATTGTCATCGCCAGCGGAAACTTGCACTGCAAGTCAGCCAATATCAAACTAAAGTTGTTCAGTGGCTCCGATTGAAAATTAGCGCGCCTGTATTCAGCAAGTAACCACAACAGGCAAATGCGGTATATGCGCAGCAAGCTAGAGACAAGAGACACTTCGTCATCAGAAGAAGCGCTGCGAAGGTTGAGGGACATACAAGAACCCAAAAGTTCCGAATGACGGTTCAGCCACTTGATCAAGGCGTTGCGGCTTTTAACAGATGGCATGCACAGCAGATTCTCCAAAGTAGAAATAAACGGATGAAACAATTCCGTAGGGAAACTTTCACACTCAGAGAAGCCTAACAGAAGGTCACAAGACAAAAACAAATCAACCAAACATGTATCAGGTGACGTAGGCTGCACGTGGAACCAAAAGGTAGAAAACTGTTGCAGACCACTGGCCGCCTTCAGAACTCTCGCAGTACCCGTAAGCAACTTAAGACACAACGGGCAACATAGCGAATGAAGCAAACATTGTTTGCAACGCTTAAATCCAAGTAAACGTTGTTGTAACAACGAAGATACACATGATGCGCTTATGACACCAAGAGAACCGTAACTGACCGTACCCAATTCGTATTCAACCGCCCCCGCCTCAAATTTGTGCAATGCGCTTAATATAGAATTCAGCAGCGTTAAAGCTTCCACACGGTAGTCTGTACGTACACCACAATCAACAGCGATAAAGAGCCTTTCGTTACCGTGTATCCGTTCAAGGCTGATAAGCTGGTGCAAGTCTATGTCGTAATCTTCTCGGAGATCCACAAAACCGTAATCCTGGCCCACAAAAAGCTGGGTAAGGCCGTTTGAATCATAGTTGGCGTAAATACCCGGAGAACTGTAGCAACCTTTGGGTGTGACATGGCCTGGGCGTTCCCGATTGGGTCCGGAAGCTGCACCAGAAGCTCCAGCCATGACATTTTCATCATCCAGATTCGATTTTCCAAAATCCATGCCATCGGCATTGAAGCCGTCACCGTTACACGAGGTTGTAACGTCTGACCAGAGTAACTGTAATAACGTTGAACGGTCACTCATGGAAGAAATGGGCGCATCAGATGAATTGCTAAGGAGGTGTGCAACCACAAGCTCAGATACAGTTGGGCCATTATGACGTAGATGGTTCGTGAAGAATAGATTTACGCAAGCGTATACCTTACTACGAAGCTGTGATGACGTCTCGTGGGTCAGGATAAATGACAAGAGCTTCAATATTATAGAAATCGACAAAAGAGAGTTGTTGGCATGCAAGTCGACGTTGCTCTCTATCCATAAATGACCCAGCTGCTTTATCAAGGCGATCTGAAGAGCAAGTTTCAACTCAGATGTTTCATCAGGATCAAATTCAGCAGATGCAAATTCGAGCCAACTTCGCGATTTCTCAGAGATGCCTTGTACGTTGAGCTTTTTGCAATGTGAAATGAACCTTAATATAGACGTGATCAACGCAGTTGAAGAAGTCAGCACCATATTCGATAAGTTCACACGCAACGCGTAAACATTCATCTCCTTCTGCACATGGTCACACGACTGAGGGTTAAGGAGTTTGGTGGCAAGCTGGAGGTCGAACGTCAAGCATACATTTGACGGGAATGACGCATGCTTCCACATGTTCAAGAACACTTTCACGTCCAAGCCTTTGCCAAGGATTGCAGAACGAACCAAAGAATCCAATTCATCATGCATCGACCGTGTCATATCACACATGATCTTAACTAAGCGATAATAAATCTTCAGAAAGTGCGATGAGTCCCCAAAGATCACGCCTTCACTGCTGCGTTCTGCTATTAAGACCAACAGTTGCAACAGGTATGACAAACGTTGACATTGCATGATATAAGATTCGTAGGAAAGATGTACAAAGTCTAATTTCCTAGTATCGTCGTCGATCGAACGCCAATGCTTAGCCACGAGCTTAAGAACATGATGGGAAGATTTCGCAAACAAAAGCAGAGAAGCTAATGCATCCATGCGACGCCAATCGTGAAACTGCCAAAGCTCACCTCCACCAGAAGCCAACCTTATCAGGGAAATGATCTCATTGTCACGACCAAGCAGCTGGTAACCAAAATTGTTCTCAGAATTAGCCAACGATGATTTTATCGAGCACTGCTTCAACAAAAACAAAACCAAGCTGTCGATACCACAACGATTCAAGTCACACAAGTGGCTCATACAGTAGTAGAAATGTTCGCAACTGTCCATGCGATTAAAATTAGTGACCACTGAGGCCACCTTATTGTACAACAACATATCTTCAGATTCCATGTCCTGGTACATAACGTAAGTGGGAAATTCCTCACAAGGATGTAGCAGACTGTAGTAAGTCTGTAACTCCTTCAATACCTTGCCGGACACAAACAATGATTCGATGCCTACACGCTCCTGAAGTTGAAGCAGAAGATAGACAGATTTCATACGAAGCTCATCAGAAGCCGATGATTTGAAAAAACCGAGAAAGTCGCAATGTTTTGTCAAGTCAATAGAACAATCACCTTTTGAATGCAATGTGTTCATCGCCTCGATAACAGCATCATGAGCCATCAGAAGGGATAAAGGTTGCATGTCAAGTTGTAAGCATTCACATGTGTTCTGGGAAATAGATGAAGCACGAGAATGAATAGATGAAAAGATACTATTGATCTTACGAATCTTGCTGGACCACCAGTTTAAAGGACCTGAAGGAGCATCCACATCCATATGGCCATCAATCGAGTTACGACGCAACTCAGAGTCTTTGACGTAGGGCAAGCTGCAATTAGGGCAGTGGCTACCTTCGCGGTTGGTATACATGAACATCGCAGCTCGATGGGCTAGAACCAACAAAATATCACGCTTGAAAAGGATGCAAATTATCGATATAGCTGATAAGATGTTGGATTCCCAAGCTGCACGTACCAAGGACACACAAATACTACTGGCAGGCTGCAAGAATTGCTCAAGCAAATATTGGCTAGCCTTGCTTGCATTACCACCTCCAAACGGGCCTTTCACTACCTCCTCAAGGAAGTCGAAAACATCACCAATCAACCCCCAATGTACACATTCGTTGCGAAAGCAGTGAGTATCCAAGATCCAAATCGCAAATTCTACGAGGCGGTGCAACCAATCAGTTCCGCTGTGGCTAAAACGCTCACCACGAGGCAGATAGACGAACAAAATACGGACACAATTCACATAAGCACGCAACTCCTCGACACTCAAACGGTACCCAGTGTCCACGAAACCACGATTGGCCCTCCCCTTGGAGTCACGTAGAAGCTCAGAAATACGAAGGAGTGCCGCAGAAGCAGTGGCAGAGTCTTTGATATGATTAGAACACAAACTCGACAAAACAGACGATGTGAGCATCTCAAGACCGTCCATGTGGCTACGAGACAATATACTGAAGACAGAATTTAAGAAACTTTGGTCCTCAGATCCCATTTTATGTTGAATGTTCACATCCAAATACAACTCAGGGGTGTCACGCAGCTGCACGCCCTTAGGAATACGATCACATTGAGATATCAGCTTGAAAGCAACGATTGATGTTTCAATGAGACCGAAGGGGCAACGACCACCAAGACCCAGTGTACTTAGAGCAATCTTAACCTCAGGGATGCCACTGATCAATGGGAATGTGTACATCTTGCGTAAACAATGACCTACATTCAAACCTTGCTGAGAATGTTGCGATTGAATTGTTGAAGCGATCACGAGGGCTGCTTCCGCTGTCTCGATCTGATCGTCACGTGCCAGTAACCTTTCGTAAATAAAACCAGGAAGAGTATCATAACATCCTTTCGTTAAACTTCCTATCTGAGAAATAAGACGCTCCAACAAAAACGGAAAACGAAGCTCACGGGAGGCACCAGTGTTCAAAAAACGACCCACGATATGTCCGCCACATTCACCGTCAACATCCTCTATCGTAGAGAGGTATAGAGCAAAGTCGAGCAACGTTGTCAACAGACGGGGATACGTCTCTACATATATATTCTGGTCTCCAGCCGCTAATGTGACCAAATCCAACAAAGCACTGTTGCGCTCCCACCAGCTAAATCCATCGCATGGCACTAACAGACGCTCTACCAGTTTCTTGTCCACGGCGTTGGTTTCACTGCAGTTGTACATTGGATTGTCAAACACGTGCTTGTACAAATGACAATTGACGCTGGGAATAAGAGAACGGTAAGCTTCCGCACAACTCTTCCAAGCTTGGAAAGCGTAGCGCTTGTTTTCAGATGATTCAAACCGGCGCAATAGCGTTAAAAGTTCTATCAAAGAGCGACCAGGTGGCCTGTAAACTTGTTCGTCAACAGTGCCCGTAAACGGTACACGCGAACGGTCTTCAGCAGCACGTTTGCAAAGCACCTCATAGTCCAAGATGTCGTACCACAGCTTGCTTAATGTATTGTTACTAAACAAGAACACACGAAGCAACAATTCCAATATCTTGATCACGGTGCCGCTCTCCTTAATCGGAGTCGTATCCAGGAAAACGGTAACTATATCCACGAACACGCCAGAATCGATACATTTGATGGCTCGCTCCATATCATTTAAGTAAATTCCAAATATGAAGAACTCGAGCAACACCCGACATTGGTGGTTCTCAACAAATGGCGCTACATCAGGCTTGAATTCATTCAAAGAATCTGTCGCCGACATCGGTGTGGCTTCCAGCTGAGCCCCTGCTACCTCTGCACAAGAAAGACGATAAATATGTGGGTCCAGCGATAATAGCACGATGAGCAACATCCTATTGCCCATGTTGCAAGCGTTGTTTGAAATTTGGTCAAATTCACGCACACCCACACAAAGGGATGCCACGATATGCGATGCAGGATACCACGCCGAAGACCCATCTGACAAACCGTCGAAAAATGCAGACAGTGCCCCTCCATAATCAGAAATGCCATACAAGTTTTTAAGATTAAAGATGTGCGGCAGCAGCATGATAAGTCCTTTTATGTCGTCTCTTGCAGGTTGAAAACGAAGGAAGCATTCTTCAAGTAAACCTAACAGGCTGTTGACTAGGTCAACAGTGTGATCGTACAAGGTCTTCACGGCCGAGGAACTGTCGCCAGACAACATGGTTTTGTACCTACATGCCTCCTTTGTAGATGACATCAGCAGTAGGAGAACATTTTTTATCAAACCCTTGGACAACAACTCTCTCAATATCGTCACACATTCAGGGAAAACAGCATTCTCACAAACCTTGGAATCCGAAAGCGTTTTACCACCGTTGATGAAACGAAACAACAATTTCAAACATCTTAACTGGTACTCTGATTGAGCATATAACATGTTCTCTATTATCGTAAACTCTGACATGGTCTGACTTTCGTCGCTGTAATAACATATACCCTCATATAGCAACTCGCAACACAGATATTGATCCACATTGGAAAGCATACTGAAAGAATCAACCTCGTCTATACTTCTTTCCAGGTCCGCGAATTTCTCTCGGATATAGTTGCGAATGTTATCTAAACCCACGGAAACCTTGCGATTAGGAATTAGGTGGGGACGGTAAAACGGGAATTGTCTGAACCCCGCGACGACGCTTGAACGCAACTTTTCTAAAGCGTCGTCACTTACATGGCCTTCAGACGGGAAAGGAGCTTGTCCCGATGCCCGTGAGCCACGAACATCAGCATCCCCGCCTTCCCTAGAAACTGGTAAAACGCCAGCTTTAGGTCGTACGGTAGGTGAATCTTTGCTTTCATCATCACGGGACCTCGAACCATGCCAAAAACGAGACCAGAAGCCACCAGCCGGGGCAACGCTATCACAACTCAAGTCCTCAGCTTTACGCCAATAATCCGCCTTGCACAGCTGCTGCAAGCAACTGTGCATCAACTCGTAGTTACCGTTGCACCATTGCGTAAAGTACTCCTCTGGAGCTGCTCTATTCGGCGGCATCGTGAACTAAAAATGGCATTGCGCGTAACGTAAACGCTTTAGCGAGACTCACGGCCAATAATCAATGCGGCAGCTATACAGCGCTACACATAGAAGCATTAAACATGAAACACACCCAACTTCAGCAGCAAGCATCTAAACAAGGAGAAACGACCCATTACTCGACTACACAATCACAATCAATGGATTCGACAACATGTAATATCCAGCCCTTGCTATAAGCAAGGGAAATGAAGTGGATTTGTGAGTCTCCGACCCGTTACTTCCGTCGCAAGTCTTCCCCACCCACGTGGTACACATGGCTCTCACTCAAATGTTTATCGTATGGAACGTTGCCCCTAAAATAAAGTATCGTACATTCTAAAAACTTTGCGGTTGCTCAAAAGACAAACGCAAAAATGACGCAGAAATGTGCCGATACCATAGATAAGACGCGACTGGATTCCATGCCCGAGTCCACAGAAGTCGTTGTCATGGTCGACAAGGACGACAATGAAATCGGAACGTGCACTAGAAAGGAGATGGTACGTAAACGAAGTTAATTAACAAATTCACCTTTCCCACGCCTTCGATTACCACGTTCATAACGCGCAGCGCCAATTCAACAAGTGGCACAGAGCTACGAGCACGATCATACTGGCGAATTGTGAAGATCCCACGATATATTACCAAGTAAGAGATGAACAAAAGGACTATTGTCCAGGGTATTATGACCTGGGATTCGGAGGGGTCGTTACGGTAAGTGAAAAGTAAAAAACTATATCAAGGCGTGGCAGATCGGGGAATCCTATCTAGATTGTGCGTTGAGGGAAACAAGGGAAGAATCGGGAATCGATTTCACAGAGAGGGATCTCATCGAAGTCGCATATATCGCTAGGGACGACGAGCACGTTAGGTGCCATTACAAACTATATGTAAGTCTAAGCCACGCCATTCATAGCTAAACTGTCTCGTTGTATACGTAAAAGGAGCCGGATTGAAGTTGATTGGTTTAAGTTACTTGACCTGGTATATTCACGTAGAAACCCAACGGATGTTTGGGACTAAAAGGTGTAATGCGGTGGTCATTCACCATTTCTAATCTGCATTGGCGATAATATAATACGACTCACAGTTTTTAATGAACTACAGGTGGCTTTGTATGATAGCAGCAAGAAGGCGTTAGACCCTACTCAAGGAGAAGCCAGATGCATACAGACGACAAAACTTGCAGACGTAGACAAACTCATGGAGGAGCACAACTTTACCAAAGCATGCAAGCTATTAGTAGAGCCACTCAAAAAGTTTGTCCAGGACGGGGGACTGGAGAAACTAGCGGCTCTCTCAAGACAATAGGGGCGAAAGACGTCGTCAAAACCCGTCTCTAATAGCATCGCAGCAATAAGGACATACAAAGAACGTTAAATCGAAATATATACAAAACTTATTAACGTTGTTAATAACTTTGGTGTATATGTTTCTAAGTGGAGAACTTGTCCTTCAGTTATAACATGCACGGCGGCGACTCATATTCAAGGCGAACGCACTATTAGTGATGGTGAGCATGGGCTGATGCCGCAGCACCCTCATGTACATGAGAATGAGCGCAGCCCCCAGTTATGTAAACTTCAAGCATAGCCGTGGCTAAAATGAAAAGCGTCCCGAAGATAACGCACAACCATTTGCAAAATGCTGTTTTACGGCAATGCATATGGCAGAACAACTCGTGGGTTATAATTTCCATTCCAATGTAGATAAGAGTGCCGACAGCAATGCTATTTAAAATCGCCTCGGCAGACTCGCCTGAAAAGCGTGCAATCAACTAAATCGCGAAACTCACTCGTTCCAGCTGTTAGTCCACCGATTAAAATACCCAACGGGGAACTCAGACAGAAAATGGTTTGCATTACAAATGCGCCACGTTTGCTGTTAGTAGAAACAAACGCCGAAAGGGCCATGCCTGCAGCCCACTTGTGTAGGATGATTCCAACCGTCATTAGCCAGAGGTTCCATTGAGAGTCCACAAGTCCTACTACGATACCTACGCATATATATTGTACGGGCTCCTAAGCATGAGAAAAGGCATTAGACATTACACTCAGAATAGCACGAAGATAGCGAGCTTGTAGTAACACGCAATGGTGCGAATTTTGTTATAAAACACACATAAGGGTATGTACTACAGACATACCTTCAAACAACGAGTGAATGAAAAGGGCTAGAGTTATGCATAAGCCATTGCATTCGCAGAGCGGGCACAAGATCTTCATCCATCTTGCAATTATACGACTGTGGTGGTGACGAAAACGGGCACGAAAGGTATCCGCGGTTGTATTCACCGCGCATTCCTCATCTGCAGCGATGGGCTCGTCAAGTGTTTCCAGCTCGCAAGCTGCACTCCGTGACGCACTCTCACAACATGAGCCATTTTGCTCTACGCCACAACAGTCATCGGGTTCTTGACAGACATTAAAAGCTGCAGAACATGGAGTACGGCCGGAAGACAATACCCGTTCAATGAACAACATCATGCAGAACGACAACAAAGCTATGAAATAAACAGGGTTGAAGTGGCCTTTACCAATGTTCCACAACAAACCGCTATGTTCCCATTGCAGAACTGCCTCGGGAAGGATGTGCAGATATGCCATACCCATTATTATGCCTATACAACGGTCAGTATACGAAACCAAAGGTCAAACCAACCAGCACCAAGACAGTTGCACAAACACAGACGAGAGTCAATCGTGTTTTGACGGGACTTCACATCGGTACTTGGACGAGAAAAGTAATATACCAAGTACGGTATCATACACCCTGCCAAGCCAGAAAGGCCAATCAGCACCGCTGATAAAAATTTTCCCAATCCTGTACCCATGATTTTGGAAAAAACTGTATAACATTACACAAAAAATACACACAATAAAATGCTGAAAGAACGAATGGTTAAAGCGTCATTTCTAAATTCAAAGTGCGGTGTTGCGAAAAATATCGTGGAAATATCGCAAGCTATCTGCGACACCCTTGCAACCTAGGTATGTCTGCGCCCTAAATAGACGACACAAGAGTTTTACGGGCATGAAATCATACATGGAAATAATACAGACATGATGTGTGATCAAAATGTACAGAACCTCAGATGTGTCGAGCACCTATCTTGTGTGCTCCTGCGCAAAACATCAATGTGGCCACTGTCCAAAACGTAAGCGCCGTAATACATGAAAATTCAAAATATGTCGTTACCTTATAATCATGTATAAGGGTTATGTGTACGGGAGCGCTGTAGAACCTATCCGTGCTCTTGTGCAATAGCAATACCAACGAAGCATAAACATAGTTAAGAGACTCACACAACCAACCATACAAACTAAAGATTGTAAGCACTTCACATGGGCAGAAAGTTCGGCCTATTTGAATTAGGTAACTCTTGATGGACCCTCCCGCTTACTAGCGGTCGGTCATGTCAATCCACGACCGTCTCTCACTGTTGAAATTTTGTTAAAACAGAGCATGAATGCTGCCAAATTGATCGATTCGGAGCACAATATGTTTTTTTGACGGTCTATTAAATGATACATGGCAAATAGATAAAACATGACCCTTACGATGGGACGGCTAATATGAGTCAAATGTTGACTCACGTATTATTCATACGCGTCAATCCACATCCACGTGGTTCAGAACCCATATCCCGTTATACAACCTAAACTCGGGTTTTTAGTCGTAACATTTGGATGACAACATTAAGGGATTTTGTTATACGATTGTAACAAGGCGGTTGTATCGCCCACAGAGCTGCGCTACTTCTCACATGACGGCTTCTTTCAGTTTCGAAAGTCCACCTTCGTCCACGAATTTTTTAACACGTGACGCAATCCAAGGACATGAACGTGAGAACTTATCAGTGCGCAGTAAGTCGTCGAGTGTGGAAAGAGGAGTACGTCTAATCTCATCGACCTCACCAGGCTGAGGAGTCAACTTATCCAGCGGACCGTTGTAAAGCACCACCTACAGAGCATATCACCAAGTTACGAAAAAACGAATGGTGACCAACACTGCAATGTGTTGACGATACAACACATTACGAGTGTATTCACAGCGATATAACATGGAAGGCGTACATACGTTGTCATCTCCAAAGGACGCAAGGCCAAAAATAATTGCAACGTAACACTTACATAAAGCTTGTAGTGGTATCTTAGGTAAGGCTCATCACATTTGCAAGTACCAAGCTCGTGTAAATGTTCCTCAGAGAGACGCAAACCGCACTCCTCCAATGTCTCCCGAATGGCGTTTTCAATGTACGACTCTCCCAGGGTAACCACACCACCGAATGCCAGATCCTTGTAACCGGGACAATATATTTTCTGCTTAGATCGGATGTGGTATATAACTTCTACCTCTGGGCCATTATTTGAGAGAAGCACAGTGCACGACGTGCGATGCCATTTATTGAATTGCCTCTGTGAAGAGTTAACATTGTATAACCGACGATATCGATGTATTATACGTGGAATAGACGTACCATCTCCTTTCTAGTGCACGTTCCGACTTCATTGTCGTCCTTGTCTACCATGACAACCACTTCAGTTGCGTTAGCCATCGATCCCAAGCGGGATATGTCAAGCATGTCGTGTGCCTCCATGGTAACGAATTATTTATAGCGATAAATGGCAAATAGAATACAATTAAAGCTGTGTCTGTTCTTTATATTCACAGTAAAGGTTGTGGCAACTGATGGTGGATGACGCAGGCACACCAGATCACCAGCCTTTTTCCACCAGAAATACTAATAAATAAAATGACAGATGATAAAACCGCCGAGCTTCTAGGAGCATTAATGAAATTTCGGGGTATCTACCGTTTACACACTTTGTTGTCTAAAAGTTCAACGCAATAATAATAACACAACCTAATTATGTTGGATGAGCCAGATTATTTAGTGCCAATGCAACAAATTAAGTGTTTAGCGTAAAAAATATGGCTCATTTGATGCCACGTAAGATGTGACTTCCAGAAAGAAGTTCTATTACTGTCAGAGCAGGTATCCAGAACGTATTTAGAATCACTACACCCTGTCTATGCTTCGTTGAGTGTTATATTTTACCAATGTAGAGGTTTTAATTACTTTTATAAGAGGACTAGGGGTGTAGAGCGGTTATACGTTACGTCACATTTAATGGGATACCATGCCAAGCAATCGTATTGCGTGATAACCCGGCAAATTAGTGTACCATATCATCCAAATAAAAATGATTAACAATCTGTCAACTAGCATTAATATGTGGGAAAATAGAAATTGTGTAGGACAGACTTTTCAATCTCTCCATACGTGAA